CAGATAGAGCTTATTAATGTTTTCATAATCGCATTGCTGTTTTTAAAAATAGAAACCCTTTGCTAGAGAGAAACTAAATGAAAACATGTTTATTTGCCTTATTGTTTTAATATGAAAAAACAAAAATTATCCACATTGATAATGTGTCCACAGTAGACGGTGACATCATTAAAAGGCCCAAAGTAATAAATTCAAAGAGCATACTCATTGTTTATTCTAATAAATGATGACTCATCATTAGTAAAATGACATTTCAGTCTGGCTGCATTTTAGATAAGTAAATGAATACAATAATGATGGTCAAAATGCAAATATCATCATGAGTAGCTGTTTACACAACACATAAATGTAAAAAAATAATAATAATAAAACAGCAAATAAACAAAGAAACAATTTTTCAAAATACACGTTTCTTCATATTTTTCCTTTTTTTGTCATTCTTTTCCTTTTACATCATATTTTGTTTTGGTCACTTTAAAGTTTACATTCTCTCAAATGATCTAGCTTCTTTTGTGTTTTAGTTGTTTAAATCATGTTATTTTGCAGCTCCTCATCTTGACTTTTCTTTCTTTGCATGGCTTTCCTCTTTGTAATATTTTTTCCTCAGTTTAGTTTGATTTTAGCTTGTTTATGTTTCTGGAACCAAACCACCTCCCTGTGTTTGCCTCAGCCCGTTTAATAATTTGCCAGTGTGGACCTGAACTTGTCTAAATGTAAATCCTTTATTATGACTATGCTGTAAACTTGTAAAACACTCATAATGTTTAACCATTCTGAATTCTTCACACAAACTCAAACTCTTCTACTGTGGCGATGAAAAAGACCATCAGTAAGTAAGACATTCTAAAATAGGTAAATATTAGTGATAAATCAGATATTTTTATTTCATAGCTAGTTAAGTCACATTAGCTGGGGAGTATTTAGTCTCACTTTTACTGTTTAATAAGATATTCTGCAGGGGTTCAATTAGAGAAAATATTTAAGGACTTTCCTTAAATGACCTTGAATTAAATCTAGTTTGAAAACAGACTTACCAGCAAATTTGGACATGATATGAAGAACTTGTTTATTTTATGGTTCTGTTATCTTTTAACTATTTCTCATGCTGTAGTGTAGCTGCAGCTTTGAGATGCACCAAAAACGTGTCTAGTCATTGGTGCCCAAAAAATTCACATTTCCTTTTTTTAGTTAATGAGCACACCATTTAGAAGAAGGAATATAAACTAGTTCACATTAGCAATAGCAGGTCTTCTATAAAGAGGATTATTTCTGGAATTTCCATAAATTTTAGTGGATCAGAATTAGTCTTTGAAATAAATTGAAATGGCATCAGAGCTGCACTCAGACATTTGTATCGGCCATCAGAAATAAAAACTCTGATCAGACAGGAAGATTTTTACTTTAGATTATAATCTTGGGCTGTGAGGTACTTTTCATAGATTAATCAAATAAACTGAATTATATTCCTGAATGTTTTGTGGTAAAATTTTGATCAACATTTTCTGATTTGACTTTTTATGTCTGTGGAGTTTTTAATATATCTGACTGATGTTTATTTTAAAATGTCCTAGGATCAGACTAAACTACGACACCTAAAAGCTGATTTACCTACTTGAGTAGAAGCATATCATTGAAGCAGGGTTATGTAAGAATGGAGTAAGATGCTGTGGTCAAGTGTGGTCATGGCTGCCCATTTTTAAAACAAGTGACTTTCTCGATATCATCTGTGAGTTTCGTGGCTGTTGCCAGCTACAGATTAGCACCAGCAGATTCTAGATGACAAGGCAAGGCAATTAATAAACAGTGAGTAGATAAATGCATTTCAATGTAATATCAAGTTGTTGGTGATTGAAAAAGCCGCGTGAGATATTTTTAAAGTTGACTGTACTTCAAAATCACTGTTAGCATTGTTAGATCAAAGTTAGCCTCTAGCCTTCTTTATTGAAGTAAAGCAAAAAGATGCTGTGGCTTCTTAGGGGTAAAAGAAAGATCTTCTGGGTCGCTCCTACTGGCTTAGGATCTTTACAAAATGCTGCTGCATTTTGCTGGCTAATGTTGAATTACAAATGCTGGCACTGCAGCGTTAGCTGGCGCAGACTCAGCAACCCCGCGGGCTCACAGATAATAAATAAAACCTACGTCCCTCTTTGGCTATTTTAAAAGAAGAAGAACTGACAACCCCCCAGCCGAGTGAGAAGCAAATCTGTTTCAATGTAACCTTCATTCCAACATGATTGAGACAGACTGTTTTGTGATTATTTCACTGTAAAATTCTCACATATTGTGTACATTTCAGAAGAGAATAACTAAATGGATTGCATTTTCTCACAGACAGTTAAAGCTAAACTCTGAATTCTGTTACCATGGCAAGCTAGCCTCAAGGAGAGCCTACCAAAAACTCAGACTTTTAACTTGGCAGCTGGAAACCTTGCGGGGTGTCACATGCCTCTGATGAACCCAGTAGAGATTATAGCAGTCACTCTGGGAGTTAATTCCCCAGGAGTCCACCAGTTAGCTAAAAGATGGCAATTGTTGGAGACAAATGTGACACAGACACGTTTGCAATGATTAAATGTGTAAATAAGCACATTAGATGCAAGAAGTGAGTTAAAATGTAATGTGATCTGTCTGAGGGTGGTTTTCGCTGCCCCCTAGTGACTGGAGTTGGTTTTTACAGACATGATGAGTGTGAGTCCTTGTCTGTGTGCTGCTGCCTTGGAACTGGAGGCCACACCACCTGATAGGAAGGCTGAGCATCAAGCCAGAGACTTTCCAGTTCTAACAAACTACAGAGTTCATAGACCAGTCTCTAACCCTTTTCTTTTCCATTTGTTTTTTTATTTGTTTGTTTGTGTTATTCAAACACTCAGAAAGTCTCTTCCGCATCAGCCTCCATGACCACATGCACACGCTCGGTCACATGCTGCCTGATAAGAGTGATCTTCACCAGCGCACGTGTAGCTCTGCTCCTGGTTATAAATAGAAACAGTGTACTACCTTGCTGTGTGTGTGTGTGTGTGTGTGTGTGTGTGTGCGCGCGCGTGCGTGCGTGCGTGCGTGCGTGTGTGTGTGTGTGTGTGTGTGTGTGTGTGTGTGTGTGTGTGTGTGAGTAGTCTGGACAACATTAAACTTCAAAGTCAATTTCTCTATAAAAGGATGGACAAAGAGAAAGTGAGAAAATTCTTTAAATAGTGGTTGATATTGAGCCACAGATCACACACACACACACACACGCACGCACGCACGCGCGCGCACGCACACACACACACACACACACACACTCCGGACTCAGGCATCTGTGCCTTGTCCTCCTCATCAATCATTGGTCACTCTACTGTGACCTCACGACCCACTCTCCTCCCACTCCTGAACTTCCTCTCCTCAGTTCAGCTGGCTTAGGTACTCGTCATGTTAATGTATGCTGATAAAAACAAGTGTGTGTGTGTGTGTGTGTGTGTGTGTGTGTGTGTGTGTGTGTGTGTGTGTGTGTGTGTGTGTGTGTGTGTGTGTGTGTGTGTGTGTGTGTGTAGATCAGATATAAAGGAGCAAAGCTTAGAGAGATGGAGGGTGATAACTAGAAGAAGAAATTGTATTTTTAGCAGGTTTCTTTTTTTTTCTCTTGGTGCAATCTGTTCTGTACAACCTCAGAAGCTGTAAGGACGTTTCTCTCCTTCGTCTTCTCTCTCTTCCCTGCTCTCCTGCTGAGTCTGTTGGTCTCAGGAATAATTTCACCTAATGTGGCAATCTTCAGCCAGATTCATCACAACCACCCTGAGCTTTAGAAACCTCATCCTTCTGTCAGAGGAAATGAAGCTTGTGGAGTGTTTAAGTGTGAGTTGAACTGAAACAGGAGCTTAAAACATGTTATTGTTGAAATTCTAAAATGCAGCTGAATTATCTGAAATAAATCGAATTCTTCAGACTCAATAAACAATTGTAAATATATATGAAGTAGTTAACTCTGAGCATGTCAGTATTTTGTCCTCAGTGGCAATGGGTGTAGAAATGCATAAAAGATACCAGTCTTATGATTTTTCTACATAAATGTACACATTAAACTATATTTATAATCAGACAGTCATGACCAGTCTAACTAGCTACCACTGATTCTTTCACATCTTTAGACTTTCACTAGCTACAGCTAATCCTTGGAGATGGGTCATTTACAGTGTTAAAACCAAACTGCTCTGACTTTCTTGTGTGTTTTGGGATATTTGAATAGGTGTTTATTAGATGGTCACCTTGTCTTGGTACTTCAGAGTACACCTGCCTCCAAGACAATTACTCCTGTTATTACATACGTTTTCCTCCTTTGCGTGTGTGTATGTGTGTGTGTGTGTGTGTGTGTGTGTGTGTGTGTGTGTGTCCCCGAAACAGATGGATGATCATTTCAGTAATGGCCTGTTTAGCTGCTGCTTCAAAACCAAGTTCTATCATCTTACACACACACACACACACACACACACACACACACACACACACACACACACACACAGCAAGTCCCTCGACAACCTGTCTGTAATCGAAGTCTGGAGAGGCTCAGCAGTAACCACATCTACAACGCACCCTGGAGAGAGATGCTGGGGGAGTGAAAGAAAGGCTAACTAGGACAGGAGCTCAGAGAGAAGGAGTGTGTGTGGGAGTGTGAGTGGAGGTGGTTCTCTTGTCTTAAGGTTACCCTTGGAAGGCATTTATCTTTCTGGGGAAATGCAGAGAGGAAGTAAAAGACTGGTAGGATGGTGTTCACTGAGGAGGAGTATTTTAATATGCTGTCCTTCGTTTTAGTGCCCACACATGAAAGTATAAATAGTCTGCACACGTATATGCATAGGCCTCTGGTAGGTGCAGGGGAAGATGGAGGGGGGCAGGGGAAGATGAGAGGCTGTTGAATGATTAAAGATGATGCAACAGATCCATTTTTGTACAAGAAATTAAAATAGATCATGTGAGACTTTTTTCTTTTCTTAGATGAATTATTGTTTCTTCTGTTCACTCTGCAGCATCGGGAACAAACGAAAATGAGGAGAGGGTGTTTCGAGAGAGGATCGGTCCTCGCCGGCGGCAGGGCGCTGTCCGAAGACGCGTCCACCAAGTCAATGGACACAAGTTCATGGCCACCTACCTGAGACAGCCGACCTACTGCTCACATTGCAGAGATTTTATCTGGTAGGCCACACAAAAACAGCACTTGAGTTTCATTAAAACCAGCATTACTAACATGCTGCTGTCTCGTGTGTGTGTGTGATCTGATAGGGGTGTGCTGGGAAAGCAGGGCTACCAGTGTCAGGGTGAGTACTTTTCTGTGGCCCAGTCCAATTTCTCAAGTAACATTGCACTTCATGGATTATTTAAGTTTGAGAACACAGGAGGGATTACTTGTTTCTAAGTGACAGCTGGGATTGGGTTGAAAGTCAAAGTACAGACAAGAGTTGACTGCGCTACACCAGAATTTAAACAAATGCGGCACTATGAAAACACATTTGACATCTGATTTCTTCTGATGATTGTTCTTTTGTCTCGTAAAGGTTTCAGATCAGCAAACCAATTTCAATATCAGACAATAATAACCTGAGTACATAAAAATACAGTTGTCTAGGGTCCTGGGGAGAGTTCCAAGGCCAAAATAATCTAAAAGTACACAAAGACCCATCTCTCAACCAGAAGCATCCAAAGTCTCTTGGAAAAAATATTTGATGGCCTGAGGAGATAAAAGTGAGACTTTTGGGAAGGCCCTTTAAATCTGGAGTTAAACTAACTCTGCATTGTAGAAATAGAACACCACACCACCAGTCAGACATGGTGGTGGTAGTGTGATGTCCGGGGCCTTCTTTGCTGCTTCAGGAGCTGGACCATTTGCTGAAATTGATGCCTTTCCATTGGACGAGTAAACGGCACGTAATGGAATAAACACATTTTACCTGCGAGCACTCCTATGGCCAGGAACACATAAAGGCAGTAAATGTGTTTCAGTCAGGTGACGAAACGTGTCGAGAATTAAATCTCCACATGTGATTTTGGCAATTCAAGGAAGGAAGAAGTCAGTTCTGTTCTGTTTATTTCAGCTCCAGAGCTTTTTCTTTACTACTTAAGCAACTGAAAATCTGCAGTGACTTTTATTCGGAAAGTTTCCGGATGTTTTACACTCTTCTCTCGTTAACTTCCCGTCCAATAATCCTGGAAAATCCTTCAAAGTGGCTGAATTAAAACAAATTTCTAAAGAAGAATGGGACAAAGTTCCTCCACTGATGCAACACCATACATCACCAACGACCGATAGCAACAGTTGCTAGCAAGGTTGTTATAGCTAGTTATTAGGTTTAGGAGGTAGCTACTGTTTGCAATTAACCTTTACTCAGTTTTTTTGTCTTATATACAATTGATTGTTGATCTGAAACATTTAAGTCACAAAAAACAGAAAAAACTAAATAAAATCTGTAAGGGGACAAATACTTTTTTGCAGCATTATTAAAAACATTGATGTGGTCATTTTTGATGAATTAATTGACAAAAGCTGGTCTGATTTAGCATCAGACTGCACACCTCTGTGGAGAAAAATGTTCATTCATGTAAACTTTTCAGGCCTCGCGTAGTACAGACAGTGTTTTTTGGAAAAGTTAATGTTGTGCTAGTGGAAAATCCTACCGGTCAGCCAACAGGAGTTGAACCTGACACGCCAGAGTTATCGAATCCCAAGTGTCTGATCATTAGAAACCTCCGTGTGGAAGTCATTTGGCATCTGACAAGCCTTTAAATGCAGTCATCTGTAATTCAATCCTGAGTTGTACTTCATCAACTCGCCGTTACCTCACAAAGCATCCCTCTCTTACACAACTTACTGCGTTTTAATTGGAGTTTTAGGTTTACGGTGTGATTCTGCCTTAGTTACAGATAAATATTTATCTGTCATGAGGCAATACTGATAAAAGCCTTGAGACTACTTGAGTTTCTGCAGATGAGTTCAAAATGCAAGAATGCTCACATTTTATTGAGCAGTTGGTGGAGAAACATTAGACAAAACCAAATGACTGAACAGAAGGTTACTTACTTTATGTGAATAAAAGAATTAAACAGTTGACATTTACCCCAACTTCACACTGGAAGCATCAGCGGCGTGGAACAGTTTACTCGCGAGCTTCACTGCGTGCCAATACACACCGGGAGAGTTTCAGCTGCGAATTGGCTTTTCCGCCGTGCTCCTCGCTGGACTCGCAATATCACAGGATTCCATGAGACTATAAAGGTCACGGTTTGTTGACACAATCCACAATAAAACCAATGAAATCACGTTTGATATCACTGTTTGATGTCAAAATGATGTTGTTCCTCTCCACTGCCAGGATTAAAGCCATGAAAAACACATTGATGCGCTTTTCCAATGATGCTGGGAGTAAATAAGCTGTTAGGTCACTCGTATTGTCTCCAAAGATGCAAAATCGCATCACTGCAACAGACTTTTATTTAGACAATTACGAGATGTTTTACACTAAAACCATGTGTGATTTCCTGTCTAGCCCTATGTTAACTGCAGAGGTTGACGTGTCCCAGAAGTGGCTTGCGGCAAAAATAGGTTGCGATCCTATCATTAGCAGAGCGGCAACCTGCTTCAGGGAAGCATCTGAAAATGTCCGTGTCGCGGCCGGTTTGGATCAACCCCATAGACTATAATGAATTCTGTTTGAAGCAGTGACATTCCACTGCCGTTCCGCGCCGCTGATGCTTCCGGTGCGAACTAGTTGTTGGCATTTTACATTTTGTCTTGCAAGAAACTGAACACAAATTTAAATAAAAGTATGTTGCTCTTTTATTAAGTGTTAACAGGTCAGATATGATGGAATTAAGTGTTTTCTTCTTCATTTACCAAATTTTTTTATTTATGCAAAAATAATTCAACAATGATTGGTGTAATCGCCCAATTTGCTCAGTATGAGACTCAACAATCAGATAGTTTTCTGGTTTAATTCAATTCAATTCAAAGATACTTTATTAATACCAGAGGGAAATTAGAGTTTCAGTACACACAATTCTGAGATCAGACATACATACATACATAGACACATGACAAGAATATTATGAACACAAGCATCAATAAAAAGCTTTACATTTCTCCACGTTTGTGAACTCATCATCATCAAGCTCTGTCTCATCTATTCTGCTGTTACTTCCAGAAGTCAAAATTGTAGTTTCATGAGGATTTGATATGAGTTTGTATCATGCATTACCTTTATGGGACGGTTAGGATTTCCAGATTATAGTTATTATTTAACCGTTTTCACATTTAAAACAGCTTGTTCTACGGTAGATTAGATGCAACATTTGAGTATAAAATAATACAAAAGGACATGATAGAGGATAAATAAGTGTACTGATACATTTACCCTGACCATTGCTCAGCTGAATCTGCTCAGCTCCAGATTCTACAGTTCAGACAAACATCTTTTTGGCTGAACTGGAAACCAGAGCTGTGCCATGCTTGTGTTTCCAGTGTGCACGTGTGTCGTCCACAAGCGCTGCCATGAGCTCATCATCACCAAGTGTGCTGGGATGAAGAAGCAGGAAGACACAGCCGAGGAGGTACACACACACACACACACACACACACACACACACAGTGGCAGACCTAACAAGGAGGAATGCTCACTGATAGATAAGTTAACTTTTTCTCAGTTGTAAACAAATTTATACAACAATGATGTTCTGAAGACTTCCATGAAACCCTCTGAAAGTCTGGAGTTGTGTTGATCTTTTATGTGTGGGTGTGTCTCCCTCTGTAGGTGGGTTCACAGCGGTTCAGTGTTAATATGCCCCATAAGTTCAGTATCCACAACTACAAGGTGCCCACTTTCTGCGACCACTGTGGCTCTCTGCTGTGGGGCCTCATGAGGCAGGGTCTGCAGTGTAAAGGTGAGTTCAGGGACAGCTGGGAATTTATATTGTGAGCTCCAAGAGAAGGTTAAAGTTAAAACAGATTAATAAAAGCTGTTAAACAAGATTTTATATCAAAATAGCCTTTGATTCAATCAATCAATCAATCAATCAAATTAAATTTATTTTCACATGATCATGTCAGGGCTGCACATTGGCACAGTGGTTAGAGCTGTTGCCTTGCAGCGAGAAGGTCCTGGGTTCACTTCCCTGCCTGGGATCTTTCTGCATGGAGTTTGCATGTTCTCCCTGTGCACGCGTGGGTTCTCTCCGGGTATTCCGGCTTCCTCTCACAGTCCAAAAACATGACTGTTAGGTTGATTGGTCTGTCTAAATTGTCCTTAGGCGTGAGTGTGTGCATGATTGTTTGTCCTGTGTGTCTCTGTGTTGCCCTGCGATGGACTGGCTCTCTGTCCAGGGTGTACCCCGCCTGACTGCCCATTGACCGCTGGAGATAGGCACCAGCCACCCCCCCCCCCCCCCCCCCCCCTTAAATTGAAGTTGGACAGATGACTTAATTATGACTTGAAAATTCAAAGTTAAGGACTTGGACTTGACTTGGACTTCCAGATCATTGACTTTGGACTCGACTTGAACTTGACTGGAAAGACTTGTGACTTGCAAAGCAGTGATTTTATAGTTAAGTAATTTTAGGGTCTACTGGAAGGCTCTCAGTATTTTATCATTTATTTACTGCTTGTCTGTGTACAGCACTTTGTGCAGTCTCTGATTGTTGGAAATGTGCTTTATAAATAACATTGACATTGACACCTCTAAACAGTGGCCTAGTTCCTGTTTTATATGTATTTCCCCATACCTCTCTACACGATAGGTCAAATACGGGACTATAAGCAAATAATATAATTAATATATGTAATGTTGGTGCTTCTAGGATACTTTTTACTTTGCTTAACAATCAGATACTTTTACACAATTAATTTTTTACATATTTAATGCAAGATTTTTCTATTGGGTTTGTGATCCAGTACAACCCCTAAACATTTAACTTCAAATACTCTTTCAACTGAGATACCATCTATATTCAGTGTGACTGGATCATCTATTTTTCTAACCAAAAATCATGGACTTTGTTTTATTCCAATTTATAATTTGTTTTCCGTGAACCACTTGTTAAGTTTATCTCACCTGCCATATTTTCTACAATGGTTCTGAAATCACTCCAACAACAAAATTGTTTGTGTCATCCGCAAATAACACAAAATCACAAATATCATTAATTATATAAAATAAATAACTTAGGTCCCGGCACCGAACCCTGGGGAACTCCATGTGTAATCATTTGGTGATCAGATTGCAGCTTTTTAAAAATGCTTATTGGTTTTTAAGAAATTCAGATACAGTAGGGCAGGCAAATCAATTTTTTGAGCCAGTTAATATTACAAAACTTGATGTCTTTTGAACTTTGTACTCAAATAAAAGTTTTTCGGCAACATCTATGTCTAATGTTTATTTTAACGAGTATTAACTTTGACTAGGAATTTTTATTTAGTGGTAGTCTTAGTCTATGTGTCTTAGTGACGGACGTCGTTTTGGGGGGACAGGGGGGACATGACCCCTCCAATTTTTCCAAAGACAGTTTTTGTCCCCTGCCCTTTTTACCATCCAAAAACAATATTACGCTATATTAAATTGATACTGATTGAGTACTAGGATCAAGCGGAAAACAACCACTTGTGTTGAAGCCTGTTTCCCATTAGAACGTCCATAAGCTCATCTATTGGCTCTGCTGATACTTGCTAACGTGTGATTGGCCGTCCCTGCCGCCTGTTACCTTGATGGTTCTGCATTCCGGACATTGCATAAAAGAGCCTCTAGGCTGTAGTTTTATACATATCTTTTCAATACTTAATGTAAAAACAAAAATTCATTCAACATGAAGAAAGAAAATATTTTGTCAATGTAACACTGATTTAAGCTCTAGACAAACATTTATTACTGTATTTATGTATTATCTTATACACTTATTATATTTTATACCTGTTTATTGTTTAATAATTTTGCAGTCAGATAGAGTTTTATCTACAAATGTCTCTTTATTGTCTCGAAAAGCCTTTTTCTTGTTGAACTCTGACTTTTTGTGTCTTCTTGCTGTTTCTCAGTGTGTAAGATGAATGTGCACAGGCGCTGTGAGACTAATGTAGCTCCTAACTGTGGTGTGGATGCCAGAGGGATTGCTAAGGTCCTATCTGACCTGGGAGTCACACCTGATAAAATCTCCAACACTGCACAGCGCAGGAGGAAGGTAACGTCACATCAGCAGCGGTGGCTTAACTGTAAGCTAGAGATGTGAGCCTACGTTAGATCATTTCAATCAGGGCTCAAAGAGAACCAGTACATCCTGGAATGCAGGAATGGCTCTGGACTGTAAGGTAAACTACATTACCCACAGTTCACTGGGAAAAGACATGTTTGTGAGAGCTCACTCTACAATGTCTTGGATCGGGTTGGATTTAGGGGCTGAGGTGACTTTCTTATTTGTTTATCTATCTGTAATTATTTTATTTTTTAAAGACAAAAATAATCATTTTTATTTTTTAAATCATACTTAATTATAAAAGCAAGTCTACGCTGGCATGAGCGCCACCCACACACCAAGGGAAACTGGGAGAGATGACCATCAGCTCTCTGTTAGCTTAGCGTTTTACAGAACATCAATAAAATGTGATTATTATCATTTTGATTACTTGTGTAGTTATTATTAACATTTTGACCGTAGTCAAACATCTGCTGAGGCCACAGAGATGTTTAATATTGACACAAGCAGTACTTTCATCACATCACAGAACAAAACTGATTTACTTCCTGTTCACTCCCTTGTTTCTATGCAACAAAGAAGTGGTCAAAAATGTGATTTAGTACTTCTGCAAAAATCTAGAAAACCTTTAAATCTCACCTTGAAATGTCTTTTAAAGTGCTTGAATGACTTTTCAGATAGTTTGTATCTTGAACAACTACTGAAGCTTCTCTGCCTGCAGAAATGCACAAAAACGATGCTTGCTGCAGAACTTTAAAGGTGCTGAATCAAATTTGATTATGTGGTGCAAGTGATGATGCAGAAAGTAGAAATCCTAACTCAAACACGCAAAGGGAACAATCCAGAGGACTGATCAGGTTGGCTTTCTGTTTCCAGTTGACTCCAGGGCAGGACCCTCCCCAGTCTCCTCCTGAGCTCTCTCAGATGGAGGAGAACAGCTTCAGCCAGCCGGCTGTCCCCACCTCCCCCTCCCAGCAGGGTAACACTACACACACACCAAAACCATCAAAACACAGATTTCACACAAACAAAACAGACTTTTTTAAAGCCATATATGTTTTTGTTTGTTACTTCAACCACTAAGCGGTAGTAATATCAGTGAAAATATTGTTGCTTCTTTTAAGAAATAAGTAGATAAATGTGTTGATGTAGACTGAGTTATCCCGCACCGCCGCCCACCACCATTTGCTTGTCACGGTTAGTCATCACATTTTCACACTCTGCAAGCTGAGAAGTGGAAAGTTAACTTTCTCTCTGAAGAAGTTGTCCCGTTTTTGTTTTGATGGAGCCAAACGATGATGCTGCTGTTATTGGAACACCTTGAGGTGATTCATCCCAGGCTTCAACAGATAATGTTGTAATCGGTTGTAAAGTAAATAAAAGAAAATCATCTGTTTTTTTTTTTTTCTAATAAATGAAAAAGGGATGTCAGGCATTTATTTATTACCGATGTCTGATCCGCTCTTCTGATGACACCCACAGACTTGGCAGAGTTAGATCGCCTGCAGGACGCACTGTCACTCGACCAGCAGGGACCCCAGAACTCCTCTTCCTCCTCCTCCACCAACTCCTCATCGTCCTCCTCCTCAGCAGTGAGGGAGAATGGACAGATCCAGAGGAGGACCCTCAAGGACTTCAATTTCATCAAAGTTCTCGGAAAAGGCAGCTTTGGCAAGGTGCGGCAGCGCGGAGGAGTTTGAGGAGGATGTTTATTTGTTTACCTCTTATTATCTTTTCTTTATTAGGATGGGTTACACGGCAGAGGAAGAGAATTTCTACATATTTAATTTTAGCTCTCCACCGCACATAATGTGGGCTGCTCATGAACCACCGAAAATCAGCTTTCAGCGTACAGATTTTATTGCATGAGGTGCATATTTTTATTGTTATGTGGAACATAATGGCTTTTATTAAGAATAAATAGAGTACAGTAACATTAGTCAGAGACACGTGGCTTTAGAAATAAACTTTTATGTGCTGACTGTAGATGATCTGCTCCTCCATCCACTTGTTTAACAGCTATACACATTTATTGTACTCTTGAGCATTTATGGCACCAGCGCTAAAACAGAATTAATATTGATCTTAAATGTGCAAAGTGGATTGAATAGTTCCTGTTGTTGTTGCTGACAGACATCAGATTTTTCAATCATTTTGTTAAAAACAGCTCATATTTGCAAAAACTTTATTTGTCCTGTTTCAAATAGCAAGATAAATGAATACTTTAGAGTTCTGTAGGAACTCACAGGCTTTATTTAAAATATTTTTTAAGAAAATCTTTGTAATTACATATTTAATCTGTTTCGCTGTGAACACATCTTTGTCCTTGGCATTTTAGCAGCTCTGATTACTGAGGATTAGTGATCCTGCAAAAGTCCAATTTTTTGGTGATTTCTTGTCAATTTTCTTCATGTTCACATGTTTAAAGGTGCAATATGTAATATTTTACAGTGAAATTTTCACTAAACAGTCCAATGTTGGAAAGAAGGTTACAATGAAACGGATTTCCTTCCCAGTTGGCTGGAGGGTTGTCAGTTTTTCTCCTTTAAAAAAAGCCAAAGAGGGACGTCGTCTTTGTTTACAATCTGTCCCACTCCTTACTTCCTAGTTCCAGAGCCAATCATATTTGAGCCTGCAGTATTTTTTTATCTGACATCGGCTGGAAAACAGCAGTAGAGTCGTGGACAATATGTTGGCCAGTAAAAACAGCAGCCCAGATGTCTTGTAACTCTAAGAAACCATGGCTTCGTTTTGGGGGCAGCAGTAGCTCAAGAGGTAGAGCAGGGCGTCCAGGTATTGGGGAGTTGCTGGAATAATTCCGGCTCCTTGTCCTTGGGCAAGACACTTAACCTGCCTTGCCTGCTGGTGGTGGTGCCTGTGCTTAGCTGGCCTCACCTCTGTCAGTGTGTCCCAGGGAAGCTGCGGCTACAATGTAGCTCATCACCATCAGTGTGTGAAAGTGTGTGTGAATGGGTGAATGATAAACTGTAGTGTAAAGCGTTTTGGAGTCTCTGACTAAAAGGTGCCATACAAGCACATGTCATTTATCATCATTTGTTTTACTCTAATGTTGGCCTATGAAGGCTAACAAAACTGTTGAGCTAACAATGCTAACAGGTAATTAGAAACAGAATCAGCTCTGAAAACATCCCAAGCTACTTCTTTAATGACCAACAACTCTACTTATCAACTTACTATGCATGACTTGTCTTTGCTTGGCATCTAGAATCTTCTGGCGCTGATCCGTAACTGGCAACAGCCACGATACTCACGAAATGGGAGTGAGAGAGTCATTCGTGCATTTAGAAAATGGACAGCGGTACCCAAATGTGACCACATGATTTCCTCCATCTGTACATAAAGGCAATTTAATCCTAAAATTTAAGTAATTATATGAACCCTTTTACTTCCACTCCTAGATTAAACTAAATACGTGTTAAAAAAAAAAAGCTTTGTTGTAAACTCATTATGAGACTAAAACTAAGTTCTTTATATTCAAGAAGACAGTTTACCAGAAACATGATGTCATCCTGTAAACCAGGTGATGTTGGCGGAGCTGAAGGGGTCTGAGGAGGTTTATGCTGTCAAAGTTTTAAAGAAAGATGTGATCCTTCAAGATGATGACGTGGACTGCACCATGACAGAGAAACGCATCCTGGCCCTTGCCCGCCGCCACCCCTACCTCACCCAGCTCTACTGCTGCTTCCAGACTCGGGTAAGATCCCAACACAAACACTCAGCTTCCACAGACCATCTGCTTCCCCCTCCCATGATCTCATACTACTTCCCCCTCTCCATCCCTCTCTCTGCAGGACCGTTTATTCTTTGTAATGGAATATGTGAACGGAGGAGATCTGATGTTCCAGATTCAGCGATCTAGGAAGTTTGATGAACCTCGCTCTCGTTTCTACGCTGCAGAAGTTACGTCAGCTCTAATGTTCCTGCACCGTAACGGAGTCATATACAGGTAAACACCATTTAGCAATGTAAAACCTAATCTGTCTCAGGAAAACAAATAGAAACTACAGTATGTGATCTGAAGACATTTAATGCATTTTTAGTTGGAATATTGTTGCAAAATGCCATCAAGTTATTATTTTATTCGTGTTATGTTACCAGGAATCTCTATTTGACAAACTCTCGCTTTCATCCTTTCATGGCCAGTTTTGGAAAACAGATGGCGCTAACCCTCCCCCTCTTTCTGTGTCCTTCTCTCCCAGGGACCTGAAGTTGGACAACATCCTTCTGGATGCAGAGGGACACTGCAAGCTGGCAGACTTTGGAATGTGCAAAGAGGGCATCATGAACGGAGTGACTACCACCACCTTCTGTGGCACACCTGATTACATCGCTCCTGAGGTGACAGTTTACAAATAATTCTTACGTTCAAACTCATCAAGTTAGAAAATACGCATTCTTATTGATAAAATACAATTTTCTGTCTCAAACAGAGACAAAAACCTTGGACATCAGAGCTCAGAGTGTTTTACAACCGTTGAATCAGGTTGTTTACAGACAACCTTTATTTGCAAACTGATTTTCATGTGTAAACATATGCAGACGGGAAACAGTAACATTTACACAATACCATCTAATACTGGATGATGTCATCTGGTTTTGGTGGAGGGGGGAGGGATGTAAATGAGGCCAAGTTGGCAGTCACCAGTTCAGTATCAAAGTGTTCGTTCACCATAATCCGTTTTTAACTAATGTCCTTCTTTTCACAGCTTTTCTTCATGTATTAGAAAAATCCTAATAATTATAATAATAATAATAATGAATCTAATAACATTATTAATAATCCTATGAGGATTCTGGGTCATTCTTGTTGCTGTTTCAATCTGCAACCATTTCTATGTTTGTCTCCACTAGTTACTGTCAGAATGCTACATAATAAAAGAGGGATGCACATTTTCCAAAAGTTGTTTTACCAGTTATTAACGCCCTTAACGGTTAATAGTCAGTTAACAGGAAACCAACCAACAACCTGAACTTCCTCCACATTTTACCAAGGTGTACATTATTACCGGGACTAATTTAAAAATGATGACATAAGTCTCGAGTGGATTTGCCAAACTGTTAGTTTGGACCGTGACCGTTCAGAAACTGAATAACAAACACTATTACTAAAACAATAACAACATAACACACGTAATATTAAGAACTTTAAAAAAAACGCAGCTTATAAAAAGATTTCTTGCCTGAAAAACCAGCAGGTTTACGGTTTCCAGCTTCACCCTAGGGCATTGTGGACCGACTGCTTAAAACCCGTTTCAGTGAGCTCGTGGCATCGACACATGAGGGCTCCAAACAGAAGGCTGCTAATGCAGCTCCGACTCGCTCCTCTGCTGTGACGCGTCCTTCGCGGTCATCTTTTGTTTGCACAAATGACCTCATCAGTGTTCACCGGCTCTCCTTTAAAGTTTGCCTTGAACTCGAAATGCCCCCAAACTGCAGAAGTTGTGTTGTGTTTGGACGCCAAGTCTGTTGGTGCATGAGTTGCCATTTTTCTCCCCGTCTCACTGGGCGCGTGTCTTCTGCGTGGTCATGTGATGACATCACGTTCATAAACTTTATGGAAAGTCTCTAAAATTTGGACAAAACATTTAAAATGTTTATGTTAAACTGAAGATTCAACCGCGCATCCGTTTTATACATTTAATTACATTTGTTTATTATTTTTATTCATTTTTATTTTTCAATCAGTGTCTCCTGTGTGCACTGATTTTTTCATGGCAGTATTGGAGCTGACACCGTTGCTGTGTTTTAACACCAGCTGTGTACGGTAATGCTGTAATACTGCCCAAGCCTACCACACCACACCACACCACACCATACTATACCATGCAATCAATACAAGCAATAAAAATGAATTAAACTAATACGATATATCTGAAAAAAATCTTTGGGTAACTCATTTCAATGAACTGTTTTCTGATCAGTTACTGTAGTTTTAAGCCTTGTAAATATAATAAAATAAAATTTGATTTGTATAAATGTCTAACACATGTTTCCAAATGATAACAGGTCTGCAGGAGGACAGATGAGCCGTTTTTGTTGCAGTAGTGTGTTCTTCTTGTTCATCCGGGTGTTATTGTTGACTTCAGATCCTGCAGGAGCTGGAGTACGGAGCCTCAGTGGACTGGTGGGCTCTTGGAGTCCTGATGTATGAAATGATGGCAGGACAGCCTCCATTCGAGGCCGATAACGAAGACGACTTGTTTGAGTCGATTCTCCATGACGATGTCCTCTATCCTGTGTGGCTCAGCAAAGAGGCAGTGTCCATACTTCGAGCGGTACGTGTCATCTCGACGGTGTTCCAGAAATTTATTTTTGATGAAATATTAGAATTATGTCTTTCACCTGATTCTTTGTGCTTCTAAAGGTTAAAATAAAGTTAAAATAAACATGGTGCATTTTTTCTATCAGACAACATGAAGTTTTGTTTCAGTTTCAGACTTTTTAGCACTTAAACACATTCAGATGTGTTTCATAGGTTGAAAGGAAAATACATTTAGTTAATTTAAACTTTTATACATTTCTTCATATAATTGTAGGATGACGTTTAGTATTTGTAGTTATTTTATTCTGCATAAGCATTTTGAAATAAAATTTTAACACTTTACAGAATGAGTTCACACAATCTTTAAAGCTTTTATTATAATATTTCTATGAAATACTTTTTCTTTGTTGCAACCAGCAGATGTTCCACACTTTTTATGTATTTCAGATTCTGGAATTGACAGTTTATTTTTTTCAACTTAAAATGTTTATCTAAGAGAAAGCACATTTTTAAAAATAAGACGAATGCCATAAGAATCTGGCCGCCCACTTTTGGGAGAAAAACGTTTTTGAAAAGCATTAGATGGACTATTTACTAATTTTCTGTGAATTTAGGTAGAGTACGGGTAAGATTTCATCAGTAAACAGCTTAACAGAGCTGGAACAATCACATGAGAGTCAGATGATAAAGCTGAAAAATTCATTCAGTATTTTTAAGCCGTGATGTTTGTTCTTTCTTTATTTGTTCTTGTGTTAAACTGGATCGTTCAGGTTTTTTATTATCAGGATTTGAGCAGATGTGTTTCTGAACACTAAGAAGGGAGTCAAAGTTAGTATGATGTTATCTAAAGGTCCAAAACGTCACACAGTGAGCAACACAACCACCGTGAAGCCATACATTTTCTGCTCAGTCTTTCTTTTTTCACCACTGAGTATCTTTACAAAACCAGGTTTTCAAACCGTGTTTTTGTCTTGTATTGTGTTCAGTTCATGACTAAGAACCCGGCCAAGCGTCTGGGCTGTGTGGTGACCCAGGGCTGCGAGGAGGCCATCAAGACCCACCCCTTCTTCAGGGAGATCGACTGGGTTCTGTTGGAGCAAAGAAAAGTCAAACCGCCATTTAAACCCCGGATTGTAAGACACACACATACACACACACACACACACACACACACACACACACACACACACACACACACACACACACACACGCACGCACACACACACACACGTAAAGGTATTTGTGAGAGATGATGAGCTAAAAAGCTATAGAGCGTTTTCACATCATTTTAATTTGTAGGTTAGAACATTCAATAAGTTATTTTTAACTCATCATTGTAATCAGTAATCATTCAAAAATAATCATTATGATCACTTGATGCACAAACCTAAAGGTTTGCCAGCTTAAGCCAATAAAATAATACAAATATAGCTGTAAACTTGTTGGATGCTCGGATGATTATCCTAGCCTTCTTACAGTAAATATAAAATCTTTGCAATAAAAATATTTTCACTCTTTTTTTATAAACTACACACTTTGTTAATGCACATAAAAGATAATCTGGATAAAAGTGGTTAAATAGTACACTTTATTAAAAGAAAACTGGCTAAATTTAAATGTAAACATCACTAAAACGCCCCAACAAGAGCAAATTCTCATTATTTCTACCTGGAGTGACAAGCCACGTGTGTTACATCATTTATACAGTTGGTATTTTATTTAAGTACAAAATAAATAGATATAAATATATTTAAACATATGATCCATTATCAGTAGCCTTGTTGTTCTCCTAGCTACGTATTTTCTAACTGAAACAACCTGTTTTATAATATTTGTTTCAAATGTTCGTGCAGACCCTAAAGAGTAAAAGTTATCATGTTTGCATTTACTAAAGACTTTTAAATTTAAATGCCTTTTTTAGTTATATCAGGAAACAAGTGAACAGGCAATAGTTTAATGTGAACTATGTTTCTGATGGTATCAAGTTTTTTGCAGCTTTTACTTCAACCCCCATTTTATTCTAATGCTTGGGTCTGCACCCTGGGGCTCTTTTGCCCCTCTTAATGGGTTTACTGTAATTCTCTAAATTAAGAACACAAAATAGCTATTTTAGCATATTTTATGTAACACCTGCATTGACTTTCTACAGTTTAGTATCAGTTCAGCACCATAATGATCTAAATGTGGCATGTGAGCTTGGTTTTATTGATTAGCTAATAGTTAGCCACAGATTAGATTGTTTATGCAACTTTCTCCAGATCCACCAGGAGGTTTTTCATCAAATGCCAAAGTGTGGCACGCTAGATGAAGTGAGCCTGTTTGGTCAGAAGGGGTCACTGTGGTGTCACTTGTAAAGAATGAGAATCTCACTCTGATTTCCGTGTGTTTCTGCAGAAAACCAAACGAGATGTGAATAACTTTGACCAGGACTTCACTAAGGAGGATCCTGTCCTGACGCCCACAGACGAGGCCATCATCCGACAGATCAACCAGGAAGAGTTCAAAGACTTCTCCTACTGCGCTCCTGAGGAGACACACACCTAACACACACACACACACACACACACACACACACACACACACACACACACACACACACACACACCAATGAAACAACAGCAAAGCTGGCATGCTTACACTCAGTAGAACCATAAAACCTTCTACAAAAACATGCTCAATGGTCAATGAGTCTTTTTCTTTGAAGCTATTGGTTGCTGTTACCGTTGGAATATTATTTACTTGCATTGTGTTGTTCTTGTTGCCCGGGTTTATTGTGAATATGACTATAAAGTTAAATATGAATATGCTCACCTCTCACACACACCTGTACCTATTTAACAACTCTTGACATGCTCACTCACACCCACAAGGTCACACACACACTTACACCGCTTCTCTCTCTGGCACCTGAACACATGCGGACTGACGGTGCTGAGGCCTGTAAATAGCCCGTGTTGAGTGGCTGTATCGTGTCGGTATCGTCTGCTAGTAAAGGGGCGTTGTGGCGCATGGACAAGCACCCTACCTGTGTTATTACTGCCCTTATCGTGGACCAGTTAGGGCCAAATATCTTTGTGCAATACCATGACTATCTATATATTTTAAGGGGTTTTTTTTGTTCATGTTGTTTGTTTCTCCTCTTAATGTATTTTTTGTTGCTGGAATGAAGGAATGGAACGTTTGTCTCACTGTTGCGGTGTCTGAGCTCCTTCCCTCTGTATATAAAGTGAATGTTACAGGCTATTGAACTAATTATGTGGAGCAGAGTGTTACAGGCGACCCGTGTAGCAGTGCAAACTCCCGACGTTTCATCCATCTGTCAGCTTCAGTCCACCCTCCTGTCCTGCTGGTGTGAATGTGTTGGCCCAGGGGCGTTAGCTCTCTCTGTTTTTTTTTTCTTTGTATTGTGAATGCACTTTTTTGTGTGCATGAATGTGAGAATTACTTTTTCCTCCATGTCATATTGTGTTTGTATTTTTGTCCTCCACCTGCTCCTTTCCTGCCTCTAGCAGCCGTTTTCTCGCCACCTCTTTCAGACAGAACCACTAGCTTGTCTTACTTTTGCTTATTTTTTCAGAATGGCTTTCATTTCTTATTGCTTTCTCTTTTTTTATTATTATTATGATAATTATTATTATTGTAAAGTGTATCTGGAGGAAACCTTTTCTGTATAATACTATAACTGCACCATTATAGGTCTGTTACAGCCGGTTGTTATGAAATGTGGAGAACCAGCAGCTGACTTACCTCTCACTTCAAACATACACAAACTCCCTCCTTCGCTCCCTCCCTCTCTTTCCCTTTCAGTCTCTCTCTCTCTTGCAAACACATGCACACACAGAGAAGGACTGTTGTACTGTACAGTGATCTGAGGACGGGCTGGTTGCAGTCTTTGCAGTAGAGTCAGTGTGTAGTGAAGCTTCGTGCACCCAGGGGTATGGCTGTTCCTGGTCACACTATCTTACTCTGTGCCAAAATGTAGTGAAACAGCCGGGCTTGTCCCGTCTGGTCCGATTCCAATAAAACACTGAGCTGTCTACATCAACCCAGGATGCCTTAGATTCTTATTTTCCTTTTATTTTGTGTTTTAATTTCTTCCAATATGGTTTTGTGTTGCCGCTGCTCTTCTGAAGGTGAATCTGTGGGATGCTCAAGCGTTTGTAGACGAGAGGAGAGGGAGGGGCAAGTAGGGTGATGCTCTTCTGGGCCAGCTGACCTATCATCGAGCTCAAATTTGGAGGCCTGCAAGATAATTAGCATGCAGAAGGAGGAGAGGAGATGCATGCTGGATTCAGCCCGTGTCATCCATGCTGCAGGGGGCCATGCTTCTGGTGAGAATTTGAATCTGCTCCCACCTTGACACCAGTTGGAGAAGTCTACAGGACGACATGACAGCAGACAGGGAGAGGAGAAGGTAAATCAAAAACACTGAAGATGGCATGTCTGCAGTTGTTTGGTTTGTACTAGCGATGTTTCAAGTTGATGTCACGATTAGCCTCTCAACGGAAGCGCTACCACAAAGTTCATTTACTGAGGAAGAAAAAAAATTACAAACAAAAATGCACATTAGGTGGAAATAAAGAAAACATTTGAGCAAAATCTGATTAAAAAAGGAACTTTATGGTTTCTTGCATGTTGAGAAATCGCAAGAGGTCAAAAAGTCATGGTGTCATCAAGCTGAAACAGGCAAAATATTCTTCCTAACTTAGTGGTGGATTTTCAGCTTTAGGTTATTTACAGCAGGAACAACGGAGGCGTTACAGTGGTAAAATGTAAAATACACCATCTAATAAATGCTGTGCTTATCTGAAGTCTCACTTCAAAATATGTAAAATATAAAATCTATAATTTAAATAAAGTTTAGGATTTTTTGTTATATTTTCAGTTTTTTTTTCATGAACTGTTTGTTATACAATTCAAAAAATTATTTTAATCAGTTTACTGGTGATTTATTTGGACAACAAGTTGTTTTCAAATGTATTTATTTTTGAGAAGCTGACTTACAGACGGGGTTTTTAATGCCGGAGAAGATCCCATTCTTTCCTCCACAGCTCCTTTCAGCGGATTCCCACAAGGGTCTATTCTAGGATCACTTTTGTTTTCGGCTCCTGTTTGGCTCAATTTTAAAAGTGAATTAAACTCGTCATTACGCAGAGGTCTCCTGCATCTATGGATCCCTCCAAAGGGTCTGCGTGAACCCCTTATGAGAATGTTTGAGTGATGGATGCCACTAATCCTTTTCAGCTTGAACAGAAACAGATATAAAAACTCTTTGGACCCTCTCACCACCTATCCCAATCCTTACAAAAATGTAGAATATTTATCCCCAGGTAAACTTGGGTGCAATTTTTGACTTTTCTTTACATTAAACAAGTAAAAGTTATTGTCCAAATGCCTTTCTCCAGCTGAAGAAGGTTGAGCCATTCCAATTTTTGATTGTTTAAAAACTCACGTTTATTCCTCAACATTTAGGCCATGTCTTCTGTTTGATTTTTTAAAACTTGTGTAGTATTTCTTATTGTTCCTATTGTGGTTCTGGACCACACATGTATTTTTATTATACATAAGCTCCCCACCCCCATCCTATTTGCAGGGCGATCAGCCGTGAGGCGGCCAGACGGAGGCGGCGAGTGGAGTCTGATGTGTTTGATGATTTGTCTCGACTCCTGCCACTGCAGCCCTCTGTCCGAGCTCATCTGGACAAACCCTCCATCATCCGCCTCTCCTTGAGCTACATACGCATGCAAACACTGCTCAGAGGTAATGAAACAGACTACCACACACTCAGATTAGTCAGTGCATAAAAAACTTTGGAGAATACTTTAGATTTTTTTGTACCATTTGTAATGTGCGTGTATTTTCTACAAAGCTATTATAAATTGATTTTTGACTCATATTAGACTTGTTTCACATGTTAATGTTTGTTATTAACATTCTGTGGTTTTGATTTACTTTTCAATTGAATAATGATGCAAATATCCTCACTGAAGAACATAAAATATTTTATATTTCTGTCTATTTTTGTTATTATTGTTATTGTTGTTATTTAATAATAAATTATCATTTAATTTACAAATTGAGAGTCATTGAAGTATAGGCATAATCTAAAGTGTGCATTTAATTATGTTCTAACAACAACATATTTCAAATAAAAAAATGATATTGGATAAATACAATGGTATGTGAAAGTTTGGGCAGCCTTGTTAATCTTCATATTTCCTGAATAAATTTGGGGAACTCAATATTAGTATACCTTCCTTTAGCAGAAATAACAGCCTCTAAATGCTTCCTATTTACCCTTTGCACGTGACGTCACGCCACTCATGTGACCGCCCCCTTCGCCATGATGGACGGCAAAAAGACTGTTTACACCCGCAGAAACTCCAGTGAAGGTAGTCAAAACAAACCAGTTTGTAGCCTTTTATCGCTTTTATTTAGTTGATTTGACAGTAAAATGGTTTTAGCTTGCTGCGTGGTTGGCTGCACTAAGAGACAAGGACATAAACTCAACTCGTTTTTTCTTTTTAATAACTTTGATGGAGACTGAGGATGGAGATGAACTGCAGCGATCAATCAATCAAGCGGACTAGTAGGCCTCAGATTTGCAGCGAACATGTTTTTACCGGGTAAAGCTTGGTTTATGCTTGACGCGTCCGCGAGGTCCGCACGGCTCCGCGCAGCGAAATTGCGTCATTTTAACAACCACGCCCCTCCACCGCGCCTCCGCACAGCCCAAAATTTCCGCAACGTGCACCTAGGAAAATTTCTAACCACGCGGACGGTCGGACGCGGAAAAACATGGCGGACTGGCAGTAACAAGTATGGCAGAGGTTCGTAAATACAGACATTTGTATGATTCAGCTCTCAGAGATCACCGTGATCAACAAGTTGTTAATAATTCTTGGAGAGAAATAGCTCGCACTGTCGGAAAAGATGAGGACGCTGTTAAAAACTGCTGAAATGCCATGTTGTAAACAGTCATTTCTACTTCTACTATGGTGTAGTGTTGGATTCATGCCGTAGAGCTCCATGCTGCCCCGTTCAGTTTGGGAGAATATGGCTCACCGCAGAGACAAGCTGCATGAATCATAAACGCTGCGAGTTTTGAAGTGCGTTCCATCCGTGAGCCGCATCACCAAGCGGAAAGTGAATGCGTCAAGCATAACCCAAGCTTAAGAGTAACGTTAATTTATTTCAAGGAAGACAGGGACAGGGATAAATGTGATGTGTTTATACTAGTTATTGATAACCCTGATGGATAGGTATTTCACCACGGAGGCTGCGCTCTGTCCACTGTAGTGTAAAGCGAGACAATTATTAACAATATTAAAGCTCCGATATATAATTACGTGTGTTAAAATTACGTTATTTATTTACATGAGCGTCGGCGTTCAGAGAGCTTCTCATTCCGGTGTGAGAGCAGCAGCTGAACCCGGTAACACCACCAGCAACAGAAGCTGGTAGGGATCCGGACTTTTTAAAAATCAGCTTTGGTGTAAAGTGAAACGCTGTTTACAACATAAAGTTATAAATCCAGAGGGGTGAATTTAGGCAAAGTCAGCAACATGTTTACATCTGTGAACAGCTGCAGAGAGAACGTAAGCTAACGTTGGTAAGCTAGTTAACATACCTCTATGAGCCCCCGCTAGATGCACTACTTCTGATAACTGAACCGGGTATGAACTAGTTGAAGGAATGCTGGAGGAGTTTTGTTTTTGATCGCAAAAACAATTTCAGGCTCTACTTTTCCCTTTGCTTAGTAATCATGCCGCTCACTGTTTACATGCTTTTGCCGTCCACCATGGTGGACCCACGTGATTAGGTAGGGGCAGTAGCTCAACAGGTTGAGCGGGTTGTCCAGTAATCGGAAGGTTGCAGGTTCGATCCCAGCTCCGGACAGAGAATTCTGCTGTTGTGCCCTTGGGCAAGACACTTAACCCACCTTGCCTGCTGGCGGTGGTTGGAGGAACTGGTGGTGCCTGTCCTCGCCTCTGTCAGTGCTCCCCAGGGCAGCTGTGGCTACATTGTAGCTCATCACCATCAGTGTGTGAATGTGTGTGTGAATGGATGAGTGATACACTGTAGTATAAACACTTTAGAGTCTTTACTCTGAGAGGCGCTATACAAGTGTGGGTCATTTGTCATTTATCATTTAGGTGACGTCTGTGCAAAGGGTCAATAGTTTCCAATAAGAGTCTGGATTCTGGCTGAAGGTATTCTGGACCATTCTTCTTTACTAAACATCGCTGGTTCATTCAGGTTTGATGGCTTGTGAGCATGGACAGCTCTGTTTTATTCACACCACAGATTTTCAGTAATATTCAGGTCTGGGGACTGAGATGGCCATTCCAGAACGTTCTATTGTTCCTTTGCATGAATGCCTTAGTAGATGTGGAGCAGTGTTTTTGTTGTCTTGTTGAAAGTTCCAGCCCCGGCGCAGGTTCAGCTTTGTCACTGATTCCTGGACATTGGTCTCCAGAATCAGCTGATATTGAGTGGAGTCCATGCGTCCCTCAGCTTTAACAAGATTCCCAGTCGCTGCACTGGTGGCCACACAGCTGTCATGATTCGGAATGAATGACTCTTAAGCAGACACAGCACACTCGGACTCAGAAACAACTTTTTCTTACAACAGTTTATTTTCTTCTGGATCAGAGGAATTGAGAGACCAAGAGGAAGCAAGGATTCAAGGAGGATCATCACTGGAAAAGGTAGTAGGTGTGGTGACTATGTGTAGAAACGAACTGAGCGTTCATTAGCAGGATTAATTGGAACTGATAACTCACTGGAGCTGCGGAGGGACCGGTCCTGAGGGAGAGGCGAGTATTCAGGATGGTTGAAGGTTGTGAGAGCTGCGTGATGGTTTAGTGGTGTGTTCTTTCCACATGAGAGCTGAGCGGCTTGGCAGAATCCAGTGCTGGAGCTTTTGCAGTGGCGGAGAGAGGAGCGGCCACACCCGTGGAGACGGACGTCCAAACAGTGAAGACTTGGAGAAGAGAACTTGGATGTATGAACCGACGAGGAACTTCCTGGGTCTTTCAAAGACACAGAAGAGACTGCTGCGAGGAACAGAGAGAATCACAGGTGAGTACTTGGCACAAAGGGAAGCACAACTAGAGAGCATGTGGTCAGTTAACCACTCCATTAATGGAATCAGCTGACGTCCGTCTGTTCTTCTCCTCTGAAATTAGGCAGTCTAGACGCCTTTAAGGCGTATTGCTGCCACACCAGTCAACACACCGAGCCAGCACAACCCACTGCACACAACAGGCATGCGTACCATCCCACCCCGTGTTCCCACACAACCACCATCAACAAAAACCCACCACCCATTCACACCCCAGTGAAAACACATAACCCCACAGGGAGGTTCACCCATACTCACACTCCCAGCCCCACCATCTACACCCACCACCAAGGTCATCCCACAATCCACAGCAAACCCAGAAATCCACAGCAAACCCAGAACCCCCAACACCCCGCAAACACATCACCCCTCAAACCTCCTCGGGGGACACGTCAGAAAAACCCAATAAGGCCCCTGCCACTGCCGTCACCTCACCAGCCACATCGGACTTGTTGGACGCTCCATTCTTCACCCTCCACATGGCCTCAACAAGAAATGCCAAAAACTTCCTTTCATCCCTCACAACTACCACACCCGCCCCCATATCCCCACCACCAGTTGACAAAGGCACATTACAAGGACCGGACACACCACTATGCCGCACCCCCATATGATGCACCGCCTCAGAATACGACACCTTATGCTCAGCCTGAACCTTCCCTACCTCCACCGCCACCCTATACACCACACAGCCCCTATAAGCCGCGTGATGGTGCCCACAACAGTTACAACACCGGAGCGGTAAATCACAACTCTTACCGTCATGGTCACCCCCGCACCTCCGACAACACCCCCCCACCACACAGGCACCGGCCACATGACCATATCCCTGACACCTAAAACACCCCAGAGGAGGTTCCTTGTATGCCCTCACCGCATAACTTAAGAAGCCCAACCGGACACGAGCAGGAAGCTCCACTGCGTCTAAAGTAATCAGCAGCAGAGTGGATCCACGTGCGTTAAACCCCAGACGCCGAACAGCCACCACCGATGCCCCACTCAAGGAACCAAACACCACCGACTCAGTGATCTTGTTGGAAATGCCGTACACCACACCCTTAATCCCACAACCAGACCTCGACTTGGAAACCACCACGTCCACCCCCAGAAAGTTCTCAAGCCACAGCGCTTTGTGGCACTGGGACTTATTCCGGCACACCACCACCAACAGCCCACTGAACACTATGGTAGCGTCTAGCACATCCTCTACCACAGCACTCAGCTCCCTGGACACCGCCAATGGGTTAGAGGTAGCAAAATGCGCATCTCCTACCCCCCTGATTCGCATTACAAAGCCACCCTCCTCCAGCCTCTGTTGCTTTAGCTGTGCATCCCAGTCACAATCCGATCCATCACTGCCACTCCCACGGTCCCTCTTTGCTGTCCCCATTGAACCAGCGTACCTGCCCCCCCCCCCCCCCCCCCCCATCCCCATTGTCCACAACAACTGAGGCCACTCCGAAGCAAAGCCGGGCCGCTGTCTTACCGGGCCTGTACAGGCCGTTGGTCAACCACCCGAACAACCCTTGAAGTCTCAATGAGCGCTCTCAAAAACTAACCCAAAGACATTTCAAACTCATACCATCAATGTCCGTCTGGTGGCTCCAATCCTCCTAGGTGCTGCTGCCTTGATGAGGTAATTGGCTCCAGCTGGGACCACTCAGCACCTGGGAAAAGAGGAACAGCTCCACCTGCTGGATCCTGACAACAGCCCACAGCATGATGGAACCACCACCATGTTTTACTGTAGGTAGCAGGTGTTTTTCTTGGAATGCTGTGTTTTTTTACCTCTATGCATAACTCCCGTGGTTATGCCCAAATAACTCAGTTTTAGTTTCATCGGTCCACATCACCTTATTCCAGAATGAAGGTGGCTTGACCAAATGTGCTTTAGCATACCTCAAGCAACTCTGTTTGTGCTGTGGATGAAGAAAAGGCTTCCTCTGCATCACTCTCACATATAGCATCTGTCAGATAAAAGTTTTAGACCAGTGTGGGGTTAACCCATAGGGGGTTCTAAAACACTGGTTTTCAGTGAGACAGAGCCAAGTTCCATTGTGGTAATTCTCGCTTCTGCCTTATTCAGGTGGAGAACTCTTACCTTTGCATCCACAAGGGTCGCTCAATATTATTCTCACTGTTTGATGTGATACTGCATCACCTAGTGGTAATTCAGTATCCAATCATGCTTGCACAGTCACACAGTTTAAAGTCCTATTTTTTGTCACGAATAATTTCAGGGATCTGTCCCCTAACTTACTTTAGGACTATTTTGTGCCTGTGTAGGGTCTAGAATCCCACAGGTCTTTCACTCAGTCACACTTTTTAAAGTGAGACAAACTCACGGAATATAAGGACTCCGTCGTCCCCTTCTGTGTCTCCCTCCTTCGGAGTTCCTTCAATTTGCAGATTCCAGAGGATGGGGTACGCCCAGTCCCGAAAAGGGTCTGAAGGACTCTCACCTAAAGTTCCTGCTGTGGCCACAGTCTTCTGGATGCCACCTGGTTTCCTGGAATCTTTTGAATATGTTGGAATCTGGCTTGAAGGACCAATTAATGTCATGTTAAAAACCCCTAAGACACCAAAAACACAAGGAAAGAGACGCAAAAGTCAGAATTCTTTTTTATGCTCAAGGAGAATGGAATAAGGTGTCACGGTCACTTAATCCACTGCAGCTGTCCCAGTTCTGTGTTAACAGGTGGGCGTGTCGGAGAACCAGCTGTTCCTGATCTCCCTGATCAGAGGGCCAGGGGTACTTAAGGAGCGGTGTGACACAACTCCGCTGCCAGTTGATACTCGCATCTTGGGTAAACACTAGCCAGTCGCAGTTCTAGTTTGATGTTCAGTTTTAATCTTGTCTGCCCGTTCCAGTCAGCCCCGATCTACCGAGTCCTGAAGGTTCCTGCTCGTCTGTTCTCAGGAATTACCCACCGCCGTCTGGAGTTGTTGTTCCCACATCACGTCTCTCACTGTCCCCCTGGTCTCCTCACTCTCCGCCGCCCGTCTGTCGTCCTGCCTGCTTCCCAGCCTGCCTAACCACCAGCCTCCGGACCTGCATCATAAGCTGCCTCACTGTCTGCCTCGCAACCTGTTTCCTCATCCCATCCTGGATCCTCATTCTCTGCTGCTTGTCTGTCCCGACCTGGCCCCAAAGATTCAGCCCTGCCTCACCAAGACCGATCATCTCCAGTAAGAATAGCTCTCCAAACAATTCCAGTTCTGGTTCTCTGGTTCCAGGGTTTCGTGATTCTAACACAAGTTTGCTTTCCCGTTCTAGATCACGATCCCTCCCATTCCCGTTTGGAGCAGCGTTTTCAGTTATACATCATTCTTAATAAATAGTATTTGTTATTTACTTACCATCGTTTCCGTCCGTGATTCTTTCATGTCCTGGGTAAAACATATTCCCAACATGACAGAATCAACCGGCCAAAGGTCCACCCCCTTGGAAGAATCACTTCCGCCAGCCGTTGGTTACACTCTAGCCAAACATGAAAGATCCATACAAGCCGTCCTTGACCAATTTTCCTCCACTAATCAGCGCCTGTTCCAGCTTGACTCCGCGCTTCGCCAGATGAATGACGCGTTCAGAACTACACCTCCGTCTACCGCTACTTCCGCAGCCCCATCCCAGTCATCACTTCCGGTTCCGCTGCCTGGGTTCGGCTTCCGGGTCGCCGAATCTCCACAACCCAACACCTTTTCCGGCGAACCAGGTAAATGCCGTAGTTTTTATTATTATGTCAGTTAGCTTTTGAACGTTCCCCAGAAACTTTTATTAACGATACGGTTAAATTTTCATTTATTGTTGGTTTGCTCCGGGGTAAGGCCTTGCAGTGGGCTGAGGCCAAGAGCCGCCAGCCCAACTTCCTACGCGGCTCCCTCTCAGATTTTTTAAGCGAGTTCAAGCAGCTGTTCGATTTCACCGAATCCTCGGTAGAGTTAGCAAAACGTATCTGGAATCTGCAACAGGGTAAACAATCAGTTACAGCATTTGCTATTGAGTTCCGAACCCTTGCTTCAGTTTCCACCCTAGACGAGGCCTCCTTTAAAGCCACCTTCTCTCAGGCCTTAACCGAGCGCATCAAGGATCAATTTGCCTATTGTCTGGAACTAGAGAACCTTGAGGCCCTTATCGTCCTGGCCACCAACATCAAGAAGCGTCTTAATGAAAGACATAGAACCAACTTGTTCAGGCCCCCGCCGGTTAAAGTCCCACATCAACGTGTCCACCAATCACCACAATAAGCCTCCCATCCTACAGGACCAGAGGAACCGATGCAGATCGAAAGAGCCCAACTGTCTCCTGAGGAGAAGCAGAGATGTCGCTCCTCTGGTTTGTGTCTGTATTGTGGTCAGTCTGGCCATTTTGTCCCGACCTGTCCGGTTCGGCCAAAAGCCGCCGCCCACCAGTAGAACGGAATTACTGGTGGGTGGAAATGCAAGTAGCCCAAACTCCCAATGTGCTTTATCCTCCTCGGTCACCGTCAACCAAAAGACTTTTTCTGCAGATGCCTGTGAGAGGAACATTTTGGATATAACGGTGGTACAGCAACTCAACATCCCCACTGTCCTACTCCCTTCACCCATAAAGGCCTCCTCACTGGACGGGAGCTCGCTCACCACCATAACCCATCGTACAGTTCCGGTACATCTGTTGGTTTCTGGAAATCACCATGTAGTGTTGAGTTTTTTCGTGTTTCCTTCTCCACAGTCTCCTGTAGTCCTGGGCTATGAATGGTTGGTCAATCATAATCCTCACCTTGATTAGAGGACAGGGTCGATCGCTGCCTGGAGCCCCTTTTGCTTGTCCCACTGCCTCCTCTCAGCTCCCCTTCCCGTCGGAGAACTCAGGAGTCAGACACAAGAGCCACCCAATTTGACGGAAGTCCCCTCAGAGTACCATGACCTCCTGCAGGTATTTAGCAAGGACCGTGCGTCCTCATTGCCTCCTCATCGACCCTATGATTGTTGTATCGATCTCATTCCTGATGCATTTTTATCATCAACCCGCTTATACAACCTGTCCAAACCAGAACAAGAAAGTATGGCTAAATACATATCTGAGTCCCTGTCTGCAGGTATTATAAGGCCTTCCACATCCCCCCTGGGTGAGGGGTTTTTTTTGCATCAAAGAAGGATGGATCCCTGCGTCCCTGCATCGACTGTCGAGGACTGAACCAGATCACTATCAAAAACAAGTACCCTCTACCTCTGCTTTCCTCTTCTTTCAACCCTGTTAACAATGCGTCTGTCTTTACCAAGTTGGACCTGCGCAACGCTTACCACCTCGTGAGAATCCGGGAGGGGGACAAATGGAAAACGGCTTTCAAGACCCCTCTTGGACATTACGAATACCTGGTCATGTCATTTGGACTCACTAATGCCCCGCAGTCTTCCAGTCTCTGGTGAACTCTGTCCTGAGTGACTACATAAACAAATTTGTCACGGTTTATTTGGACGATATTTAGACTTTTTCCAGATCCCTCACAGAACATCGCCAACATGTCCGAGCTGTGCTTCAATGACTCCTCGAAAACCACCTGTATGTCAAAGCTGAAAAATGTGAGTTTCACGTCTCGTCCGTCACGTTCTTAAGCTTTGTCCTGGAGAGTGGTCGGCTGAAGACAGACCCTGATGAGATCGAGGCAGTTCGGACATGGCCAACCCCTGAAACACGCAAGCAACTACAAAGGTTTTTGGGTTTTGCACATTTCTATCGACGTTTTATCAGGAACTACAGCCAGATAGCCACACCCCTCACTCGACTCACCTCAGTCAATCTTCCGTTTCTGTGGTCCCTGGAGGCTGACCAAGTATTCAACACCCTCAAGACCAGTTTCACCCAGGCACCCATTCTCACATGCCCAGACACCTCTCTACAGTTCACCCTAGAGGTTGACGCATCTGATACTGGAGTGGGTGCTGTACTCTCCCAAGTCTCTCCCACAGATCACCGTCTCCATCCCTGCGCCTTTTTCTCCCGTCGTCTTTCGGCTGCAGAGCAGAATTATGACGTGGGAGACCGGGAACTTCTGGCCATCAAGCTGGCTTTGGAGGAGTGGCGTCACTGGCTGGAGGGTGCAGAACATCCAATAGTAATCTGGACAGATCACAAGAATCTCTCATATTTAAAGGAAGCTAAAAGACTAAATCCTCATCAGTCCCGCTGGTCGTTGTTTTTCTTCCGATTCACCTTTGTTATCTCTTTCAGACCTGACTTCAAGAATGTCAAACCCGATGCCCTTTCCCGGCAGTGCGCTTCTGACAAAGACACCGAACCCACTACCATCCTACCAGCCGTCTGCATTGTCGGCTCCATAGCTTGGGACATCACCAATAAGGTACTGGAAGCCCAACATTTGGAACCAGACCCAGGTACTGGTCCCCCACATAAAACATATGTTCCTTCCAGCACTTGCTGCTCCCTAATCCACTGGGCACACACTGCTAGATTTTCCATTCACCCCAGCCTTGGCAGAACCTTAGCGTTCATTCGTAGACCCTTTTGGTGGCCTTCAATGTACAAAGATGTGAAGGAATACATTAGCGCCTGTCAAGTCTGTGCCAGGTCGAAAAGTAGCAACCAAGCCCCTCAAGGTCTTCTCCAACCCTTGCCGGTACCCCCTTGCCCCTGGTCTCACATAGCCCTAGATTTTGTGACTGGTCTACCTCCCTCTAAGGGCTTCACTATCATACTCACAGTAGTTGACCACTTTTCCAAAGCCTGTCATCTGGTCCCGTTAAAATCCCTTCCTTCCTCTGCAGAAACTGCTAATCTCCTCATTAAACATTTTTTTGATTGCATCCCTTCCGAGATCCTCTCAGACAGAGGACCTCAGTTCATAGCCCGCATTTGGACAGAGTTCGCCACCCACCTCGGGGCCCAGGTCTCTCTCACCTCAGGTTTTCATCCGCAAACAAACTGCCAGTGTGAACGCCTAAACCAGGAGCTTGAGGCTATGCTCAGGTGCGTCTGCTCCTCCAACCCTTCCAGTTGGAGTTCACAGTTGCCATGGATGGAGTACGCACACAACTCCCACACCTCCTCCTCCACAGGTCAGTCCCCGTTTGAGATCTCCCTGGGGTACCAGCCCCCTCTGTTTCCCTCAGACTCTGCTTCTCCCATCACTGTGCCTCATTTCCTCCATAGGGCCAGACGCACCTGGAATCAAACCCGTTCGGCTCTACAACGTACGGCGGATCGTAATCACAGGATTGCGGATCGACACCAGCGTCTGGCCCCTGCCTACGCCATAGGAGACTTGGTTTGGCTCTCCTCCTGTGATATCCAACTCCGGGACTCCTCCAGGAAGTTCTCTCCCAGTTACCTTGGTCCTTTCCCCATCGCCGCTGTCCTCAGTCCTGTCTCTGTCCGCCTGACCTTACCCCCATCTATGAAGGTACACCCTGTGTTTCATGTCTCGTTGCTCAAACCCGTTGTCTCCAGCCCCCTGTGTCTCCAGCCCCCAAACTCACGTCTCTCACCGTCCCCCTGGTCTCCTCACTCTCCGCCGCCCACCTGTCGTCCTGCCCGCTTCCCAGCCTGTCTTACCACCAGCCTCCAGACCTGCATCATAACCTGCCTCACTGTCTGCCTCACAACCTCATTCCGTCCTGGATCCTCATTCTCTGCTGCTTTTCTGTCCCGACCTGGCCCCAAAGACCCAGCCCTGCCTCACCAAGACCGATCATCTCCAGTAAGAATAGCTCTCCAAACAATTCCAGTTCTGGTTCTCTGGTTCCAGGGTTTTGTGATTCTAACACAAGTTTGCTTTCCCGTTATTGATCACGGCCCCTCCTGTTCCCGTTTGGAGCAGCGTTTTCAGTTACACATCGTTCTTAATAAATATTATTTGTTATTTACTTACCATCGTTTCTGTCCGTGATTCTTTCATGTCCTGGGTAAAACATATTCCCAACATGACATAAGGTCCGACTAGCTCAGTCTCCACTGAGCCGGCAGATCCTCCAAAACCATTCTGCCTTTGAAATCCAAGTGTGTGTTTTTTATTACAAGCTGGGTGTTCCCTAGGTACATGCCTGAGAGCTGACACTGAAGGATGGGGGGAAATCACAGCTCTCAGTTTTTTCAGTAATTGTTACAAGTTTCACACAAAGAGTATCCAGCATTTCTAAATCACACAATGAGCTTTCATTGTTTCTAATCAGTGTGCATTCAATGTTTCTAATCACACAATGAGCAACAGATAGTTGCTTGAGTCAGCAGATGTCCTTGGGCCACATGAGGTCAGAACCAAAGCACAGCATTTTAAAAGTCTCCTCATGAGACTTCAAACAATACAGCAACTATTCAGCATGAATGGTAAAATCTTTAAATGTAATAAAAGCATAAAGCATGATAAAAGAAAACACATATAATTATTTTAACAGCATCTCCTTGTGGAAAGTAGCTGAACGATGCACAATGACTCCATGATGATGTAGGTATTTGGCGCTGGTCTGGGGATTGACTCTGACTGTTCTCACCATTCTTTGCTTCTGTTTATCTGAGATTTTTCTTTGTCTGCCACTTGGAGCCATAACTTGAACTGAGCCTGTGTTCTTCCATTTCCTCAATATGTTCCTAACTGTGGAAACAGAAGCTGAAATCTCTGAGACAGCTTTCTGTATCCTTCCTCTAAACCACGATGGTGAACAATCTTTGTTTTCAGCTCATGAGAGTTGTTTAGAGATCACCATGTTGCAACTCTTCAGAGAATATTCAAAGCCTCCCTGTTTTGCCAACTTAGTGAAGCCAACTATCAGTAGTTTTGGACTCAGAGCTGCGGATGGACTCTCACATTAGCCAGGTGGTTAGATCCTGCTTCTTCCAGCTTCTCCGGCTATCAAAGATGAAGTCCATCCTGAGTAGATGTGACCTGCACACAGTGATCCACACATTTGTGATCTCTCGCCTGGATTATGCTAATTCCCCTTTTTTTTTATCTATCTCTTCCTCGGTTGCGCACCTCCTGTTGGATACCAGATGGAGGGAGCATATTATCAAATCAAATCAACTTTATTTACATAACACTTTTCATACAAAAAAATGCAACTCAAAGTGCTTCACAGATTAAAATGGCCCTATAGATCCCATATTCCCATCCCAGCCACCCTCCCCAAGTATAAAACAATTGACAATTACACTTCCCCTCCTGCAACCAATTTCCAAGGTGAACGTATTACTCCCATTCTGGCCCAGCTGCACTGGCTACCGGAGCGCTACCTCATCCAATTTAAAATTTAACTTTTTGTTATTAATCCCTTCATCTTTATGCACCTCTGTACTTGACCCAGCTGGTTCACCCTACAAACCAGGTTGGACTTTTTGGTCAGCAGACCACCACCTGTTACAGGTCCCAAGGGTTCGGGTGAGGACACGAGGAGAACACGCGTTCTCAATCTGTGCGTCCTGTCAATGGAACAATTTCCCTCTGGCAGTGAGAATGGCCCCCTCTCTCTGTTTTTAAATCACTCCTGAAGGCTCATTTCTATTCTTTGGCTTTTAATTCAGCCTAGTCGGCCTCTTACTGTGTACTTGTTTTACTTTATTTATTGTTAATTTTCTAGTTGTTACTGTGCTACTTTTATTACTTCCAATGCCTGCATTTTGGTTTTCATTTGTTCCATCCTTATGCCAGTGTACAGCACTTTGGTCGACCTTGGCCGTGTATAAATGTGCTTTATAAATAAAATGAGATGAGATGAAAGAGAAGGGAAGCTTAATACTCTTTCTCTTAATTGGATTCACCTGTGTATGGAGGTCAAAGGTCACTGAGATTTCCAAACAAATTTTGAGTTTCAAAAATTAGTTCAAAAGGTTTTGGAATCAATAAAATGACAAATTTATGCACCTGCCTAATTCTGTTTAAAGAATTATTACACTTTCTATAAATCCTAGTTTCACTTCTCAAATATTACTGTGTGTCTCCTGTATGATATATTTAACTGAAATTTTAATATAGTAAAAAGCAACGATTTATACAGGAAAATCATGAAGATTAACAAGGCTGTCCAAACCTTCATATCCCATTGTACATGCGCTGGAATTATTCTATGTGTCAGAGTTTGTGCTATTGTGATTTCTGCCTAAAACATAAAAACACGTGTTCAAAAATGGGCTTGTGGTTCATCTTAGGTGTCAGACAGAGGAAGTCTCAGAACGTGGAGCACATTGCAAAAATACACCACATCCTTTGTTTGCTTGCTCTCACACCACAAACACTTAACCTTGTGAAATTACAAATTTAACTTATTGTAAAAATAAACCACAAGTTGCTGCAGTTAATAGAAATGTTCCTCTGCTTCAGACACTGCCGGGGCAAACGCAGAGCTCAGGTATACAGCAGGACACGGAGTGAACGGGGGACAGGAAATGATGTGCGAGACACAGGATTTTGTGCTGTTGGATGAAACAAGCATGTACTTGAAGGTTCTGGAGGGATTTCTGATGGTTTTATCCACAGCAGGAGACATGATCTTCCTGTCGGACAATGTCAGCAAGTACATGGGTTTAACTCAGGTGAGACCAACAGATGTGAAGCTTCACTGGAATTTTAGCGGTTAAACGCTCATTTACTCTTTGTTTATGACAGACTGAGCTGATGGGGCACAATATTTTTGAGTACACTCACCCGTGTGATCACGAGGAAATCAGGCACAACCTACGTCTGACAGCAGGTGTGTGTGTGTGTGTGTGTGTGTGTGTGTGTGTGTGTGTGTGTGTGTGTGTGTGTGTAAATAAGGGTAAATTCATGTCCTTAGAGCTTCATAAATAGCTTTTTTTCAGAGGATGTCTGGTGTAGTCAGAAGAGGGACATTGTGATGAGGATCAAAAGCGCTCTGACACATAGAGGAAGAATCTCTAACATCAAGTCTGCAACGTGGAAGGTCGGTGAAGAAAAATGAAACCTTGTGAATCCTGTTTGTTGTTTTTGATTCAAATCTCTGAACCTGATGCAACTTCAGGTGTTACACTGTCAGGGCAGGGCCAAGGTGTGCACAGCCTCCTCTTCAGCTTCCTGCCTACTTCTGACCTGCCGGCCTCTACCTCTCTCACACACTCTCCTCAGCACACACACATTCACGAGCCAACACAGCATGGACATGAAGTTCACATACTGTGACCAGAGGTTTGTACAAACTCTGCTTACACACAGCATACTATTTATACACTCACATACAGTGTCTGTTGATCTAAGTTAAATAGGAATACCTGCCTAGCGTATTACTGAACTTACAGATACATGCATATATTTGTGAAAAACGGCACAACTTAATAAGTGTCTAGAATGAAATCATTACTTCAGAGTTTATTATTTATTCACGAGGTGTCTTAAGAAAACTTGCTGTTCATCCAATGGTCAGCAGGGTGATTTTGCAAGAATGTAAATTTGCAAAGAAGTTGTTGAAAATCCTTTTCCTAATAGACTGAATATTTCCATAAGCTTTTACTTATTGCAGCGTGTAGTCTCATTCAGAGTAAACTCTTCTGAATGCGTCAGGTTGAGTTAGGCTGTGAATGACTGTTTGATTCTTGTGGTTGTAAGTCAGGAACATGTCAGGGTGGTAACCTCCGGTTTGACAGTGGTATGGTGGTAACAGTCAACATGATAACGTCCGCTTTGCAGAGGAGAACACACACCTTTTAGTCATTTTAGGGGCAACTTTCATCTTCAACATTACAGTACTAGTTTTTCTCTGTTTCTACTCTTATTACTTCATCCAGATTTGTAGCAATACTTACAGAAATACACATAATACATATAAAATTTCCCATCTTACCGTCCGCGGGTGGTCTCATCCCGCCGAGGTCAGGTCCTCTACCAGAGGTATGGGAGCTCGAAGGTTCTGCGCAGTATCTCAGCTGTTCTTAGAGCTGCTCTTTTCTGGACTGGATATATATACAATACAATCATTTTTATTAACAGACTCAAGGTCCAGAGACAATAAAAACAAACATAAGATAAAAAACTACACAAGAAAAGACAAAGATACAAGGAAGTCAACATAAACACCTATACTAATAATGTCTTATATGTATATATATATATATATATATATATATATATATATATATATATACACACACACACACACACACACACACACACACACACACACAAGACCCTGAGATATTTAACCTCCTCCACTCGACCTCGTCCCTTAACTGTAGAAGGACTCAAGACCAAAAAGCAACGATTCAATTCTTAGGCCACCAAAACAGACCCCCCTCATCACCTTGGCTGCACCTAGATAATCTTGTCCATTAAAGTTATGAACACAATCAGTGACAAATGGCAGCCTTGGTGAAGTCCAACTCTCACTGGAAACGAGCATGACTTACTGCCGGCAATGTGGACTAAGCTCTAAAACCGGTCATATAGGGACCTAATCATAGGCCCACAAGTACCCCCCATAAGGCCTCCCAACACCACAAAACACATGTAGATTGGTTGGGCAATTTCCCTCGAACCTTCCAGGACCCCTAAAGCTTGGTTTATGCTTGACACATTCACTTTCCGCTTGGTGATGCGGCTCGCGGCTGGAACGCACTTCACAACTCGCAGCGTTTATGGTTCATGCGGCTTGTCTCTGCGGTGAGCCATATTCTCCCAAACTGAACGGGGCAGCATGGAGCTCTATGGCATGCATCCAACACTACACCATAGTAGAAGTAGAAATTACTGTTTACAACATGGCATTCCAGCATTTTTAACAATGTCCTCATCTTTTCCGACAGTGCGAGCTACTTCTTTCCAGGAATTATTACCAACATGTTGATCATGGTAATCTTTGAGAGCTGAATCATACAAATGTCTGTATTTACGAACCTCTGCCATACTAGTTCTTGCCGGTCCGCCATGTTTTTCCGCCTCCAACCGTCCGCGTGCTTAGAAAATTTCCTAGGTGCGCGTTGCGTAAATTTTGGGCCGTGCGGAGGCGAGGTGGAGGGGCGTGGTTGTTACAATGATGCAAAATGATGCAACTTTTCCGCGCGGAGCCGTGCGGACCTCGCGGACGCGTCAAGCATAAACCAACCTTAAGGGTATGAAGCTGGTCCAGTGTTCCACGGTTAGGACAAAAACAAAATTTCTCCTCCTATATCTGAGGTTTGGAAATCCGTCGGACCCCCCTTCTCCAGAACCCCTGAAGAGACTTTACAAGGGAGGCTCAGAAATGAGATTCCCCCTGTGGTGGTCCCCCTTTTTACTTAGGGGGACCACCACCATGGTCTGCCAATCCTGTGGAGCTGCCCCTGCTTTTATGTATATTTATTTATAAATGTGATTTTCTTGACTGTTTTGTACACTGAGTCAAGGTCAAAATAGCTGAATAAATGCACTGGGGATAGTTTTATAGAAAAAAAGAACAGTTCTTAACACAGCTCCAGAAAAGAGCTGCATCTGTTCAAAATATTTGTGGTAGAGAACTGCATCATCTAAGCCAGTGGTTCCCATACTTATTTAGCCTCGAACCCCCATGTCCCGACCATGTCGACGCACCCCTCAGCCCCACATCAGGGCATGGCTATATATATATATATATATATATATATAATGTGGTGACTATAGGGTCAACGAATCATTTGTAAGCTTTTACTTACTTTTGGATTCTTCAATAAATTCGTAAATATGGAAATATTTACCGATTTATTAATTAATTAGGATATCCGGGTATATCCTCGGGGCACCACCCATTCTAATTAGAAAGGGAAGTGAATCCAAAATTCTTATCAGTCTCGACTAAACGTTCCGTGAATCCTAACGAGCTGCTGTTGAATTTTATAACACAAACAAACTCAATCTGAGACAAAAATCTTAATTGGCTATAGATTTAATAACTTAAATATTCACTTCAGCTCCTTCTGAAGTGTTAATCAATCAATATCAACCAACTGATTTTATCAAATGAATAACAACAATGAAATGATACCGTAAAACAAGGAGACCCCAATGGATGGGTGTGTTTTAGTCGTGTGTCCTCCTAAACGCTGAAAACAAACGTGTGTGTGTGTGTGTGTGTGTGTGTGTGTGTGTGTGTGTGTGTGTGTGTGTGTGTGTGTGTGTGTGTGTGTGTGTGTGTGTGTGTGTGTGTGTGTGTGTGTGTGTGTGTGTGTGTGTGTGTGCAGGGTAACTTCTCTCTTAGGCTACAGGCCTGATGAGCTGCTGGGCCGCTCCATCTATGACCTCTGTCACACACTGGACACAAAGTGTTTAAACAAAAACCACCTCAACCGTAAGTATTGATGCACTGGTATGCACACAAGCACACACACACACACACACACACACACACACACACACACACGCACGCACGCACGCACGCACGCACACACACATACACATATACACACATACACACATACACACATACACACACACACACACACACACACACACACAGAGTGCAGAATTAACACAAATTCTGCATGCTCCTGCAGTGTGCTTGAAGAGTCAGTCTGTCAGTGGTCAGTACAGGCTGCTGGTGAGGGGTGGGGGCTACGTCTGGGTGGAGAGCCACAGTGCCGTCATCCCCGGTGTCCAGCCCTCCAGGTCCAGACCCAACACCAACCAGCCGCTCTGCATCCTGACTGTCACATACGTCCTCAGGTGTGTGCAGCTTTTCAAGTAAAACTGACTTTTGTTCCACCTGATCTGATACAAACATATAAGAATAGGATAAGAATGAAAGTAGGCAGTAGCGTTGTGGTCTTACAATATGTTCTTGTTTTTCTGTTGCAGCAGAGTTGAGAACTTTGTAGTATGACATGTTCTGAAAGTGCTCTGTTCTGACAGACGAGGGGCTTTAAAGTGTTTTAGCAGTGTTTCATCACAACATATTCATAAAGCCACATCACATCAACATGATTTTACTATTACTGACTTCATTTTAGAGAATCGCTTGAGGGGCTAAAATAAATGTTATAATTCCTGTGCGGTATTTAGATTCCTTTTCTATTATTACTTTACAACAACAACACTCATGAGATAGAATCAACACTAGATAGCAAATCAAAATGAACTATTTATTGACAAAAAGTCAAAAAACACCAAGTTTTAATCAGGGTTGCAAACAATTTATTGAGACAAGTTGTGTAAATCTTCTTAAAGATTAACCTCAAGTGCAAAATTAAAAAAATCAGTCACAGAGTAAAACCTTGTTTGATGCAGGAAAAGTTCAAAGTTTTCCCTGACAGAGAAAACCTTTGATGTTTTATAAGTTGAATTACAGAAACCACTTCTTATGGCTTAACACTTAACCTCCTGCTGACGAATCATTGGTGCAATAAAAGACCTTTAATTCTGCAAAGATGAACCCAACAGTTCTCTCATTAAAGTCAAAGTCCCATAGTCGTCGTCACACACTGGTGAAATTCATCTCCGCATTTGACCCATCCCCATGGGAGGAGCGGTGAGCTGCAGCAGTGGCCTGTGCTCGGGAGTTATTTGGTGGTTTAATTCCCCCAATCCAACCCCTTAAAACTGAGTGTCAAGCAGTATTGGGTCCCATTCTTAAAGTCTTTGGTATGACTCGACCGGGAATCAAACCCCCAATCTCCCAGTCCCAGGGCGGACACTGTACCACTACGTCACTGAGCTGGTTATGTTATATAACCAGGCAGGAGTATGCCACCAACAACTTAGGATGTTTTGGGCTTTATTGCTGCATTATTGTAGCCTAGAATCTAGATCGTCGTTTTGCAGAAGCAAAAGGAATTATATGAACGTATATAGAATGGCTAGCCAGGCTAGCTTTATTGCTCTAAATTACGTCCCACCACTGAAAACCCTTTTTTTAAAGAATTATTTCTGAATATAATCAGCCACTCTGAGTTTTTCATGCAGGCTGAACATGAAAATAGTCTCCTACACCTACCTCCTGCATTAGCTTCTGATAGAAAATAGACGGTGAAACTCTAAAACATCCTGACAGATCTACATCACACTGTCACTTAACATTCATGGACTCATCCATCTTGGTTTGGCGTCCAGGAAACAACAGAGATTGTCTTGTCTAGTAGAAGCTAACTGTTAGCATTAGCAACTTCATCACATAGCAGAACTCCTCCAGGCTTGAGTTATTAGTGGAAATAAAACATCAACTTTGCAGAGTGATTAGAGTCAATGGTAGAGTTGTGTTGCTGTCAGCCAATCAGAGGTAAGATGTCCAAATATCAGAAAATAAGACACCAAAACTTGCAGCTGCTTTCTCTTCCAACTGGCTTCTACTTCTTGATTCAGGTGCATCTGAGTTTTTTTCCCCCTGAGTATGACTTACAAGGCATTCATTCCTATGTACCCACGCTAAGAGTGAATAATTGCAACGTATTGGACTACAAATGCAATAACAAGAACATTAATGATGGTATGCAACAAAAGATTTATTATGATTACAACAGAAATACTTTGAAGAAGTTAATAAACTGCAAAGCCACAGTAGCTTCTGCATATTCAAAATTTGTTAAATGGCCCGTTTCTCCAAAGGTCAAAGAGACTCATTTTAAAATAATAAATGGAATATACCCGGTATTCTGTGTCTGCGGTTCTTGAGAGAAGGTTTAAACTTGATGTTGAGTTGTGTGCATTTTGTAAGTCACAACATGAATCCCTGAAACATTTGTTTTACTCTTGCAACATTCACAAGTTTTTGGAAATGCATTAATCTCAAACTTAACATAGATTATTTTTTAAGTTGACAATATTCTGTTCTATGTGAAGGACTTGAATGCAACTTTTTCTGATGCTATTAATATAGTTGTATTGTTAGCCAAAACCCACATCTACTGTAATAAATGGAGGGGAAACAAGTCCTCATGCTTTTTAAACAAATTTAAACTATATTATTCTTCACTAAGTAGAATGAAAAACTAGAAAAATGCTGGAACCATCTCATGCCAAAGAACTCAGAACTTATTGTTTTGAGTTTCCTATGTAAATCAATCTTTCATGTTATTTATTATATTTTCTTTTCTTTAATAAGCCCCCTAGCTTGTTATAGCTTCTTATATCTTATAAGCTTTACATCCTCCATGAGAGTTTGCATTTATTATTGTACTTTATGTCTTTGTTTAGTTGTTCAAATTTTAAAAAATCATTCCTACTATGGGACCACTGCAAAGGTATTGAACAAACGAGTGATCAACACATCAGAACCAGATTCTCTTCAAATGTTCTTTTATTCATATGTTTGAAAAGAAAACCTTGATTACTTTTTTACTTACTTAAAAATGCTGTAAATGCTTGAAAAGACACTTCTAAACTTGTTGGAGATCCGTGAACGTATTTAGGGCAAGTTTAGAGTTTTATGTTTATTTGTTGTGTTGAATAATTTAAAATCCACCAGAGAGATCAGTGATAAACTCACAAAGGAGTAAGGGTCTTAGCAGTAAAACTCGTCTGATCTGTTTTTAGTTTTTTATATAAAAGTTTAATTTGTATGTGTGTGTGTGTGTGTGTGTGTGTGTGTGTGTGTGTGTGTGTGTGTGTGTGTGTGTGTGTGTGTGTGTGTGTGTGTGTGTGTGTGTGTGTGTGTGTGTGTGTGTGTCACAGTGGCGTGGAGGAGCCGTCTCTGCAGCTCTCATTGGACCAGACTTACCAGAGATATTTGAGATGAAATCAGACCCTCATCGCTCTGTGATTTCACTTAATCTGACTTTCATTAAATTAGATCTTTTGACATTTTTTGTGCCTTTGTTTTATCTGAGTGAGCTTCTGATACAGACGCATAGTGGTTTAATAACACAGCCAGAATTTTTGTGATATTCGTTCAACGAAAACTCCACTTCTCACTTTTGCCACGTATTTCACAATCATGGCTGCAGCTGAACTTCTGTGTTTCTGAGAGGAAACTGGAAACGTTTCGTTACGGACGCCGTTTGAAAAAAAAAAAAAAACGAGTGACGGATGAAAAGTGTTGACAAAAGCAGGCTGCTTGACTTTCACCTGACCTCCCTGGGTCTGACCTTACTTCCTGTTGGGTTCACAGCCAGGCCACCTGACACGTGGGGTACTTGCAGGGTACACACACACACACACACACACACACACACACACACACACACACACACACACACACACACACTGCTGATTAGGAGATGTGGGTCGAAACAAGCCGAAGCCACAGCTTCCTGAATACAGACGCTCTATAAGACAGTTCTCGTGGGAATGTTGTCAACTTTTTACCTCCTGACCTGTGAATGCACGTGTGCACATGTTTAACTGACTTGAGTAATGTGAAGTGAATATTTCACTTTCATCTGAATGAGATGTGTTAAGACATAAACACAGTTAAGATAAATATAACACACATTTTTCAGTGTCTTTATGTGAATTATTAAGAAACAAACTCCTCTTCTTATTAAACGACTAAACCAATGTTGATGAAATGCTTATGGGCCAGAAGTGGTTGGAAAATGAAAATTTTGGGTGAAATCATTTAAATTAATGCTAAAATTGATTCATGTGCTCAACAAAAGTGATGGAAAGAACTCCTGATATATATGCTTGTGCTTGTTGTTTCTGTTTTAGTAAACTTGCTGACTTTTGTCAATTTTCTGAAAATGAAGTTTTCATAAAAACATGACCAATGGAAAGAATAAACTACGTAGATAGAGGGAAAAGTTAACGGAAACATCAAATCAAAGGATCAAAATATGAATTAGTCCCAGCAAATTACCAGCAAATTACAGGTCCTGAAGAATCTGCAGCACGTGTGTATTTACAAGAGCAACAATACAGTGGTGTGCAGATCTTTTAACTATCCTATAACGTTATGTCTAGCAAAAGTCAAATATATATTACGTATACTTCATATATATAAATATAGTATTTTAAAGTCCCTTGAGCAATTATAAAAAAGTAACTACAGATGTTTAAAATGTATTTCCATAAATCTGGATTACAGTCTGTGAGCCATTTTCCATCTAACCCCCCCCCCCCCCCCCCCCCCCCCCCCCCCCCCCCCCCCCCCCGTCCTCACATGAAGCAGCTTACTGCTGATGTATTTGCTCCATCTAGTGTTAAACCATCGTTACTGAAACATGCATCCTTTGTGAGGCGAGGAGGGAGATGATGTCATCAATAACTTCCTTCATGGTGCACAGAGAGGGCTAAAGAGTTCAGAGACTCAGGCTGTGTGGAAACCTGAGTGTTGATCCGGTGTCTCATCAGGCTCCACGGCACAGAGTACAGACAATTTAAGGGAAACATAGAACTAATACAGACATGCTGTTACAAATAAACACGAGTGTTGTAAAGTTGGATGAAATGTCATGTTTCAAAAAAGTTTTGTGCTTTTGGATAAATGATATTATTTGTATGAATACAGAGAAACTCTGCTTCCTTTTGGTTGTGTCATGGTTTGTTGCCAAAACCTTCTGATAAATGTGATCTCTTGTCATTTATTGCACTTCCTTTACAGTCTTTCATTATTACATTGGTCATTTGTTTGACATTGCCGGAAGGTGTTAAGTTTGCACAAAATTATATAAAAAAGAAAACTTTAAATGCATTTTTAGTTTAATTTAGAAGTTTTTTCAAACAATATTTTTCTAAAAAAAAAACTCAACACCTTTATGCACAGAAAAGTCACAGTAGAACAATTATTACATTATCAACTTATTATCTGTTAATACCGGAATAATAAAGTGTAGTAAATTGAAACAGAAAGATGAACATGTGAATGAGATAATGTATAAAGGCAGTGATTTAGGAATTTTGTGGCCTTGCCTGTAATTTCTGAGGACAAAGGGTTATAATATGAGCGCCTGAACTTAAAATCAGAGCACACGTTAGCTAATCTGGTCCTCCAGCTAACAGGACACTTCATGTTAGTTCTGTGTGGCTCAGCTGATCTCTTCTCCCCTGGTCACACCCCTGTGGTTGGGTGGGAGTTGTCAGGCGGTCAGCCAATGGTACGGCAGCGCTCACCCTTTGACACCAACACTGATAATGTGACGTGTATTGGTGCAATGAGAAAAACAGAGAGGAAAGGATGATAAGATTACAGTTGGAACTTAGTACAAAAAACAGGAAGCTGCTGCTGTTCTGAGGTGCTTTAAATGTTTTAAATTATTAAACGTTCTACCGGCTATTTTTTTTTAAATCATAGAGCTAACCGGAAACAGCTGAGCAATATGGATTTGTTTCCTGCAGCAAACGTCAAGTTTCAAAGTTCCAGAACCGATTTGTTTGACATCACGTTAAGAACACTCTTCTGATTCTGTTCAGAGTACTTATTTACAGTTGCGTGGAAAAAAAAAATCTTTAAACAAACAGTACAAGAGAACTTACAGTGATAGATGGGACACCGATGAGTTTGATTCACACGTGAAACCGTTCAATCCGAAAACATCAGGAGAAACAAATAGAGTTAAAGAGTCATTTACTTTTAAAAAAATGTCTCCCAGCCTTCCTTAGTGTCTACAGGAGTGGTTCATCACTAAATCAAACAAATCAGCTGTGTTCATGCTCTAACACGTGCAGGAAACGGGCTGGAAGCAGACTGCAACGCCAGACGAGTCAGCTCCACTTTTACTATGTCAAACAGGGGACAGCCTGCCACTCTGAAGTTGCAAGTGTGATATTTTGGCTACAGGGGGCGGTGGGGTCTGAGTGACATTGCATTACCCTGTAAAGGGTCATTTTAGCACATGGCTCAAGAAAATTATTTTAAAATATGAAAAGGCTGCAAGTTTCCCTTTAAACAGCCTAACTAGGACAGAGACAGAGACACCAACCACCAAAGGTGCTGAAAATTAAAATCTCACGATTCCCTGAAGGATCGCATATCACCTGCCACCCTTACCAGAGTTTTAAACTGAGACTATTTATTTTTGATTAAATTAATGCATTTGTTTTGTTTTGGCGAGTTCTTTACAATCGAGTAATGCAAAATCTCAAGCAGTTTCACAATTCCTCAAATAATTAAGTTTTCCCCAAGTAATCTATTAGTTATCAGAGTGAATATTGTAAATAACTCATACTACTTACCACCTTATAACATTTTAGATCAATATGAATAAAACGGATGGGTTTTTGCCATTTTTGTTTTGTTAATGTTTTCAACCACAGCTCGAATGGGATTGATCAGTGGTAAACAAAAGTTAACTGATTACATTCTGAAAAATTCAGACAGCCACGTGCACACTGAGGCAGTGAAAAAAGACGTGTACACAAGTACTCATAAAACAGAATGTTGGATGCAGTAAAGAACGCCAAGCAAGTTTAGGATTTTCTTCAGTTCAGAGAAACGTGCATGCTGAGTTAGACTCAGACTCTCATGGCCGAGTTTAACCCAAAACCCATTGTTCTGTGCTGCATTCATGCCCGTCCTCATCTTAACTGCTGTTTACTCATCCAGACCAGAGAGAAAAAACAGACGTTAGAATATCCAAACACTTTTTGTCTGTGTGTCAGTTTTAATGAGACAGCTAAATGTTTCATTGCAGCTTACAGTCTGGATATCGGCTTTGGAAGTTGATAAACTTATATGACCCCTTAGTGCACAAAAGAACAATAAGGAGATAAGTTTTGGCACAATTGCATTTATTTAAGTAAAGCTTTTAGTTGAACTTCAACTGTTATCTGTGACACCTGATTAGTTCAGATAGCATCAAAGTGAAAACGTCAGAAACATGCAGTTATATGAATATCCACCAATTTGTGTTTTGATTGTAATAATCCCCCCAACATACACCCTAACACACACACACACACACACACACACACACACACACACACACACACACACACACACACACACACACACACACACTTCTTTTGTATATTTGTGTGTTTTATGCATTAGCCAGCATAATGTTAGCTTGCTATGATAGTTGTACCTGCATCCCAGGAAATGAATCTAATCTTATCTCATGTGCAGAGTCCACAGGTGCAGGTCCAGGTCAGGGTCTCATACAGACGATCCTAGAACTCTGTCATGTTGAGACCATTTATGCACACACACACATTTGTGCATGAGTGTTGGTTATTGAGAACGTGTGAAGCAACATTTACACACTGCCCCTGTCTTTGCTGGGCTTTAAAATGGGGTCATTCTGAGAATCGTTTGTAGATCTGACAAACTGATCACACGTGTCTTTGCTCAGTCAGGAAGCATCTGATGAGTGAGCAGCAGTAGCTCAGGAGGTAGACCAAATTGTCCTATAATCAGAAAGATGTAGGTTTGATCCTGGTTCTCTCCAGGGAATACTGCTGTTGTGTCCTTGGGCAAAACACTTAACCCACATTGCCTGCTGGTGGTGGCCAGAGGGACCTGTGGCGTCTATGGCTATTGTAGCTCATCACCACCAGTGTGTGAATGTGTGTGTGAATGGATGAATGACTGATTGTGTTGTGAAGCATCTTGGGGGGTTGTAGAACTCAAAGAAGGAGCTATTTAAACACAGGCCAAGTATACGGTACTAGATATTGTCTCAGGTCAGGGGGAAACAGCAGCCTTTAATTCATAAAACACACATATAGGAACACAAACATCACCCACACAACCTAAAAGTGTGTTTTGTCTTGTAACACCAGTGTTAAAGATTCCTCATTTACCACAGCTGTAAGCATGGCTGAACATAACCAGCAAGCTGTGTGGCTGCTTCTAGCTAAGTAACAATCCTAAAGCTGAAGAGAAAGTAAACCTAACAGGATGTAAAAGCACATGATAGCAAAAAAAGACATCCAGTAACATCAATCAGCTTAAACAAAAATACAAACTATAGACTGCTTATCATGGTTCATAGATTAGATAACTTGGGCTGTCCATGTTTTATTGGGCATTAGTTGTGCCAAATTTGCTCCAGACACACAAACCAGTTGTGAGGTAACAGAAGTTGCAACCATGTTGGTTTTGAATAATATTTAGCTTAAAGTTCCATTAGTTGTCACATACTGGTGTGTGGTGAGATGTGTTCTCCTCGTTTGACCCGCACCCTTTGACCGGGGGGGGGGGGGGGGGGGGGGGGTATGGTTGTGCTCGGGAACTCTTTGGTGGTTTAACCAATGAAGTCAACCCCTTAAAGCTCAGGGTCAAGCAGGGAGGCATTGGGTCCCATTTTTAAAGTCTTTGAAACAGATGGATTTGAACCCATGGTCCTCCCTGCCTCATGGGTGGACACTCATACCACTGGGCCACTGAACTGGTTTACCTGTACTTTTCAAGAAGGGGGACCAGGGCATGTGTATCATATGTTGGAGGAACATTTGCCTCGTGATGTTGGAACCTCAGATTTAAGAGGCCTTAGTGACTTTTATCAGATTGGACCAGATCTACCCTTACAGAGGTGCTGGATGGTCATGAGTTTAGTGGTCCAGCTGACATGAGTTGTGTAAACCAGGAGAAGGATTGTGACTGTCCCCTGAGGCATTCCATGAGGTGTGCTGTGACCCCATCTACGTTCCCATCCTCACCAGTGGCGATGAGCTCAGGATCATGATCCAGTGAGTTAGACCCATTGAGCCCCATTCCCAGCTGTACCGGGTCAGCCCGGGCCGGGTAGCGTAGGTTGTTTACATATCTGGGTGGCCTGGTATTTTTCCGGGCCAACCAAGGCTCATTCTCAGCCCTCTTCTCGAGGGGGTCTGCTTCAGGCCGACCAGGGCCAACACACCCACTGCTGACAGCAAATTCACACCTTCCATTAGAGCAAGCCTCTGATTGGTGGGTAGAATCAGCCCACATGGGCTTAAGGCATGCTCAATTCATTATCATTCATTATCATGCTGATTACCCAGAAGCTGAAAGTGTCTCTGACTGCATTCCTTGCATACCTAAGCAAGGATGTGTGGAAACAACCGGGCCAGGCTGGGGCCGACTGGGGCTACCGGGCCTGGGCCGACCCGGTACAGATGGGAATGAGATCTACATAGGACCTGTAGGCATTGACTGCGTTTCTATGTTAACAGATGGGACTTTTTCCTGAGTAAAAAATAAATGAATATAAATGAATAAATACAGCTCAGACCATTTTCCAGGCACATCCAACTGGGAGGAGGCCTAAAGGAAGACCCAGGACATGCTAGAGGGACTTTGTCTCTCGTCTGTCCAGGAAGCTCCTTGGGAGCTCCGGAGGAGTGGGCCCAAGTGGTTGGGGAGAGGGAAGTCTGGGCCTCCCTGCTTAGGCTGCTGCCCTCGTGACCTGATTCCAGATAAACCGAAGGGAATGGATGGATGGACCTCAGAATGTTCCTTCTAGATGATGGCTTTGGTTGATTTTTGCACTTCTTACCTTGCTGCTCCATGTCTTCATTTTTTCAACACTTTGAGTTTAGTTACCAGGACTTACAAACAAAATATCATAGCTTTACTGTTCAACAACAGGGAATGGTGATGTGGACGCTGATGAGAAAATAAAGAAAAGATTAATAAAACCTTTATTTATGCAGTAACATCTGAACATTTATTATAATTTTTTTCACATAATATTTTTAGACTTTGAATGTTTACAGAAGTATACATCAGATTTTTCATTTTGGTGGTTTCTCTAATAATTTCTTTTTACAAACCCAATCTTGTAAGAGCTGCTGGACACGTTTTCATGAACTTAAAAAACCCAGCTTGGATGAGCTGCATGAACAAACTCAGATTAATAAAACTTTTGTTCTGTATGCTAACGAGCACACTTATTAAGTCAACAGACATAATGTCAACTTTTTAATAATTAACGCTGACAAGGACAATAGACCAACAACACACTGCAGAGAGAGTTATTAACACAAGGGCTGGGTGATTAGGGAATTGTGCACAGGTGAGACCAATAAACAGAGAGGAGGAGCACAATGGAGCAGGGGAGGAAACCAGATCTAAAAATGGGGAAGGGAGCAAAATGAACTAAAGGGAGAATACTGATTAGATAAACACTAACAGAATACTACTGATAAGGTGACTAAAAAGGGAAAACATGTGGGAAACCTAGAGAGAGCCTGGAGGGGGGCTGGGGAACCACAGCAGGGACACTGAAACATTGGGGGAACACCTTAGGGAAAAAACCTGGAGTGGGCTGGGGAACACAAGGAGGCACATGAGGAGGGAGGCAGACAAGGAGACACATGAGGGAGACACCGAATACAGACCGTGACATGGCATGGCTTTGGTAGAAATAGTAATTAAAAAAAAATCCCTGTCTTTTTTCAAAATGTAGGTTTATTTAGGTCAAACTATTTCTTATGAGGACTATTGCTTGACTTTCACATTAATGACTGGCTCTTTTAATTGCCATCGTAAAACTAAAATAAAATAAAAAATAATAAAATTGAATAAAATAAAAACAGACTACAACAGCAAAAGTGAAACACTTTACTTCTTCCTGGAGTTGTGAAGCCGGGAGCGCGCACTGTCAGCCAGCTCGTGCTCACGTGACGCCTTGCTCTTCCGCGTGCGTCTGGCGGAGCCCCACAGCGCTCCCTGGCTCGCGCTGCCTTTTAAAGCAAACGGTCCCAGCATGCTATCTCCCACTCGGTCAGAGGACGGGACGCGGTGAGGAGCTGTAGTGTCTCTCAGTCTACCCCTTTTTTGTCATCAACCCCTGTGTCCTCATCGTTAATTTCCATTTTATTCGTTTGTTTACACGTTTAGCTTACTTGTAGTCATGTATCGGTATTTTGGAGAGCTGCTGAGCCGATCTGCGGGTAGTGCCCTGGCCTCGGGATGTGTGGACGCCGCTCTCCCGGTGTCCTCGTCCCTGATGCGTGTTCGCCACTATGCGGATGCAGCAGATAAACCGGACGACCCCAACTTCTTCAAGATGGTTGAGGGCTTCTTCGACCGCGGTGCCACCATCGTAGAGGACAAGCTGGTGGAGGATCTGAAGACCAGGGAGAGCCCTGAGCAGAAGAGGCACCGTGTTCGGGGCATCCTGCGCATAATTAAGCCCTGTAATCACGTCCTGAGCGTGTCTTTTCCCATCAAGAGGGACAACGGCGAGTGGGAGGTGGTGGAGGGCTACCGCGCCCAGCACAGCCAGCACAGAACACCATGTAAAGGAGGTGAGAGCTGGATCGATCATGTCCTTTTGGCAGCTAGCTTTAGCTGGCTAGGTAGCATTAGTTAGCATAACGTTAGCATGAAAAATTAGACAGAGGCAGTTGCTGTTAACGGTTTACACAGTTTCACTAGTTCTATTTTCTAACCTCACAGCCAAATATTATTATTTTTATCTGGAGAATTAATATTATTTCTGTTTGCTGTGTTTACATACCCACCCCCTACAGTCTCACCTGTAGCACTTTCTTTTTCAAACTAGCATTTAAACTGCAGCAGTCCTCCTTTTTATAGGTATTTTATCATTTAAATATATGTAAGATTTTCCCGAAGTTTTTCATCCTATTTATCATAATCCCGATGACTTTGGCATCTTTAATAATGATGAACTCATTCATTTTCTTTTCAACATCACCTTTAAGTACTGAGGTCCTAAATGGTGTCTCAGGTGTGTTATCATGGAGTAGAATTGAAGGCACCAGGTGTTACTCCACTGAGCATGTTACACAATGATGTCTCCACATGTGCTGGTTAGATAGCATGAATGACCAACTTGTGTTGCTTTATGAATGTGTGGTAGAACAGTAAGCGAATACCCAAGCTTCAAAACATTTGGCTAATCTGTGAAAACTGATGTATGGTGCATGCAGAGAGAGGAGAGTTGGGGAGGAGGTGGAGGTTTTTACAGGCATTCCTATTTGTCAGCAGAGAAATGGGAGGAGAGGGAGTTTGGAGCAAAGCCATTCTCTAAAGGAAGAAACACACCTTTTAGTTAGCTGACCAGTCAGAGGACAGGCTCCAGGACAGCAGAAGGGTACAAACACTCCTGCTCTCTGCATAGGGTAGACATACAGGTGCTGGCCAGTAAATTAGAATATCATCAAAAGGTTGAAAATATTTCAGTAATTCCATTCAAAACGTGAAACTTGTACATTATATTCATGCAATGCACACAGACCAATGTATTTCCAATGTTCATTACATTTAAATTTGATATTCATAAGTGACAACTAATGAAAACTCCAAATTTGGTATCTCAAAAAATTAGAATATTCTGAAAAGGCTGAATATAGAAGACACCTGCTGCCACTCTAATCAGCTGATTTACTCAAAACACCTGCAAAGGCCTTTAAAAGGTCCCTCAGTCTTGTTTTGAAGGCACCACAATCATGGGGAAGACTTCTGACTTAACAGCTGTCCAAAAGACAATCATTGACACCTTGCACAAGGAGGGCAAGACACAAAAGGTGATTGCTAAAGAAGCTGGCTGTTCGCAGAGCTCTGTGTCCAAGCACATTAACAGACAGGCGAAGGGACGGAAAAAATGTGGTAGAAAAAAGTGTACAAGCTCTAGGGATAACCGCACCCTGCAGAGAATTGTGACGACAAACCCATTCAAAAATGTGGGGGAGATCCACAAAGAGTGGACTGCAGCTGGAGTCAGCGCTTCAAGAACCACCACGAGGAGACTCATGAAAGACATGGGATTCAGGTGACGCATTCCGTGTGTCAAGCCACTCTTGAACAAGAAACAGCGCAAGAAGCGTCTCGCCTGGGCCAAGGACAAAAAGGACTGGACTGATGCTGAGTGGTCCAAAGTTATGTTTTCTGATGAAAGCAAGTTCTGCATTTCCTTTGGAAATCAAGGACCCAGAGTCTGGAGGAAGAGCGGAGAAGCACAGAATCCACGTTGCATGAGGTCCAGTGTAAAGTTTCCACCGTCAGTGATGGTGTGGGGTGCCATGTCATCTGCCGGTGTTGGCCCACTCTGTTTCCTGAGGTCCAGGGTCAATGCAGCCGTCTACCAGGAAGTTTTAGAGCACTTCATGCTTCCTGCTGCTGACCAACTTTATGGGGATGCAGACTTCACCTTTCAACAGGACTTGGCACCTGCACACAGTGCCAAAACCACCAGCACCTGGTTCAAGGACCATGGTATCCCTGTCCTTGATTGGCCAGCAAACTCGCCTGACCTTAACCCCATAGAAAATCTATGGGGTATTGTGAAGCGGAGGATGCAATACGCTAGACCCAACAATGCAGAGGAGCTGAAGACGACTATCAGAGCAACCTGGGCTCTCATAACACCTGAGCAGTGCCACAGACTGATCGAGTCCATGCCACGCCGCATTACTGCAGTTATTGAGGCAAAAGGAGCCCCGACTAAGTATTGAGTGCTATACATGCACATTCTTTTCATGTTCATTCTTTTCAGTTGGCCAACATTAGAGAAACAAACATTTTTTCATTGGCCTTTAGAATATTCTAATTTTCTGAGATACCAGATTTGATGTTTTCATTGGTTGTCACCTATAAATATCAAAATTAAACGTAATAAACATCGGAAATACATTGGTCTGTGTGCATTGCATGAATATAATGTACAAGTTTCACGTTTTGAATGGAATTACTGAAATATTTTCAACCTTTTGATGATATTCTAATTTACTGGCCAGCACCTGTATGCATAGGAGGCAACATATGCACATAGTACAGTGCTGCTCCCTTGCAGATTTCTTCAGTTTTTACCTTTTAGTAACACTTAAATGTGTTCGCTGAAGTATCATCCAATGATTACCTGAATAAATACAAAATACAATTTCAAATTATTTCATTCATTAAAGTAAAAACTGCTTCCCAAACCAGCCAGGCCCTGTATGGGAAAGGAAATGACCCTAAAACTAATAACCTGTTGTAGCAAACTTGGTGACGACAACTTTAGTTGAGTATTTTTGATGACTAGTACGACCGGAGTACGACTTACAAGGCATTCATTCCTACTAGAGACCACTGCAAATATATTGAAAAATCAAGTGTTTAATCAAGTGTGACTCCGCTCCTCTAAATCCGAGACCATGGTTTTGATTCGGAAAAGGGTAGAATGCCTTCTCCGGGTCAGGGATGAGGTCCTGCCCCAAGTGGAGGAGTTTAAGTATCTCTGGGTCTTGTTCATGAGTGAGGGAAAGATGGAGCGGGAGATCGATAGGCAGATTGGTGCTGTGTCTGCAGTGATGTGGGCATTGTACTGATCTGTCGTGGTGAAGAGAGAGCTGAGCCAGAAGGCAAAGCTCTCGATTTACTGGTCGATCTACGTTCCTACCCTCACCTATGGTCATGAGCTTTGGGTAGTGACTGAAAGAAAGAGATCGCAGATACAAGCAGCCGAAATTAGTTTTCTCCGCAGAGTGTCTGGGCTCTTCCTTAGAGATAGGGTGAGAAGCTTGGTCATCCGGGAGGGGCTCAGAGTAGATCCGCTGCTCCTCCACATCGAGAGGAGCCAATTGAGATGGCTCAGTCATCTGGTCAGGATTCCTCCTGGATGCCTCCCTTTTGAGGTTTTCCGGGCATGTCCAACTGGGAGGAGGCCTAAAGGTAGACCCAGGACACGTTGGGCGGACTATGTCTCTCAGCTTGCCAGGGAACACTTTGGTATTCCCCCAGAAGAACTTGCCCAAGTGGCTGGGGAGAGGGAAGTCTGGGCCTCTCGACATAGGCTACTGCCCCTGCGACCCAACTCTGGATAAGCAGAAGAAAATGGATGGATGGATGGATGGATCAAGTGTTTAACATCTTTAACTCATTCACTGCCATTGATGATTAAAGTCGTCATTTTCAATCCAACCGTTCACTGCCAATGACGACTAAAGTTGTCATTTGCATTTTTTTTTTTACTGTTTGGGCATCGGAACGAGCCCCCGCGCTGAGAGAACAAACATCTCAGCTCTGAAGCCGATTTTCATCCGCATACGTCACACGCCACATGATCAGGAAGCAGAAAATCCATGTGTTAGGATATTGTTTTTGGCCGCTGCTGTAAAAAAAGTGAGGCGCGAACCGGAAAAGTGTCTGCCGATCACAATTAGACAACGGATTATGAAAGAACGAATAAAGCTCGAAACACGCGGATTTTTCCTGATGTAAGAGGTGAGTCTCCTCTTTGTTTTGGTTGTTTTGGCGTCGACATCCTCCTAGCGCGCAACGTTCTTTGACTCTTTAAACAAACAGTAAAAACGGCAAGAAACGCTGGCAGCGAAGGGCTTTAGTGATCAGGAAACGGCTGGCAGCGAACGAGTTAATGTTGAATTATGACCTCTGACCTTAACATTGACCAAGTGAAGTCAAGAAGGTAATTACTTTTTCCAAACAGGATTTGGATATTTTGTTTCCTTAATAACATGCCCTATAGGTTATAAATTGTAATTTGCTTTGGATAAAAGTGTCTGCTAAATGAATAAACATAATAAATTAAGTAGGTTGAAAATAGCATATATAATTTTTAATCAGCTTTTTCAGTAATAACGTTTGTTTTCTGGTCTGAAACATTTAATTCTGACAAGCAAATGCAGAGAGTCTGTGAGGGGACCAATACTCTCATCAGTGTGAGTTAGCTGTTAGGCCTGTAGAGAAAGAACTAGATGTAAAATGGATTATTTTATTATAGAGACATCTTATACCATACATTTATCCATTATAGTACCATCCACCAAACCCGTGAGGAGGAATGACCCTCCTAAGTGCCCAAAGCACTCAAATGTTGAATAGGCTAACAATCAATAAGACTGTAATTGGTCTCCTTATAAAGCATGCAGTGATCGTGGGATCTCCTCGGTCTGATATAATGGTACAAATAATACATTTCTCATTTATTTCACCTGGTCCACATCCAAGGGAAACTAACATTAATTATTAGAATGTTAAATCAAATACATTACTGGAAGTAATTGTAAAGTTGTTGGAAACAGGAAAACCCAATCGCCCTGACTACAACACACATGTAATTACTTGAACCTTTCCCAGAAAAGACAGACTCCTAAAACAAGATGTTCTTATAGTTTTGAAAGGGCAGACGGTTTACTGTTTCTGGTTGCCTATTGATAAAGCCGTGCAATAACAAGTCCTTAATGCTAGAGCCATTGATAATGGGAATGAGCTGTAATCTGTGAGGTGGTTTAATCATTGATGTGGTGTGTAGACCCTCGGTTAAGTTCAGAGCAAAGTACAGAATGTGTGTTTGTGTGTGTGCGTTTTCAAACTGGACAAGGCAGCATTTTTGTAGACGTGTACGTGCAGGTTGTGGTTTATGTGGGCATGCATGGTGCGGTTTTTGCTTGTGCTGACAAATGGTTAAATTAGTTGTTTCTGTATTAAACTTGCAGGACACTTCTCACGTATGAATCATCAGTTTTGTGGACTGCTTGCAAAAGAGCATAAACCCAAAACAAACAGTTGCAAATAATGTGTTGGATAAAAGTCCTTTAGTTGAGACTATCGCCATGGGATTTGATGCATGCATGAAATTTGTGCTGATTGATCCAGTAGTTTGCTTTGTACAGGTCTAAACTTCACTCAAGTCACCATGAATCAATTTCCATCTCATTATAAAGTGTTATTAGCTTTAATGGAGAATTGAAGGATGTTAATCCGAGAACCTTGGACAACTCTTGTAGTGAATCACTTTGTTTCTGTAAGTGAAAACAAATGTCTAATTTATTTATTTTTTTGTGGAGACACTATCCTGTACACTCACAACACAAATAAGAATCTCCATAGCAACACTAGACAAATGCATTTCAGTCAATCTGAGGTGAAATACTTGAGCTCTCAGGACTGATCCTGTAGAAGTTAGATTTCTCTGAATCCTGTGGGATCGGTTATTTCAGAAGAATGTGTTTACAGCTCTGCTTTGGTTACTGTTGCTGTGGTGGGCTGCTGGTTGGGTGGATAAATGAATGGTTCAAGGGGGAGGGCAATGCAACCGAGCCTCTTTTTATGTAATGTCATCAGCGAGCTCTAATTTGTCCTGTGGCCTCCGTTAGCTCAGCTGATCTTTGGATGAATAGATGTGAAGAAAGAGGGAGCTTCAGCTGCGCTTTAAGATGGTGAGAGCTTTGTTTTGGGTGTTTGGTTTAGGTTTCCTGGAATATGATTATGATGTGATATTAGACCAAAGAAGAAAGGCTTAGACTGTATTTACATACATTGAGGAGAATGGACACAAATGTACCATTTGGTAGGTATTTCTTCAGTCTTGTTCTTGTGCCAGTAGTCCTTGGGTTCTCAGTGAGAGTTGCTGTTGAAATACACTTGGACAGGATCAAGGATGCAGCCTGGTTTAAGGCAGTTATAGCAGCACATGTTACTGAAGTAACCACAGTAAACGCCACCCAACAGGAAGTGATGTCTACAGCTCGTGGGCTGGGCCCAGAATGGAGAGCTCTGATTGGCTCTCTCAGTCTCCACCCGTTCAGGCACCGTTAGTGATTTATGAGCTGTAAATGTGGTGTTGAGTAATCCAGTAGAACATAATGAGTCCATCTCCACTGTCCCTTGCTTTCTGTTGCTGAAGGCAGTTTTAAAACTGCAATGTAGTTTCTACATTTGAGATCTCTAACCCCAAAAACAAAATCTACAGGCCTGTTTTGAAATAAAATGTTTTCAGCTTTTTTGTTTTAATAAGTTTGGTGTTGTTTGTGTGTTTACTTCAGGTATCCGTTACAGCACAGATGTGTCTGTGGATGAGGTGAAAGCTCTAGCCTCTCTGATGACCTACAAATGTGCTGTTGTCGGTACGTATTCATGACTTTGCTCAAAGCTTCTCTGCACAGCTCACCATGCTTGGAAATAGAAACATTTTCTTTCTGCTTGACTTTATTAGTCAGAAACATGAATGAGTGTTCCTGTTGTGTGAACGTGCCCTCCTCTTTTGTAGATGTGCCATTTGGAGGAGCCAAAGCTGGAGTCAAGATCAACACCAGGAATTACTCTGTAAGCCCCCCCCCCCCCCCCCCCCCACCACCACACACACACACACACACACACACACACACACCGTCTTGTAGAAATGTGCAGACATGTTTGAAGACATGATGTCGTGATCACAGAGGAGCAGCAGGTCCTAAAATAAACACGATTCTGGAAACAGTTGGATCACTTTTCCTGTCTTCCACTGTTGTTATCTTTTTTTAGTTTTGTTTAGTTTGTATCTAATCCACACAAAAATAAGGATTGATGCAGCATCACTGGAAAGAAATACTGTATTTGCTTGCTCCGACACTGAGGACACAGCTGTTGGAGGATTGCAGGGTTCCAGCTCCCTCCAGAGAATTCTGCTGTTGTGTCCTTGGGCAAGACGCTTAATCCACCTTGCCTGCTGGTGGTGGTCAGATGGACTGGTGCCTCGCCTCTGTTAGTGCAGCTGTGGCTACAATGTAGCTCATCATCATCCTCATCATCTGTGTGTTTTTGTGTGTGAGTGAAAGTGCTTTGGAGTCCTCTAACTCTGAAAGGCTCAATAAAAAATACTCGTCATTTATCACTCCTGTTCTTAGATCCCTACACTGGTTACCAGTAAACCACAGAATAGATTTCAAAGTGCTTCTACTAGTTTATAAATCACTCAGTGGCATGGGGCCAAAATACATGTCAGATCTCATTCCTGTATACCCAATAGGGCTCTGGGACTTGGGTAACAATCAGCTAGTAGAACCACGGGTCAGAACCAAACATGGTGAAGATGCTTTTAGCTACTATGGTGCTCACATGTGGAATCAGCTCCCCCAGGACCTCAGCTCTGCCCCAACCCTAGTGTTGTTTAAAACAAAACTTAAAACCCTCATGTACTCCTCAGCCTTTGGGTGAATTGTTTCTTATGCTGCATCGTCTCCACTGTAATCTGTTATGTAATAGCTCAACCTTAGTTCTGTCTTTTCCCTTTAGCTCTAAATTATCATTTTATCTGTGTATATTTTTTAGCTGTGTACTCGTGTTTATTGTCATGGCATTTCATACTAACTGTAAAGCACATTGAATTGCTCCGTAAAAGTATCATAAACACACTTTGTTGCAGGATAACGAGCTGGAGAAGATCACCAGGAGATTCACCATTGAGCTGGCCAAAAAGGGCTTTATCGGTGAGTTTATTTGAGCCCAGAAACCTTGCTGGTTGAGGTTTAATGTGTTGACATGTCTGTAGTGAGAATGACCCTGTAGAAGTAAGCATCTGCTTTCCTTCCTTCCTATTTGTTCAGAGCTGAGAAGAGCAGGGAAACTTTAACTTGGTAAAAGTAAAAACGGCTAAAACACCTAGAATAAACCCATCTTTTATACATTTACATAGATGTATTCATAATCTGGTCATACCTATGGTCTCACTGGGTTAATTCATGACCTACGAATTTAGTTTTACACATTAGAAAGGACAAACTAGTCTGGGACACAACGGATCAGATTAAAGTGCGTCTGAAGGAAGTGTTTGTTTCTAATGAGAGTTCAAATTGGCAGCAGATGAACCAATTCTGCCTTCTCTGTAGTAGATAAGTGATTGTTAGTTATGCTGTAAAGGTTATTACACTCGTGTAATCGGGTTTAGACAGATATTGTAATGTTAATGATTAATAACGATCTGTTCCATCGCCTCCTCTTATGCTGCTGCTCGTTGATCCTAGACTTCAGAACTTGTAGGCCTGGGTTTTTATTTTGTTTTCACTCCGTTTTGCTTGTAAGGACCTATTTTGCATAGTGACTTGGACTGTTGGCTAACACCCCCCACCCCCCCAAACTTCCTCTTCCCCCCCTCCTTTGTCTGCCAGGGCCTGGCATCGACGTCCCAGCTCCGGACATGAGCACCGGAGAGAGGGAGATGTCGTGGATCGCCGACACATATGCCAACACCATCGCACACACTGTGAGTCGTCAGACACATGTAACCAGTAAGACTGGCTCAGATTTTGGCACGTTTAAAAATGGGCCAAATAAAAAACAAAGAATGACTCACGTGTAAACCATGAGTGATGATTTCCTGCCTCTCCCTTCCCAACACGACCATGGAAACATTCCTTCTCGTGAGACTGAAACCTCCCTATGGTTAAAGTTAATTACTGTTTAATGAAAAGTGGTGAAACACAGAATGTGCAGCACTCAGTGTGGAATATTTATTCTTGTATACAAAATAATTTACACTTAGTAGAAGCTGTTTAAATACAAAAACTATAACCCACCTGGCAGTCTGAGAAGATCCTTAGTCCTGTTCTGCTTTTACCAATTGTTGTGACTTGGTGTCGCCTATATTAATTTATTCATCAACAAGACCAGTAAAGCATGGTGATAGGACACATAATATTCATGCTTCAGTATATATTTACCTTTTTAATAAATTTTAAAGAATAAGACAAGAGAAAGGGCAAAGTCTAAAGTTGGTTAATAATTTAAATGGCTACGAAAGCTTTTTTTCTGGCTTCCTGTTGGAGCAGGGCTCTGATTGGCCAGCCTCCTGCTGCAGCTCTCGTGGCTGCTTATTATCAGACAGAGGTAATATAGCTCAGGACTAATCAAATAATTTAACGACTAGAAGCCTGTCCTACTGAGCTGCATCATGTTCTAGCCTCTACTCAGCTTCTCCACTCATGTGTCCTCTGGTCCAGACCCTGCTAACAGAACTTTGTAATAGGTGACACATTCCTGTGCCTGGAGCATAAATAAACAGACCTGTAGTGAGTTTGTTGGTGTTTAGTCCGCTCCAACAACTTCTGCTCATGAGACGTTGCATACGTTTTACTGCAGTCGCAGCACGGCGAGCAGGCAATGCCCTCGCTGCAAGTAGCGAATGGTGCAACATTAGCAAGCTTCACCCCAGACTGTCAGAGGCTTTGATGTTCTCGAATAATCAGGTTTCTAGTTTAAACATTTACATTATGTACAAATACAAGAGTTAGTGGTGGTCAGAGGGGCCGACGGCGCCAAATGGCAGCCTCGCCTCTGTCAGACCTCCCCAGGGCGGCTGTAGCTACAAGTAGCTTACCATCACTAGCTGTGTGTGAATGTGAGAGTGTGTGAAAGCGTCTTTGGGTGTCTAGAAAAGCGCTATATAAGTTCAATGCATTATTATTATTATTATTATATAAATAAACTAAGGAATAGTCACCATTAGGGATGTCCCGATCCGATCACATGATCGGAAATCGTCCCAATCACGTGGTTTCAGACTGATCGGGACTTGGGCTTTACTTCCCGATCCGGACTCGGATACTGGGTTCAAATTACAGGAGAGCAACTTGGTTCTCCTTAGAGGTTGTCAGGCTCCCCTGATACCCTTAACTTTCACACCCAGAAGGAGCACAAAAAAGATCCAGTTTCTACCTTTATTATATTATTTATATGACTCAGAGTAGCGGGGATTCTTTTGAGCAGAGCAGCAGGAAGACAGCTGATTATTCATGAACTCCAGCTGCGTTCTGCACACGGCCACAGTAACATTTTCTAAGTTTCTAAGAGGCGTCACCAAAAAAATATATATTTAACACACAGTCATTCGTGTCCGTTCATTTTCTCTCTGGTAAGTTCTGTCTGTATTTGAGCATGACGTGTGGACGTGCTTGTGCTGCCCCCGCTGCAGCGCTTGTCACTGGCGCAGCCAGGCAGCGCAGCGCACACTCCGCTTTTTTTAGGGTCAATAGATCAATTTGATCTGCTAGTTAAAAAGTTACTTGTGCGGTGAAAAAGAAGGAAGCAGGGAGGAGTTTTTCTGGAGGACTGGGAGATGCAGGAAGATCAGAGACAGACAGGACAGGAAGATAGGAAATAAAAACCAAGAAAACAAAACAAAGTTCTTAAAAAATAAAATGTAGGTAGATTTATCCCACTACACGTTTGTACCTGTATAAAGCAATAATTTATCAGCATGTAGTATTTATATAGTTGATACAATTCAGATCATCTTCAAAACTCCGTCCCATGCCCAGGGACGTATCTAAGCATTTTGGGGCCGAGGCAAAGTAGCCCCCTGCCAGGTATTTTAAGTTGAAGTGCTACCTGTTTTTATATTAGACTTTTTATATTTGCAATAAAGTCCAAAAGTGAAGAATTTGTTATTTATTACATGATTGTTCAAGCTACCTCACAGAAGTGATCTGCTGTTAAATTAAAATAAAAAGGTAATTAAATAAAAATATAAGGAACATTCTGGAACTGTTTCTTCCTTCTTTTTTTTTATGTATCGAAAGTATCGGACCGGGACTCGGTATCAGCAGATTCTCAAAATCAAATGATTCTGACTCGAGGGCAGAAAAACCTGATTGGGACATCCCTAGTCACCATCTTAGGATTGGTTTCCAATTTTAAAGAGTCAGCTTGTGAGCCAGCTCCTGACTGAGCCGTCATTTATACACTAACCCAAACTAGGCTGTTACTTGTTTACGGTCTCTGCTACACGTAATCTGATCTTCTGTGCATGTCTGTGCAGGACATCAACGCCCACGCATGTGTGACAGGGAAGCCCATCAGTCAGGGAGGAATCCACGGTCGGATCTCTGCCACTGGTCGTGGAGTTTTCCACGGCATTGAGAACTTCATCAATGAGGCGTCGTACATGAGCATGATGGGGCTCACACCTGGCTTCCAGGACAAGACCTTCATCATCCAGGTGCACAGACACGAGCTCTTTGGGTTTAGAGTACAAGTACACTAGGACCTACTACAGTTACACTTTCATCAAAGTTCAGTTGAAGGGTTTTAGAGCATGCCATCTGTTCTAGCCTGGTTCTGATCTCTTTAAACGACGCAGACCGCAGTGAGCAGAAGTTTCCGTCCTTTGCTCGTGGAAACTGATGATTCAGTAAGAGAGGAATGCTCTGGCCTGCTTCTCCCAACCCTGCAGCTTTTTGAGACTGTTTTGTTTGGTAGAGATGTGCTTGTGTTTAAATATATTCAGTCAAACAACTTATCTCTTACGAAAACATGAAGATTGTGAAGAAATTAGACTTTAAAGCAAATGTTTGTTCTGTTTTAAGAAAACAAACAGTTTTATGGGATCTGTCGTCTCAAATAGATGATCCTGGAAAGGAGAAGTGTTTCTGCATACACAAATAGTCACAAAGCAGCATTTTCCCTGAGTTTCACTTCCATTGATCATCTGAGCTTTTCATGTAACACACACACACGCACGCACGCACGCACGCACGCACACACACACACACACACACATGTGCGCACACACACACGCAAACTTTAACACATGGTGAGAAAACTCCTCAGCAGTGACCTCTGCTGTTTTCCAAGAATGTTTCTATAATTATCGCTTTTCAACAGAACAATGCAATTTGATATTCTGCGCTGGTCCAGTATGTTGGTGTGTGTGTGTGTGTTCCACTCAGCAGCAGGCCTGGGTGGCTGCAGTTAGTTTTGATTCGACACCAACATTTAATGAAACGGTCTCAATATTTTGAGGAAGAGTGGTGTTTGCTGAGTGGGTGTTTGGAGCAAAGACATTACTGAAGAGGGGAAGTGATAACAACAGCTGGATCATGACGTGGCTTTTCAAAACCCTAATCTGTGTGTGTGTCTGTCTGAGGATTACTTTGCTCTGAGATTAGATTTCCTTTGACAGATTTATCAGGGAGAATGGACAGAGTGGGGCTGTAGTTTGGTATTAAGGGTATGGTCGTCTTTGCCATCACACTCTTGTTGCCAACCAAAGGACTCTTTCATCTACAGTAAATAATGAAGCTGTTATGACAGACTTTGATCACATTGTGGCACTAGAGGATGAGCTTTAGTATAATGGAGGTCATTGATGCTTTAGAGTATTTTGTTGGGTCTTAATTTAGCTTTCTAAACTCTCGTTAGTAGGACTGTAGTGATCCTCTGTCCATGTTGTGACTTTTCAGGGGTTTGGTAATGTGGGTCTCCACTCCATGAGATACCTGCACAGGTTTGGCGCCAAGTGTGTGGGTGTTGGTGAGATTGATGGAGCCATCTACAACCCAGATGGTATCGATCCAAAACAGCTGGAGGACTACAAACTGGTACCAGCATGCTCACTCTTCCATTTTGTCCTTTATTTAATGTTTGTTTTTCTCTTTTTTTTAATCAGTGTTATCAACTGTTCTTTCTAGTATCATTCTTAATCCATTACTGTTGGCTTATACAGATTTTGAGCTTTATTTGTTTGTGTGTGTGTGTGTGTGTAATGTTGTGCAGCAACATGGCACCATAGTGGGCTTCCCAGGAGCCAGACCGTACGAGGGGAGCATCTTGGAGGCAGACTGCCACATCCTGATCCCTGCTGCTGGAGAAAAGCAGCTCACACGTAACAACGCTCCCAGAATTAAAGCTAAGGTTTGTAAAATTAGCTGAGTTTTAAGTTGTCATTTGGATTTAAATGAATCAGTGTGTTTCATTTGGATTTATATGAATCAGTGTGTTTGTGTTTTTGTCAGATTATTGCTGAGGGTGCTAATGGACCCACCACCCCAGATGCTGACAAGATCTTCCTGGAGAACAACGTCATGGTTATTCCTGTAAGCACAACTGCACTCCTGCAGAAATGAAAACTGTAAAGGTTTTCTTTATTTACTGTTTGATAACATATGTTATTTTAGATCACTTGTATTTAAATTGTTTTCTAAAATGTGTTATTTTAGTGCACAGACTGTTTTTGAGTCTCAGAGTATGTTAAAAAAACCCACAAATGGTTCATTCTTAATATAAAATGTAGGATAATAGAAAACTTTTTGGGGAGAAATTAGATCCAGTTTCTCAGTCAAGACAAACTTTTCAGAGTATGTTCTGTAGTGTTTTGATCATTATATTTCAGTTTTATTTGTTTAATCCATGATGTAAAAAAAAGTTTGTGCTGTAGTTGATGTTAGCAGTGTGATCAGTCAGCGGTCCTGATAAATCAGTAAAGTGTTGACTGTAAACTCTTTGTAAATATGTCTGTAGTTTCTAGACATCAAGGTTTCCTTTGCATATTTCAAAATATTTACCACAGACAGCTTAGTTTTGATGTGTGTTAAGAGACTATTTCATTCAAAGATCATTTCTTTTAATAATCGAATCACAAAAACAGTTTTAGATTAGAGCAAATTGACCCCTGCCACTGATCATGTGTTGTTTCCTCCTGCAGGACATGTACCTGAATGCTGGTGGTGTGACAGTGTCTTATTTTGAGTGGCTGAAGAATCTCAACCATGTCAGCTATGGAAGACTGACCTTCAAGTATGAGCGAGACTCCAACTACCACCTCCTCAGTGAGTCAAATTAAAGATGTTTAATTCCTCTACAATATTCACACAAGTGAAAAGAAAAGCCACCAAATACATTTATAGAAATAAAAATGGTACAAGCAGATTAGTAATTTTTGGATCATGCCTTCAATCCAGTAAACATGATGTAATGTTTGTAAAACACATTTGACTTGGCTTCATCGGTCTCACCAACACTCACACACATACCAGCATACTGATTTACAAAACTAATTATGATAATTAGTCTCTAATGAGTTGTGTTATTTGATGAAACCATTCTTCAAACTGGGATGTAACTGGTTCCATATATTATACATGTTCCATGTTGCTCCCGTGCATTAGAATATAGCATAATGGTGCTATGATGGCCGGTCCTCCACTTAAAACCGATTACCTCCCCTGGACTTCCCCTGACATAGAAAACAGAAAAACAACCACTTATCATGGGGCCGATTATTAAACTAAAGGCTACTGCCTGTTTACAGTTCCTGTGAGATTTCTGGATATTAGACCATTTCATGGGTGTGAAGATGTGTGGCCTGTCAGGTCTAACAGTTTTCCCCTTAACATGTTAATATGTCTCATAACCCATCTTGATTTGTACCCAATCACATGCCTCCATTTTAATTTCTTATAGATGCATAAAGGAATGGGAGTTGAAATAGATTTTGTTTGCTCAATAATTATGTCAAACATGAAGTAGTAAGTAAAACCTTTGAAATATAGTCAGGTACATGGTGTGGGACTACAAACAGTGAAAGAATCTCAGAAATAATATGGGTAAAGATTGTTTTAAAGGGAATGCATGTTTTATTTCATGCCACTGATGAATCTGTTGGCATTCACCAACTCTACAACAAATAATCCAGTTAACAACAAAATAACATAAAGCTAAATTAAATTTTTTTACCGAGCTGGATGATTCGGACAACGGTGATGAGGATGATGATGTTGTTGTTTGAGGCTTCTTTGGAAATCAAGGGATGATGTCTTATTTGCAACCTTTTCCACTCTATTTATACTCCGTGTAGCTGAGATGCCTCCAATCAGACTGTAGTACAGTTATTCTCACCATAGTGTAAAATAATGTAGAACTAGTTGGACTTGATAAACAACCTTTAGAATTATTCCTTATTCCTTTATTCCAGTCGTAATGGTGACTATCTAACATAGATTTTAGGGATGTAAGAAATAATCGATATGGCAGTATATCATATTTTTTCCTGCGAAATGACATCGATATTTAAAAGCCGTGTATCTAATTTTTGGAAGAATATACCTGCAAACATTTGTGTATTTGTCTATTCTTTTGGTGCAATTCAAACGCCGCCCGCTAGTTAGCAGCAGTGGGTTTCGTTTCCACCATTTAAATGCAAATCCCTCTATTATGGTTCAGATACCTCGTGTTAAACATGTTGCATATCAGTTTGGACTGCTTATAGAAATTTCCTACAATAACTTCAGTTTAAAAAATCGCAAATAACACCTGACGAAATGTATCGCAATGCATTGTATCGTCTCTGTGATACGTACCATATCGCCAAAATTTCACCGATACACACCCCTATTAGATCTCAATATAATAGTTTGGTCCTGACTGTGTTAAAGTCCTAATCAGTGTAAAGGTTAATGAACTAGATCTGTTTAAACTAAATGCTCATCATTAATAACACATTATTTGTAGGTAATGATCATGCCAACCTGGAGACAAAGATGGGATTTGGTTAAAACATCTGGATGATTATTAAAGGTGTGTTGCTATCACACAGTGATCTTAACATGTCTTATTTTTTCTCTCCACTCCCATTTAGTGTCTGTGCAGGAGAGTTTAGAGAGGAAGTTCGGCAAGCAGGGAGGACCCATTCCCATCGTACCTACTGCTGACTTCCAGGCCAGGATTGCTGTGAGAATCTTTTTTTTATTACAGACCAACTCAACTAGGATAAAAAAAAATCTGATTGCAGCTCCCATCTTGGCATGGAAATGTAAAAATATTGTTGATGGTAGAGAACCTTTTAGAATAGTAATTTAATTGGCTTTATAAACTGTAGAAGTTAACCAAGACTGTGTGCTTTTACATATCATTATTGTTGCGTCAAACCTGGTAGAACATCGGCTGATAATTTTAGGAAATGTTAATGGAACTCTGGTTGCCGTTTACTTTTCACAATGCCGTGTTGACAATGTTTCAAATTTTGCCTAAAGTGTGATCACAAGTTCTCACAGTGTCCTACGGTTTTGAGGCCATTACTTCCTTTAAACCAGCTTTTATGAGTTTGTATAATCGGCAACATTGACAGGTGTTATCTTTTAATAGAATTTGTGTTTTACAGCTTTCATTTAGCATATCTCCATGTTTTGATTGTGTGACATAAAATGCAACTCCTTGTTTTCAGGGTGCGTCTGAGAAGGACATTGTTCACTCTGGGTTGGCTTACACAATGGAGAGATCCGCTCGGGTGAGTAATAGTTTAGACCTGAACATCATCCAGGTGTGTGTTCTTTTAAACACTGATAGGAGGGTGGCTGGCATGTACCAGCTGGTTTGGTGTTGGTATCATTAAAGGAATCTACCAAGTCATCATTTCAATCAACTTATAAATCAAGTCATAAATTCTGTTGAATTCAGAGAAGTCATGAAAAGTGTGATTAAAGGTGTGGTTCACTCGTTTAGATGTGGTCAGATGCGCCTGTTCCAGGAAGTACAAGTTAGCTGGAGGAGAAAGTATTTTCAGGTGACAGGATTTGGAGTCAGATGGCGCTTACACATTAGCATCAGCATGGCCCCAAAAGGCACCCAACGGCACCGGAATTTGATTTCGCACACAGGTCAGATTTGCGTTTTCGGTGCCGAGGCGACCCTTTTTTCTCAGACCTTCTTCCCAGCGGTCAGACTGGGACCGAGGCGACACTACGGACTAATTGGCCGGCTGAAATTATGCCTACCCCTCCGATCTGTGAGAAGAATTAGCCAGTGGGGGGTTTCCTGCATGCACGATTCATTTTCATGCTGGATGCTGTTGAGTAAACTTCTCTGTCTGTAGCACGGAGCTGCTGATCCGGAGCTGCTGGTGGGAACGGGAGAAGAGAATTGCTCTGTGCGTGTGGCGAGTAGACAGCTGCTCAGGGGAGAAATCCATGTGTGTGTAGCACAAGATTATGAGGACACACACAGCAAATTAATAAAATGTGGTTCAGAGTCTCCAAAAGCAACACAGCTCATGCCCGCCTTTGTTTACCTTAAAATGGAGGACACCGCAGACTTTCCTGCACATATTAAACGCTGCCACAGGCTCGGATTTCCGCATTCCTGAGAAGTCTCGAATTTATATGTGAACCCTACACTGCCTGTTCGAGACCGAACTCGCGCCATCCAGCCCGACCAAACCCCGAATGTGCTGACGCTAATGTGCAAGCGCCATTATTTCCTGATATTTGGACATCTCACCTCTGATTGGCTAATAGCAACACAACTCAACAACTGACTCTGTTTGCTCTGCAACGTTGATGTTTTATCTCCACAAACAACACAAACCTGGACGACTTCTGCTGTGGGGTAAATGGTAAATGGTCTGTATTTGATATAGCGCCTTCTAGAGTCCTAGAACCCCCCTAGGCGCTTTACAACACAATCAGTCATTCACACATTCACACACTGGTGGGGATGAGCTACAATGTAGCCACAGCTGCCCTGGGGCGCACTGACAGAGGCGAGGCTGCCGAGCACTGGCGCCACCGGTCCCTCCGACCACCACCAGCAGGCAACGTGGGTTAAGTGTCTTGCCCAAGGACACAGCAACAGACTGAGCGGGACTCGAACCAGCAACCTTCCGATTACGGGGCGAGCACTTAACTCCTGTGCCACCGTCGCCCCATTAGCACCGTGGAGTCGCTAATGCTAACGGCTAGCTTCTACTAGTTGGGACATTGTCTGCTCTTTCCTGAATGCTAAAACTACAACAACCTTTCCTGTCGTGAGTCAAGAAACTCGGTGACTGATTATTAGGGATGCACAATGTATCGGCATCAATATCGGTATCGGCAAATGTTAGTCATTTTTTTAACATATCTTTATCGGTCTGATAAATAAAACTGGGCTGATATTAGTAACTGATATATTTCTATCTTGTTTTCATTTGTTTATCCATTTCAGAGGGTGGGGGGGGGGTTGGGGTGATGTGTATTTGTTTGTTCATGTGACAGTGATTGTAATCATCTTAGAAGTGTAAATGTGTGTGTTGTGTGTACATAATAACGTAAGTTCAGCTTTAATAATTTTTCATTCCATATGAAATCTGCTGCTTTTAGAAGCATTAATGTCAGTATATCGGTATCGGCAAATATCAGTTATCGGCCATAACAGTGATGTTAATATCGGTACCGGCCCAAAAATTTCATATCGATGCATCACTACTGATTATAATCAGAGATAATAATTAAAAACACATTTTTTTCAATGATCCACACCTTTACAACAATTTTCTAAGTTCATAGTTTTTCAGACCTTACCATTGCTTGTGCCTTGAAATCTTATCAAGTGATTGCATTTTTTTAAGTGCCAGTAGCACAATAATGTTTATTGTTATGAGAAAGAAGTGAAATGATCATCTTGAGCACCTTGACAGTACTAAAATCACAGAAGATGCAAAATCCTGTGCTTCCACTTACCTTACAATAACTTTTATAAAGGCCTTAAACTTTGTAGACCCTGCAATTATTATTTTTTTTGCGTTCAATCTTGAAGATCAAGAAGATCAATCTAAACTACAGAAACATTTTCTATTCAGGTGTTTGGTTTGTGACATTTCCATATTCTTTCTACATTAATGAAACCACTCATCTCTCTCTACTACAGCAAATCATGCGCACAGCCAGCAAGTACAACCTGGGTTTGGACCTGCGGACGGCCGCCTACGTCAACGCCATCGAGAAGGTCTTCAAGGTCTACAATGAAGCGGGGCTCACCTTCACATAAATGACCCATCATGATCCTTCCTCCACCCCCTTGCTCTTCATCCCTCTTTTCTGCTTCCCTGTACCTCCTGGAACAGCCTACAGAACATATCACTGTCCCCCCGTGCTCTCATGCCGCTAGCTTGGTATTGTCTCTGTGATGTTTGTCATAGTTCTGCTGCTCTGCTCCTTGTTTCTGCCTAAAGTTAAAGCAGAGATAATCGAGGACCCCATCCCTCCTTCAGATATCCTCTAAACGTTCTATTATATAAAAGCCATGTTCACTGTTCTCATATCCTAGCGGCTGAATGCATGTGTGACCTTTGTGTTCTGGTTGATGTCACTAAAGTTGCCTTACGTCAGGAAGAGGTCTGATCTTAAAGGGAGCTGACCACTTCAGCCTGGTGATCATTATAATGAATTCAGATTTATCTTGTGAATAAAAGAGAATAGTTATTTTAGTTTGTCCTCTAACAGTGCACATGTCAGCATGGTCACCAAGACGCAGCCTCCCTCAGTGTTTTATACAGTTTACTCGTTAGTTGCTCTCCTTTTTCTCATTCCTCATCTACTTGTTGCTTTATCATTAATGCAGCTTCTCCTCGACTCCTGGCCCTGAAAGAGGGGCAGAGATGGGCGAGTCATCACCAGGGCCACCCTGTTAGTTTTACTCATTTAAACCGTCCTGACCTTCAGCTCTGAAGTTTTTTTTTTTGGAGGAAATAACTTTTTATTTTTATTGCACTTATTTTTTTTGGGAAACCAATAAAATGTTCATACAGAGACCAGTTTTTGTTTTCTTTACTGCTTCTGAAACATTGGGCATCTTGGTTGTCCAGTAATCGGGAGGTTGTAGGACCAATTCTGGCTCCCGCCATAGAATGTTGCTGTTGTGTCATTGGGCAAGACACAATATTCACTTTGCCAGCTGGTGGTGGTCAGACGGACCCGTGGCGCCTGTGCTCTGCAGCCTCGCCTCTGTCCGTGCACCCCAGGGCAGCTGTGGCTACATCATATCATCACCAGCGTGTGAATGATTCACACTGTAGTGTAAAGCGCTTTGGAGTCCTGACTCTGAAGGATTAAAGGGAAAATTATGAATGTTTTAATCTTTTTTTGGAATTAAAATAAAAAGTTCTCCCACATGAACACATTCCAGTTAACATTTTAACTCAAGTTTTTCTGTGTTTTTGACACCAAACATCCCGTAAATGAATACTTCAAACCACAGCTGGATTTCAACAAACCCTTTTTATTTTCACAGATACTATTTAAAAAAAACCAGCGAGTCTGATCTGATACCAACTGAAAATGTGTGTGATTTAGGTTGGTGTTTGCGCCAGCTCTAGAGTTGTTTTATTTGTGTGCGTCTGAAGGAAAGTGAGATATTTTTATTTTTTTTCCCGTAAGGCAACATGCAGTCGTCAGTTTAAACTGACCTCAAAGTAAAACAAAGAAAAAGCAAATACCTGCTCAGGACAAACACACACGCCCACATTGCTGGCTGAACCTGCTTCATTTTAACGCACACACACACACACATTTAGCCCATACAAACACAACTCTGATGCAGATTATCAGCAGCGAGGGGTGGTGTGATGCTTCAAGAGGGCAGATGGGGTATCTGATTGGCTGAGACAGAAGGAGGGCAGCGCTAAAGAACAGCTGAAGTCACACAAATAAACCTATAACGATACCCACATCTAAACCCAACCTCTCCAAACTGATCATAGAGATTATATATATAAGCAGTTTCAAAAATATAAAAATAACATTAAATAAAAAACAAGATTCTTACATTTAATAAATATTCTGTTGTTCTGGACTGCACTTCCTGCATGTTTGCATAGAAACTTTAGGTTCTCTGTGTAAATAAAAGTGTTGATCGGTCTCTTTGTGAGACAAAGTTGAATGGGAAGTGGTATCAAGGACCTTTAGTGGAAATAACTTCTGACCCAAACGTTTTGAACTCAAGTGTAAAGTCACAGTGACAAGAAAACCAGTGCTTTGGGAGAAATTCACGAGATAATTGTGACATAATTACTATTGCTGACTGGCGGAGGAATTCTAATATATAATCTGGTTGTTTTAGTTCAAGCTTCTTAAAACCGAGATGATTTGAAGTCGTAATGTTGAATTTTAAGATTGTTAAACGCTCAGTCGTCTTACATGTTTCCAGGTGGAAGATCATTTGAAAGTGCTTTGAAATTCTCATGCATCACATGACACCACATCACTGCTTTTCTCTTTACTAACCCTGTTTCTAAATGCTCAGCTTAAGCAAACACACACACAAACACACACACACACACACACACACACACACACACACACACACACACACACACACACACACACACACACACACACACACACACACAAAGCCAGACTGAGCTACACAAATAACACTGAAACATCTGCTCATGCATTCTACTGTAACAAACTAAAGCACACGTAACACAGCGATATCTGTCTTTGATGCACAATTTCCCACTCGAGACCCTAGAAAATTTATTCATGTGCCAGCTGCTACACATGCTCACAAGCCGACATTAACACACAGGTTGCAGCGCACACACCCTTTCATGCAAACTCCTTCAGCTTCACAATGACACACACCGTTTAGTATCCTACTGTCACTTATTGGCTCATTGTGCCATCTGCTGGTTTGTTCTGAAAATGGGTGTTTCATGCCTACTCCCAGTTCAAGTATGTTGGTGTGAACGTGTGTGTTTGTGTTGGAGGTTTCTCTATGGGGTGGCAGGCTTTGGGTGGCAACAACACCAGGGTATATATCAGGATATGCTAACACACAGGTGAAGGGCAGCTAGAGGGAAAGCTATAGGCTGCAGAAAAATTAGATGGTAATGGTGGTGGTGGTGGTGGGGTGGGGTGGGGGTGTTAGAGGGGCTCTGGTGTGTTGGAGAGGGGTGAGTGCAGCATCTGGAAGAGTCTGTTCTGATTTTGGCCCTGTAAAGTCACAAAAAAATATGTTGGACATCTGGAGCTTGGTATGGTGAGACGAGGAAGGCAAAAAGGGATGCTGGAAGGTCCTGGTGATGACTAATACCCCTGGAAGGAAGAACAAGAAGAAGTGATAAGAAGTCTTTAGATACTTTCCTTAAGAAGGTTCAAACATTCATTAAATCAGTGAAGTCACACACTAATAATACAATTTTTACACTTTTTTGGTGTAACTGTATAAGTGATTTCATGGTTGAAATCATTTTGTGGTGAGCTCAGTCACGGAGGAGACAGAGCTTTCTTTGGGAGCACCCGTTTAATCTTACACTCCTCAGCGCGGCCACAGCAACAACAACAAAAAGGCGCGCTCTCACCGGAAGAACAGTCGCCGAGAGAGCGCGTCATCTGTTACCATAGCAACATGACAACAAACACATAACTGTAATAACAGAACAAACCCCGAACAGCCCTGGCCCGCTACAATATTTATTAGTGAGATTGCTGATAGTGAGCTTTAAATTACATTCTAAGCCCTCCCACAGATAAACGGTGTGCCTCAAGGGTCTGTACTGGGCCTTCTGCTGTTTTCCATCTATTTGATGCCTCTTTGTTGCCTTTTTCATTATCTTAAATTTCACTGTTATGCGTGTGGCCTTTAGGCTTTGGTTTTCTAATAAAGGCCTGCACCGTAAACACAAATTATGGTTATTGCAGCTTCTGTCTCAAAACAAATGACAGCCATGTTCTGCACTGCAGAGACATGACAAAGAACCTAGGCATGCGGTTCGACCCTGTGCTTTGCTTCAAATCCCATTTAAAAGACATAACAAAAACTGCCTTCTTCCACCTTAGAAACACACCTTAAACAGTTTTAACTTTTAAAGATGCAAAAGTACTACTGCTGATATTTCCCAGAAAATTATACTTTTGACCCCATGGCACTTCTCTAATATGAACTCTGCTCCTAATCTGATATTTTCAAGTGTCAGACCATTTTCTATTCACAAAGGATGGCGTTATAGATGTTGATCTTTTAATCTGCCTCATCTAACTCGTCTTACCTCTCCTCCTTCCCCACCTTGGTCCATTCCGCCATACTCTCCCTGTGGGAGGAGAAGAAACGATTCTTATCAAAAACATACCTATACAAGAATGGCTGCATTGTTCTGAATGAACTGATAAGGTGTGGGCAGGGTGAAGCACATTTGTTTTGATGTGGTAAGTGACACGTTAAACCAGCTTGCCTTGACTTGAATGAACAGTAGCTATGTGCTAAAGAATCTGGATACAGCTGGCTTGTTGATTCTTATAAATGCAACATCTTCAACAGACAAAATAACCCTCACAAACTTAACATTTTATTGAGATTTTATATAGAAAAGTGGTTGTAAGTGTACTAAAGAGCAACTTGGTTAAGATAATTTTAGTTTTAGTGTTGCCTCGGCCACATCAGAAGTGAGCATCAGACAAGAAAAAGCTTTTAAGTAATAAATTCAAGAATTGATTCAACAGTTTTTTCTAATAAATTGTTTTACATTTCTATACAAAAGTCCAAAGCTACAGAAAAGTCAAACTAATCATTTTTCAAGCATCAAGAGCTTCTGTTTAGTTTTCCTTCCTGATGCTCACTTACCATAGCGACAAACCTGCAACAGAAAGCTGCTTTACGAAGGTCGCTCTGCAGGTTTGTTGTTGGTGGAATGAGTTAGATTGTGCACATGTGACAAATAAGTTGTTTCTAGACATGCAGGATTTTCCCTCTCTGCTTCTACCCCATCCTACTGAGGTGGACCTATGACCCCCACACTTCTCTGACCAATATGTACCTCGTAAAAAGGCTCCTCCTATCAGGGAAACACAAATGAGACACAAACATAAAACAACAAAAAATGAGAACAGAAACACAACAACAGTACATACGACAAACAACAGAAAAGGGCATGCTGTAAAGACACAAATGTTAAATGTTCACACATTTAACATCTCAGAAAAGTCAACATTACAGAACAAGGATTGAGACTGAGCCAGGGTCTGTTGGAGGTTTCTTCCTGTTTAAGGAGTTTTCCTCTCCACTGTCGCTACATACTTGCTTAGACTGCTGTAAAGTCAATGACAAGTCACTGACTCGATGCAATCTGTTGGGGGTTTCTTATACAGAAAACCTTTAACCAATTGGTAAAAAAAAAACTGAACTTAATGCACTGATAGTTTCAGTTGGAATGTTTACTTTGTAAAGTGTCTTGAGATGACCCTTAGTGTGATTTGACGTTATATAAATAAACAGAATAAAATCAAATTGATATTCTGTTTATAAGATCTGAGCTTTAGATTTTATTTGCTGTCAAAATCACATAAAATTACAGAAAAGTCATGATTCTGGTCATGTCTGCATCACTTTGTTCATTAAAGGTGTGGTTCACTTGTTTAATCAATACATTTGCAGTGGTCTCTTGTAGGAATGAATGCCTTGCAAGCCATACTCAGGGTAAAAAAAGCCCAGGAATGCTTAGATCAGCACCGACAAGTCTGCTGCTGCAGAGAGCAGCAGAACACGGCAGGATTTGGAATTTTGTTTCCTGATATTTGAACATCTTGTCTCAGATTGGATAAGAGCGACGTGACTCTACCACTGACTTGCAACGCGGATGTTTTATATCCACAAATAACACAAGCCTGGAGGTTCTGGAGTTCTGCTGTGTGGTGGAGTTGCTAATGCTAATGGTTAGCTCCTACTAGTTGGGATGCTGTCTGTTGTTTCCTAGACACTAAACCAACAACAGCCTTTCCCATCATGAGTCATAATGGGTGAGTCCATGAATGTTAAGTGACAGTGTGATGTAGATCTGACAGGCTTTTCACCACCTATTTTCTATCAAAACTAATGCAGGAGATAGGTGTAGGAGACTATTTTCAAGTTAATCCTGCATGAAAAACTCAGATTATAACCAGAAATAATCATTAAAATTTTTGTTTTCAGAGCTACACACATCTTTATCCACATTTTTCTGACAAAATGCTGAAATACCTTCATCGCACCATTAGTTGGCGGGAATTTCCAGATTAACGTTTCCAATCAGATCCTACTCAGGGTCAAAGTTGAACCCTAACTATAATCCTCTGATGTTCGGTCCACACAGGGAGCCAAAAAATGTAGTTAAAAAAAGTCTTCACTTTGAAGATGAATAGATCATTAAAAAAACTGTTTAGTATGGGCGGAGCTTCACAGTTTTATTCCCTTATTGAAGACAAAGTATGTTTTCAGTTTCTCACCAGGGTATGCAGAAATGAAAGGAAAAAAAAGTGAGTTGCACGTGAAAAGAGGAAGAACATTTAACTCAGAATCACATTTGATCCAATTAAAAAAACAGCAAAACAAAACTGTTGTTGCTTTTGTCATAAACAAATTACAACCATTTTGGCTGACTGATGATATAAACTGTAATGTAATCATATTAAGATTGTGCCAATTGTTTCACACTTTAAATGTTTTTTCTTAGATTAAACACATATGCCACATATATGTTGTCTGTACTTGTATACCCATTAAGGTAACATTCTGTCAAATCAAATATGCAAATAATATAAATATACAAATAAAATAGTCTGTCACAAAAAATGTACATTTGCTGCCGGGTCAGAGTTTTGTTAGAATCAGGTTTATGTGGAGCATCGTGTCTAGAGAGAAATAACTCCATCTAGTGGCTAACTTCAAAATAGCAGTTAAAACTGTAAAATGGAATAATTTAGAGTTGAACTACACATGAATCAGATGTAACCGTGTAACAGATGATTTTAATTGTCTAATGAGTGTTCTGGTTCAGATGAAATCTTCCGGCGTTACCATGGTAACTGACCTGACCGACCAGTCCGGTTGATGCTGCGACATTCTCCACACCCTCGATGGTTGCCTGTGACACTTCGTTGGCACCAGTGACTGATGCGTCTGCAACGATGTTGGCCTGATCCACGGTCTTGTTGGCCACTGGGACGCATGGAGGAGCACAACAGTAAATAATAATCTCTTATTTCATTTGACCCAAACAACTTTGTCATTTAGTCATTTTTGTGCAGCTCTCAGCTTTAAAATGATAAAAATAAGACACATTTTCAGTTTTATGACAGAAAAATGCTTTTATTCTAATCCAAATGGAGCTTTTGTTACCTGTGTTTACTGATGACACGACTCCTTCCTTTGTCTTGCTACCTGCAGATAGAAAAAAATCATAATTATCTACAAGTCTCCTTTGTTTTGAGAAAAAAATTGTATTTTTTTATATAGCCAATAATCAAAAAATATATTTTCAACTAATTATTAACATTTTTAATACTTTGTTTCCTGCAAAACAGTTTAGTTCTTTGTCAAAAAGCCACAAACCATGTGTTCTATCAGTTATTAGTTGCTGGAAATACTCTCTATCTGTTAAGACACTCAAGTTTATTTGAAAACCTTATTTTTTCTCCAAAGTTCAGACTTCCCAGTATTTGATGTTTAGGAGCTTTGCATGGCTTAATAACTTACTGAAAGACATCAGCACCTCTCTCTGCTCTGCAGCCTCATGCTCACTGCAGCATGATCCCAAACAGATTAATCTGGAGTTATATAATCTGCTAAAGTGAGGAAAGGAAGGAGGGAAATTGCGTTGAAAGATCAGAGGCAGTTGTTAAAGGAAAAGGAAATATATCTGCAGAACCGCCTTGGATGGAGCACACCCAGCACGCTCCGTCTGGACACACACACACACACACACACACACACACACACACACACACACACACACACACACACACACACACACACACACACACACACACACACACACACACACACACACACACACATTAACCTGTGTCTCACTGCTTCCTGTGAGCATCAGATTGATCAGATCTCTCTGTCATGATGGTGCAGAACAAACTGTTCCAACGGAGGAGTGTTTGACCTCCAAGGGAACTCAGACGTCTCTCACATCTTTTAAGTTATAAATAAGAATTGGACAGGTCTCCACAGGAAGGGACAGAGGACAAATCTCTGAAATAAATCCTGATCATAAACGATAATCCTGATCTAAATCTTGTCTGATTTAAACGAAGATAGCTGGGATTAGAGTGGTTTTTCATTTTATGAATAATTCACACGAAACATGCAAATATCAGGATCTAATCGTTCTTTTCCAGAGGAGGATTTAGCAGCCCTGGCGGGAGGGGCCCTCTGACAGCTCAAATCCAACATCATTTTCAGAATGAAGGCAGAAAAAGACATTTAGTTACAAAAGACCTGTATAATGACCTCAGTTTACCATAAAGCTCTTATTTATTAAGGGATGTGTTTTACATTTTTGTCAATACAGATAAACAAATGAAAGTTAAAATAAAAGAATCCCTTTGATGACACCAGATTACACGTGTTAGTCCCTGATGGTCATGTTTCAGTGACGTGTACACTCAGCCAGAGGCAGATGCAGTGGTTTAATCAGAGGCATCCACCCTCTTCACTTCAGCAAACATAGCTTTTCCTGCAATATTCCTCATCCTGTGATTAGCATTTTATTTCATCTTCGCCATCTCCTCTCCATCACCTGAGTTTTCCACCTGCATCACCTTTTCCTGCTCCTGCACAGAAACGGTTTAAAGCATCAAACCCTCATCATTTGTTTTCTTGGACGTTTTACTTGATATTTCATGAGCTGCAGGGTTTGCCATCATGAGTCGGGAGGCAAATCCAGCTCACTTGAATTTTGTGTGGGTGGGACAGAAACTTGCTGCAGCATCAAACAGATACTTCCATATCTACTTTAGACCGTTTCCCGTGTAGTATGAACTCATACATGCACTTTTTTTCATTGATTACACATTTGAAGCTGCTGTGTGACGCCAGAGGCAGCCTTGTTGGGACAGACTGCAGGAGGTGAGCAATACTCCCTCCCACTCCTCTTCCTTACACCAGCCTCGCCTCCCCACCTCTTAGGTGGTAACCTTGAAATGTGACGCAGTCTGTGTTTGAGCTAAAATTAAAAACACAGGAAACGACACAAGGATAAAATGTTACAAACCTGCATATTTTACTGTGAGATATATTGTTTTAATACATAATTTTTTTGCTTTTAACTAAAAATACCTTATTACTGCTTATTAATAAAAGATGCAGATGTGTATATTTAAGTCATCATTGGCTTGCTGGAGTGAATCTGCTGCCTCGTTTGGATCATTAATCATAAATCCTGAAGCGGTGATAAAATCTTCTGCAGGAAGCCATTTTCTTCTATTTTCTTAGTTATCTTCCCCTAACACAAGCCGGTCTACCATCCTGTCCAGCTTCTACTGTTTTCTCAATGATCTATTTGTCACTTTTCCAGATCCCACTCCCTCTGTCCTGCAGCAGTCCTGCACCAGTATCCCTCCAGCGCTCACTCCATCCCCTCCATCCTCCTTGTCCTCCTCCCTTTCATTTTTTTCATGTCCTAAATACAAAAATGGTGCAACAGCACACTCGACAATAGCGCATCACACCAAAAACCATAATGTGTTTCTTTTTGCCTTGTCCTGCAGGTCCACATGCATCATGTCCCACATACCTACATACATCACCCCTTCCTTGGTTTTAGCTGCTGCCTCCTCCATGCCTGCTTTGGTCTTCTCTGCAGCTGCCACCACCCCTTCCTTGGCCATGGAGAACCCTTTCATCAGTACATCCATGGTGGGCGACAAGACGACTAGACTCCCCCTGCTTTGAAAGGGCCTGGATGCTGTTTACGGTGAGCGTGCAGTGAGGAGAGACTATGATGCGTCAGAGCGTGTGTTCCTGAGTATGTGAGTGTTTTAGCTCCTCCTCTTGTTGGTGCTACAGCAGAGGGCTGAGAGTGATGCACAGCAGGGCCACAGCAGGCAGAATGAGGGAAAAGGGGGAGGAGGAATCAGACTGTATCAACGGGGTGGAGAGAGGAGGAGGAGGAGGAGGAGGAGAAATGGCTAGATGCTGCAGCATTTTAAAGCCATGCAGCATTCCCGTCCCTCAAACATCCCATCATCTTTTCCTTTTTTGCTATTTTGACAGCACTTTTCTCCGAATCTGAGTTTGCAAATAAAAATGACAATCAGACCAGCTGCAGTCCTGGATGGGAGAGGAGTCCTCTTCACGTCACACGACTGATGTAATCTGTGTTCTATTGCTGAGCTTCATCCACTGTGGAGATTTGATTTCCTTTCTTCAAAATTAAATTATTATGAATGAAGCTTTTATCTATTTAAGTGAAACATTGATGTGTGGAATTAAGTTAGGGGAAACAAAAACGCGTCTGCAGCTGTTTGGTTAGTGTGAGCCAACGAAAAATGCTTCGTCATCTTCACCTGAATGAGTCACAGCATCCCTCCTCCTCCTCCTCTTCCTCCTCTATCTGTTTCACTCTATCATCCTGACCCAGCAGAAAAAAGCCGTTCAGTAATGACTCAACAACACCTCTATTCAGCGCCATCAGATGTGTGCTTTCACAAAAACTACAAATAAATAAATAAACATTTGCTTGTTTTCCCAGTTCAGTGTCATGACACAACATTGCGTTGGTGGTTAAAAAGATTTCTGTGTAAGGTTTATTCTGGCTTCAGTAAACAAACTATACGATATGAACGAATCGGCTTCAAAAAACATATTTTGGAGGATTTTTCCAGCAGAAGGGTCAGAGTTTCCTGTCAAAGTCCAGTCACAAGCTTTAGTTTTTGCATAAATTAACTTGACTTTGATCAAGTCTCAAATCAGTTAATCTGAAAGAACGTTTAGTCTCATTTATTAAACGGGCACAACTATCCAAACCAACCCGGACTAAGGCTATTGGCTGATGCTAACGCAGTTCAGATAACATGGGGCTATACGGGTGGGGATGGGGGGCTAGCAACATATAACCTACATTATATTACAGTAATATCAGTAATGGGTAAGACATTTACAGATTAAAAAAATATTCATGTGCCTAATTCCTGAAAAGGGGGAAACCCTGGATTTGCAGCTTTAAGGACAATAATTGCCTACCACCTATCCACACCCAAGGAATGTGTTTAAGCGATGACGCAGATTATTTGGGCTTGGCATGCCTAGAATGTGCTTCACAGTGTGCTGGGGTTTGCTGCTGAACAACCAGATGGTGAGGACCCACGTGTTTTTCTGTGGGAAGGTGTGTGCATGGCCTAGGAGTTTGGATAAAACGGCCTGCTCCGAGTGGGCTGAGGCCTTTGATCTGATTGTTTTGCTGTATGTGTCGTAGCAAAGCCCCACAACCCTGGAGACATCTGCCTCGGTGAGTCTAACTTTTATTATAAGTAAAGATTAACAGAATCTAACAAAGTATTGTGACTCCAGTTCAACTGTTCATTGTGTGTGTGTGTGTGTGTGTGTGTGTGTGTGTGTGTGTGTGTGTGTGTGTGTGTCTGCTCTATCTTCTCCATCCCCTATGAGTCGTGGCGTATGGCTGCTTATACTGAGCCAGGATCCTCTGGAGGTTTCTTCCTGTTAAAAGGGAATTTTCCTCTCCACTGTCGCTGCATGCTTGCTCAGTATGAGGATTGCTGTAAAGACTCTGGCACAAGTCAGTGACTCGATGCAACCTGCTTACATAGGAACCCTTTTACTAATTGGAATGTTGACCTGAACTCAACGTGCTGTTAAAAAGTAGCTTCAATACAAACGTTTGCTTTGTACAGTGCCCTGATAAGACCTGTGTTGTGAGTTGGCACTAATAAACTGAACTGTATTCACTCTATAAATAAACTTTTTTGTTCTTGTTTACATCTTTGATAAGTGCCAGTTAAAATCATAAGAGCTAAGTAACATAAAATACAATACATTACTCCATGAGCTGCTCAGCTAAAACATTTCTGAGGCTTTATCAAACCTTAGTGTTCCACGTGTCACCTCAAATTTTATTAAGCTGTCACAAGTTATTAGTTGCTTGTTATGGCTGATATCTTGGTTCCTAACGTTCCTCTGATTTCCTGGATGTCTCACTTGTGGAATAAAGAATCTACAAAGTGCTTACAGTTTCTAAAAACAGCGCTGTTTCATTTACAACAGCTCATCTGTGTAGGTTTAAGAAAACATTTATTCACATTGATATCAGTACAGTTCTGAGTGCATTTTTACATACAGTATTTGTGCATGTAGATACATACTGTTTTTCTCTAATAGCAACATATGCAAACGCGCTCCTTTAGGTTTAAAATCATACATTTGTGGGGGGTTTTTAGCGGGGAGGTTGGGTTCACATAAATACTTGTCTTTTGTACAGTTTCCCTTTCTTTTAGGAGACAAATAATCAGGAAACAAAACTGAAAGAAAAACCCAAAAGTGAGATCAGGTCTTAACAGCAGACACACATATTGGACATTTAAAAACAGAAAGCATTCTCACACTGACATGAACTAATAAACTGTCTAATAATCTACACCACAACAATTTATCTCACATTCCAGAGAAGTTCCCTTCTCCCTTTGCTCAATCTCCTCTTCAAATTTCATTCCCACTTCCTGTGTTTTTGCCCATGTTTACATGTCCTCCTCTCGTCCTTCGTTCTTCCCCTCTTAGTGCTTCCTCCTCCACCTCTTTATTCTTGGACATTGAGGATCTGTGCAGACAATCCGCAGTGCCAGTTCTTCAGCTTAGCAAAGCGTGGGCCTTTGACCTCTGACTCAAACTTCTCTCTGATGGTGAAAATGTCAGAAAAAGGTGGTTAATTTAAGCAAAACATAGGATTTTTCTCGGTTTTTTTGTAAAACATCCCATCACATTTATATCTGAACAGAAAAAAGGAAGCTAACGCGAGTGGCCAATTACATACTTGTTTTGAATTAGCCAAAAATGTAATAAAAAGTCAATTTAAAGTAAAGCTCAAACATGCAGGATGTGAATTTTTGCCTTGTCTTGTTACAGATCATAACTATTATTTCAATTAGATTAAGCAGAAAACCACAACTTTGACTGAAATTCACCAGTAAATACTTGATCTACTGCAAAAGAAGCTTGATTAGCTTTTCATTTCCCTCCTACCTTGATCTCTGCAGTGCCTCCTCATCTGGATCTTGCACTAGACAGAAAAATCACACAAGAGGACTCAATAACGATGTAGGAGAAAGTGAGCAAGAAGCAAGGGGTTGATCAGGCAGACTGGGGCAAAAGCAAGAGGGAGGATAGAGACGAGGAGGCTGGATACTGACGGTATTCAGTTCCGGTGATGTGAGCCAGGACCCTGAAGCTTTTAGACTGCAGGTTGGCGGCACGGCGAGCCCAGTCAGCCATGTCCTGAGGTGTTTCTCCTGGCCTGATGACCGCCTGGTACACTGGAGAGGCACAGTCCACCACGGGCTCCTTGATAGGCAGAACCCCACTGCAGGGTGAGGAGAATAGTTACATCCGTGTTTGATCCCCACCATGCACTCAGCTGTGGTCTCCATTCGGAAGTGTTTGGGAAACATTTATAGGGTAACAAATATAAAACAAATTTATGTATACTGTTAATTTGGGATTTTAAAAATCGTCTTAAAGCATCTTAAAGCTTTAATACTTTTTAAGTCATAATATACACATTTATGTCACACATTTCTCTATTTTAAGGGATGCTTTTGGGGACACTGAAGCATCTGTTGCAGCAGTTCCCAAACTGTTTAGCTTGTGACAAAGTGTCAAAGATGGGTGATCTTAAGTTGAAGTTAAAGTCCCACTAGTTTTTGTTCCTTGCATTTGACCCATCAGCTGCACTCGGGAACTATTTTAATTCCCCAATCCACCCCCTTAAAGCTGAGTGTCAAGCAGGGAGGCATTGGGTCTCATGTCTGTGGTATGACCTGACCGGGATTTGAACTCTGATATCCCAGTCCCAGGGTGGGCACTCATACCACTAGGCCAATGAACTGGTGTGTATCTCTGCTTACACTTTGCAGAGATGAAATGTAATGAAACCAGGCAATAAGCAAACAGCTTCTATTGAGCTTTTGTTGCAAAAAAGAAAACAACACAGTTATTAACTATAATAGAATAAAGAAATTAGAAGGAAATGCAAATTATTAATAGTTTTTCTATATTTTACATTTATTTTTGGATCTGGACCCACAGCAGAGCACTACCACTAGAGGGAACTAAAGATCCATACAAAATATCTGCTGAGATTCTGAGGTCAATAATAAATAACTAAAAATGAGCCACGGTGCACCTGTGCTAATAAACTCTCATTTAGGAACGTCTGTGTTGCCAAAGTGGATTTAGGAGGAAGTTATTGTATCAGTTACTGCTTTTATTTTCTTCATTGAATATTTTAAACCCTTTTATTCAACAGCTTCTCTTAAAGTGCCTATAATAGCACAGTGAATACAATGGAGCTCCTCTGGTGGAGAGTAAGAGCATCAATCAGTAAAACATATTTAGGGAATGTTTCCATCATTGTTTGAAAACCTGAGTGTCAGAACATTCCCATTCCATTAAACCCCATTCAGGTTTCCCAAAATGCGATGCCATCTTCACACTTTGCCCAAAGTACCTACTTCTGCACATGAATCACAGTCCACCATGCACGACACAAAAAAACACAATAAAGTACACACAGAATAGAGAGAAAGTCTGAGTGGTGCACAAGCTGTCAACAAGTCATGAGACAAAAGGCCACATGTTAGTGGAGAATAGGAATAAAAAAAGCACTGGTACTGTACTCACGCCAAAGATGATCCCGCCTCCTCACTGGGGTCGTGGGTGAGACGAGGAGGGATGGGTGGAAGACAGCATGGGTGTGGTTGGTTTGTTGGATGGAATGAGCAGAGGAAAGTGGGTGAAAGGCATGGAGGAGTAGATGGCACAGACAAAACCACAGAAAAGCCTAAATGTGTACTACTGTAGGTGTTCTGTGTGCAGCAGCATTGACTTTAATAGGCCACATTTTATGGGATGGGTTTCTTTCTGCAGGTTTAGCTGCATCTCATTTAGATACTGCAGAGAGGCTTTAACTTGTAAACAGATTTGACTGAAGCTCCTGTGCATGCTATGAAAAACAGATCTATGTTCCAGGACCTTTAACAGGTCCCTGAATACAGATATGTACATTTCTCCTGTCATATAAATGGTAAAAGGTCCGGAACTTCCCGAGGTGCTTTACAACACAGTCATTCACCCATTCACACCCTGGTGGGGATGCGCTACATTATAGCCATAGCTGCCCTGCGGCACACTGACAGAGGTGAGTCTGCTGCAAGGTGGGTTAAGCATCTTGCCCAAGGACACAACAATAGTGACAGACTGAGTGGGGCTCGAACCTGAAACCTTCCGCTAACAGGGCGAGCACTTAACTCCTGTGCCTCATTAGATCCCACTTCTCAGAAATTGGCCTGTTTATGAGCATAATACGGGCTCTTAGATGTAAACTCAAAGGCTTCGCTGCATTTCACCTTAAAGAAACAGTTCACCCAAATTACAATTACCCCAATAATCCTGTTTCTGATGGCAGATTAAACAGATCGTACATGGACAAACAGTACAACTGCAGCCCCATGTTTGTAGCAAAAAGCTTTTAGCTGTAGCATATTTGCAGCATTTGTCCCTACATGGACTTTTACAATCATAAATTAAAGAGAAGAAAGAAAACACACCAGATCAGCTAGGTGATATGTTAGATGTTGTCAGTAGGTTTCTTATATTTGATGGATTTAGGATTTCAAGTTTCCTTCAGACATCAAAGGAACATGTTTAGTGTTAGAAAGCCTTAATGATGTAAATGCATGCAGTTTATCCAGCTGTGGCAAGCCGTGACCTTAACTGGTGGCATTGTTTAAGGAAAAACATTTTTCCCTTTGTGTTTTCGACCATGACAGGATGTATTTATAATTGTATTACTTCATGCCATAAACCTTTAAAATGTTTGATTTTGAATCTGTATTTTGGATGAACTGACCACACGTAATAATCTGTCAGATGAAATACTTGATTTTGGTTGTGTGCTCTCACCCGTCATGCCCTTTAGCCTGTGACTGTCCAGCGATGGCGTCCATGATGGCATCCTGTGAGTACATGCTGATGGGTGTGTTGTACTGGGCGTGAACAATGGTGGCCTTCCCTCCTGGACCTCTGACCTCTATGGGTTTGTGGGTGGACAGGGCTGAGTCTTTCAAAGCTATGGGGTTGAAACTTGGGGTGTACTCAACACTGTCAGGGGTCGATGAAGGGTCAGAGGTCAGAGGGGCATCAAAGGTGTGGGAGGGTTTGTGAAAACAAATCAACAAAAAGCATCAAGTGAAAAACAGAAAACACAATAGCATTACATAACCACTTTACTGTACAAAACTGTAGGAGCCTCTTATTGGACAATTACTGCATGGGCATGGGGATTATCTGGCAACAAGTAATTTAACCCCAACTGGTGCAATGAGTTGCTTCTCAGTTCTTAAACATCCATGTAGAAAGACACATCTGGTGGTCGTGGAAAAGATGTTAGTCTGTTTGAGAAGGGTCAGATCATTGGCATGCATCAAGCAGAGAAAGCATTTAAGGAGATTGTAGAAACGACGTAAACTGGCTTAGAACTGTCCAACACATCATAAAAACTGGTCTGATGAGTACAGAGTGGCCCTGTTCCAGAGTGATGGTGCATCAGGGTAAAAAGAGAGGCAGATGAAGTGATGCACCCATCATGCCTAGTGCCTACGGTACAAGCCTGTGGGGGCAGTGCTCTGGGGTTGCTGCAGTTGACTTTGCAGAAGCTTAACCAAACAATGCCCCAGCGAATGCATGTCGTAATCAAAACTGAGGGCGGTCCAACAAAATGTTGGAGTGTGTGACTTTTTACTTGGTGGCAACTTTTTTGGATGGGCAGTGTGTATTGAGTAAACGGCTCCAATGCAGTCATGCAAACACTGAGGTTCAAGGTGCTAAAATGTTCTTTCAAAAAATGAAAGAAAGTCAATAAAATGTTTAGGAGTGGGACAACAGTGCAGCCCACTCCACATGACCACTCACTGCTAACAGCACATGTTAACTGTATGCATCATGTGAGCTGTTTAAGCTGTAAATCAGAAACAAAAGCAGTCAACCATGCTCAGATGGAACACGGCTACAAAGAAGCTTAAACCTTTGGCTCATGTTTGCACACAACAATCAATCCGTGCTAAAAACATGCTTCACCTCACAACAGCGTTGCCTCTTTCAATATTTAAATGTTGCTTCATGCAAATGAAAGTAAAAGCTAAGAAGATAAAGAAACAGTGACAGTACTGACTTTGCAGCTGTGTTGGCAATAACCTGAAACACATCAGAGGAATAGACAAACAGGAGGAGCAGACAATTATATGCTGATCATGAATGATGACATCATCTTGCTGTAAGAAACCTTCTAGCTCCAGAGATCTCCTGTAATCAGGTTAGGCACCATTTATCAGCAGTGACGCGTTTCCCTGATCTGCTTCTATCCAGAGAAATGACTGACAAGAGCAGAAGAGTTTCAGTCACGTGACACACTGTGGGGGGTTGTTGCCGGGACACATTTAGCACAGAACAGGCAGAAATATACACAAACATGACACAAACCACCAGACCCTTTTATGTCGGAGCAGGAGATTTATACTCTGGTATATTGAACCAGATGTATTCAGTCGTACTGTTGAGCCTTTTCACAATAATCTAATTGTCTGAGATGTTGAACGTGCGGGGTTGTCATCAGCTGTAAACCATAATCATCACAGTTATAACAAATAAAGTCTGAAATTTCTGGCTTTGCATGGAATGAGTCTGTCTCAAATATTAGTTTAACCTTTTAAGTAGAATTGCTGACATGAATGAACTTTGCACCACATTCTTATTTTTAGAGTTTTACTTTTATTGTTTGCAAGATTGCTAACATTTTTATTTTCTAATTTACCATTAAGTCTGGCAATAGCCTACATGGCTAATGTAGCTAACAACGGAAGTACTAAGTCATTCTGGGAACTGTAGTGAAAACATTTTTACCGTGAAAATGTTGAAAAGCATTTTAAAAACATCTTGAAACAGCTTTACAGTGAGGCCACCATCAGAACTTCCCAGTACTTGTCCTGGACCTTCACAGTACCTCCAGTTAGCCCAACAGGACCATTTCATGGGCAATTTTCAGGGACCAGCTGAGTTCCTGAACTAGGGCCTGGTAGAGTCACTGTGCAGGACTTGTGGTGAACTCATGCTGATTGGCTGTGACTCAGTAGGAAATGAGACAGACAGATGTGACCAAACACCTGGCATTTCAAATCAAGAATTGCTGTTGAAGCAGAATGGAAGGAAAACTAAATAAGCAGCATTTACTGGATGGGAAAATTGCTGTTTTTATAAACTCCGAGAACCAACACATCCCACGACATTGGGACGTTGCTTTGTGGTCTCCTACAGACCACTGTAATAGGCTGAGCTTTTCACGTCACACAGCTGCTCACCCCATCCCCTAAAAGGACCAGATTATTGTGTACTTTGATAGAATCAAACTTTCAAAGTTACCAATGTCCGTAGACACCTTTAAACACTCATCAGCCTCCCAGAAATATTCATATAACTCCTAAAGTGCGAACACAGCTTATTTCTACTTGACGTTCCTGTGCAAAAGCACCGTTTTTACTCTATCTCTGTGAGAACAAGCTAATGAACTTGTTAAACATCTTGGAAGGAAATATTTTCACATTTGAACTGTTTTTGTTTTGTTTATTTGTGGAGGCAGTACATCTACTCTGCTGTTAATGTTTTTACATGACGTGAGAAAGATACGGTGGTGCAGATTTACTGTAAAGATAGATCCTTGCATCTGACTCTGGCTAACAAATAGTTCAGATTACTGAAGTAATCTCACATGTGAACTGGACTACCTGGGAACACCTTCACTGTATTTCGGATTAGGCATAGTATGTTTTAATTATGCAGAAAGCCCCAGTTTGACTCATATAACAATCATTTAGATTTAGGGAGGTGCAGCGAATGATCACCAACTGCTGAGGACATCTGATTGCTGCTGTCAGCGTCTCGGTTTCCTTCTGGATAAGTGTGGAGAAAACCCACAGCTGATTAGTTGAGTTTATCTCTACAGAACTTGGATTTGTTCTGTAGGTAGAGAGATGTCCCATCCCTCTCATGGAACATCTCCTTATAGACTGGGAGTGCCCTAACTTAGGACTGGTATTCAGGAGATTCAGGATGATGGTGTGTAACCAGAGCAAAAGGCTCCATGACAGTGTCTAACAGCTGCTCTGACCTGTGTGTGTGTGTGTGTGTGTGTGTGTGTGTGTGTGTGTGTGTGTGTGTGTGTGTGTGTGTGTGTGTGTGTGTGTGTGTGTGTGTGTGTGTGTGTGGTGGAGCTGCTGGGATAACTGAGATCATCAGCCTGTGCTTCGACTGGAGCTCGTTTCCTGAAACCTGGCGTTCCATTGGCTGTGACTGTAAAGCAGCTCAGCTCCAGAGGGAGAACACATTAGCAGGGACTGATCCCTGAATGTGATATGTCAAAGGTCCTGCTGGTTTCATCCATAACCCTCTGGAGGCAGGCGTTGCAGATTTGCAGCATTAAAACCTACCTACCTGGTTACTCCACAATAAGTATTTCATGAGCATTTTTAAACTCAGAAGTACCCCTGAAGGACTTAGTTGTTTGTCCTTTTATTAAAACTTATTTTGAGCCTGAGAGGGTTAACTAACCTCTGACAGGATTCTCTGACTAAGGCTTTACTTATACCAACACTCCACGGCTGAAGCTTAGCTGATTTGACCTTCTGGACAAGCGTAACCTCGTCCTCTCAGTAGAAACAAACACCAGGCCTTTAGGGTTTCAGGCATTGTTATTCTTGTACCTGAACTTTATCTTATAATGTAACTATTTAAATGTGCTTTCATTTAATTCTGTCCAATCTGCTACCATGGAAACCATAAACTCTCTGATTTCAGAGATTATGGTTGATTATGTCATGAAACTCATCCCTGACAGTGAAGATGATGATTAAAAGTACTTTGATTAAGTGGCTGTGAAAACGTTTTAGGACCACATGTAAATAATTAACTCATGTTTAAATGTAGAAAGATTGTTTAATTAACTGTATAATTGTTTTTTCACAAGTCCTTACACTAAAAATGTCAAACATAAACATTATAAAGAAACGTTTGTGTAAAGATAAACGACTACTCCTGGTTTACAGCCCGTGTACGTTCCTTCAGGTTGTTTTTAATATTGTTGAATAATTAAACAAACAAACTTGTGATCAAACATATTTTTAGTGCTGAGCACATTACACTGCGTGCTCCACAAAAAGTGACTCTGAAGCCGATTTAAATGGATAATTAAGCAGATTTTAAAAGCTAATTTCTGTTCCAAACATTCTGTTAATGTGATACTGAACACTGATAGAAAATAAAAAGCATTAAAAGGTAAAATTAGGAAATCTAAAGAGCACAAAAACTAATTCTTGCTCTGTTCTTCATAACGTTGTCCTAAAGTTTGAGCGGAGGTTGTTTAACCTTTAGCTGCAGGAGCTGGGATCAGCCTGTAATACAGAACCAACCCGCTGCTATTCTGTTACCTGGTCTGAGGCCAGAGATGCTTGTGTGTACGATCCTGAAATAGAGTCACGTGTGAGGGGTGAGAGAGCACAGCGATGGAAAGCTCTGAGCACATTCTCTCCTTTTAGACTGTAGTTAGTTCAGCGAGGAAGATGTTTAAATGCTCCAGAGTGCCGTCATTTCCTTTAGGACTTCATAAGTGAAGGTAAAAATGCTCCTAATGGGCACACACACACACACACACACACACACACACACACACACACACACACACACACACACACACACACACACACACACACACACACACACACACACACACACACACACACACACACACACACACACACACACACACACACACACACACACACACACACACACACACACACACACACACAGACGCAGCAGGTGGCTGGTCCTGTGGCCCAAAGCTACAGTCTAGCACCATCGTCCTGATTAGAACACAAAACCTGACAGGGAGTTTATACTTTACTTGTCTATGTATACTAGACCTGCTAAAATGATTAAGTGACTGTTTATTTTGTCATCAGGTGTTTTTTTTATTACTTTTCCTGCAAAATGATGATACAGAAGCCCTGAAAGGCAACAGAAACATTTTTCCCTTTCTCTTGTCCAATTTTTCGTTTTTTTTTTATTTCTTGCATTTCTTTTTTTATTTTGCTATGAGTTGAATGAGAATTTAAAACATAAAACATGTTTTCCCTTGCCTTTCAGGGCTTTTGTAGCAAGCGCCTCTTCATAAACATGCTAAGGTAAAATTTGTACTGTACGGAAACGTTTACTGAACACATTTTCTCTTAGAGAAAGTTAAAACAGCAAATGTGACAGCAGGTTTCTGTCATTCTGTAGGCGTTGGCTGACCTTTGACCTCTCTGCAGCCCATCCTGGTGGTGTACCATGAATATTTGACACTAGAGGGCAGCAGAATTTTACCCGATTGCATCAAAATGAACAATAAAAGATTTTTTTCCAAAACATCAAGACGTGAACACAGAACAAATGTGACAAACACAGATTTTTGATACACATCATGCTTTGTCTTTGTTTTCTTGGTGTGTTTTATACCTTCTGGTGAGGGATGATGGGCATCGGTGACTCCATTCTTGGCGTTGCCGTGGGAACTGGAGCGGGACGTCTTGATCTATAGACACACAGTATTAATCAATCAATCTACAGTGTTTATTTGGTTATTTTAAAGAAAATAAAAGGAAAAAGAAAAACCACAATAATACCAAGGATTACATGTAAAACAACCAAAAGGTGTAGCTTTCTATGCCTATCCTATTTACAAAATCAATTTTATACTTAGAATGACAGGAAAAATATTAATAAAATTGTAATAATGATAATGAACAACAACAAAAATAAATCAGCAAAATAAAATGGAATGAAATAAATTAATAATAATAATAAAAACAACAGTAATCTTAACATGAGTCAATGAATAATATTGGAATAAGCAGACGGTTTCTATGAATATTAAAACTTTCAAGTGCATATATAAGCAAAACACTTGCTGGAACAAACATATCCTGTGACTCAACCCTATCTTAGATGTTTATGCTGCAGAAACATCAAGTTGTTGTGTTTTGGGCGAGTTTGGCAGTGAACTAAGATCCATCAGTCAAACCAAGTTTTTTAAAGTACTGTACGGACACAGAATCTTGCTCTTATTTTCTTGTTTACACATTTACACTTTCTACATTCACACCAGAGTAATGGTTGCCTACTTCAGCATTGTGAGTGCAAGTTTGTGGATAGCCGACTTGATCTTGTTCTGGGCCTCCAGGTGCGTCATCCCATCGGTGTTGACCCCATCGATGGCTGAGATGATGTCGCCCTGGGCCAGACTTCCACCTGCTGCCTTACTGCCAGGAGTTATCTAGGGAAGATGCACAGAGAAGATCCCAGACATTCAGGAGAACAGACACAATTCACAGTTGTGTTTGTGCACATTGTCGTGCATCTTAGAACAACTTGCAAGGACGGGAATAAAAGTCTCTGAGCACGTTTTGACTTTGAAGTTTGTTTATTCAATCACTCATCGCATCTCAGCTGACAGTGCATTTGACTCCTCACATTATCTCAGTGTTTGTGGAGTCACAGTAAATCAAACTAAAGGTCGCGGACGGAAGAGGAGATGACACAAAATCTACTCACCCTTCAGTTTGGCTCATGTGTTATAATCATAAAAAACAGCAGAGCTGCAATCTGCCTGTCTGATGAGGAGAATGAGTTAAAGAGCAGCGGCATTTCAGAGGTAAACTACAGAAAAATCATTACTGCTGATGTTCTAAACAGTGTCTTAAATGTTTTAGTGGCAGATGGAGACAGGAAGAGAAAATATTTCCTCCCCATCTTTCAAAATTACGCTCCATATTTCCACCATTAGCTAATCCCTCGGCTCAGCTAAAAACAAAACCATTTTTTTGTGGTTGAGTTCCACAGAAACGGTGTTTCGGGGAGCTCTGAGACATACGGTGGTGAGTCTGGACTTACCGTCCACTCGTTAAAGAGTTAAAAATAATGCTAATGGCTTCATGGTGATTGACTCTGTGCAGTCGTTCACTGCAACAACACATACATGCACACGTACACACACACACACCTGCTACTGACATTCACTTCCAAGGCTGACATGGGTGGAAAAACAAGAAAACACACACACACACACACACACACACACACACACACACACACACACACACACACACACACACACACACACAATGTGGAAAACTTTGTATTAACCCTTTAATGTATAAAATACAGAGGCAGATGTGAAGGTGCCAAGGGGAGGGAGCAACTGCCCCCTGCTGCAGACCCTTGCCCACCCAAATTTTATGTTTTTAAAATATACTTGCAGGTGCAATATGAAAGACTTTTACAATGAAAAAATCACAAACAGTTTAATGTCTTAGTCATGTTGGAAGGAAAATTACATTTAAACATATTTCATTCTCAGCCGGCTGGGGGGTTACCAGATTTTCTCCTTTCAAAATGGTCAAAGAGGGATGGAGTCACTATTTACAATCTGTGAGGTTGCAGAGTCTGCCCCAAGCTAGCGCTGCAGCGCCGGCATTTGTAAGTCGACACTAGCCAGCAAAAAGCTCTAAATGAATGATAAATGACCTGCACTTGTAAAGCGTCTTTCAGAGTCAGACTCCAAAGCACTTTACACTTCAGTGAATCTCTCTCTCTCTCTCTCACACACACACACACACACACACACACACACACACACACACACACACACACACACACACACACACACACGCACACGCACGTGCGCACGCATGCACGCTCGCACACACACACACTTTCACTCACTGATAGTGATGAGCTACAGTTTAGCCACAGCTGCCCTGGGGAACAATGACAAAGGCAAGGCTGCTAAGCACAGGTGCCACCGGTCCCTTTGACAACCACTAGCGCCACCAAACAACTGAAGTCAGTGACAGGAACAACCCAGAAGTTATTTCTTACACCCCTAAGAAGCTATGGAGTCTTTTTGTTTTATTCTAATATTAACTGAAGAAGGCTATAGGCTAAGGCTGAGCTAACAATGCCAACAGTGAATTGGAAGCAAATAGTCGGCTCTAAAATAGCTCAAGCTACATTTTCAATTACCAATAACTCAATATAACAGTGAAATGTGTGTGAAGTGAATAATGAGTCAATCGTGGTGTTTTACTTCATTTAATGAGTTGTTCAGAACTATAACAACAAGCTAACAGCAAGATGGTAAACAACCACACACACACTCTGATGCAGTAGAAATGTTACCGTAATAAATGTACTAAGTGCCCCCTTTCGTAAAATGCCCAAAAGCGATAGTACCAAATATGACAATGCATTTATCTACTTATTGACTTGCTGTGTGTGACTTGTCTTTGCTTCTCATCTAGAATCTTCTGGTGCTTGTCCATAACTGACAACAGCCAGTAAGATAGTGTATTTTTGTGTAATTATATAACAAATAACAGTAACATGTAAATACAATTGGCTCTCGCCACCTGTGGACCCATCACCAGATGGCAGTAAACACGAATACGACTGGATTTGGCAGGTATTTGATGAAGATACTAATCCTTATACTACATCTATACTCTTTAAGGCTAGACGTGTTTTGATGCTAATTTGCTACATTAACATACGAGGAGTTGTGTGTCAAAATCATTTGAAGTTTGACCTGATATGTGTTGTTGTCATCAGCTCAAGTCAGCACCCAATCAGAGACCAGAAAGTAGCTTTTGCTTATTTAAACTTAATGTACACAAGAACATAACACTGAAAACAAATAAATGCATGTTCATATCTTATGCATCCCATCTTTATTTTCTTTTTGCTTTGGCTAATAGCATCAAACGGACCCACAGTCTTCATTCTGTTTTCTTTTCTTAGTTCTTGGGAAAAGTAATCCAAACTGAGGTGGCGTTACGTCAAACTGAAATATTATCCCAGGCTGCCAGTGTTTTGTGTTAACCTGCTGAGATCCATCCCAACCAGAGGATGAACATAAATCTCATCATCCAGAGCAAAAATCCTCCAAAACCAGGAGAAAATCTGTATGTTCACTCAACCGTGACTGAAGAATAATAATCTGAAGGTATGAGGGAGCAGAGGTAATCTCCACTCAGGTGAGCGTCAGACCTTCAGCTCTTTCCTTTTTGTCTCATTTCCTGCTTCAGTCTGCTCGCCCACAGGCCCAGCTCCAGAGGATGAATATGAAACTTAACAGCAGTGAGGAATTAAGCTTACTAAAGGTAACACAAGCTGTCGTTAGCTTCTTCGCACTCCTCACGTCTTTCCTGTCCTGTTCCCACCTCTCTCCCTCCCTTCATCCCTCCATCCATCCATCCATCCAGTTCTCCTCTAATGCTATTTAAAGCAAATACTGCTAACACACCAGCAGTTTAGTCAGAGTCTTGGCTGAAAGATGATTTGCTGTCTTCCTTAGTACAAAAGTAGCTACATCTTCTCAAAAACTTTGCAACAATTCAAGAGTGAAAAGTTTGAATCAAACAAACTTTACTCTCAGAATTGCAGCTTTTGGAAATTATTTTCAGTTTTGTTTCAGAACTAAATAACAAAATTTAAAAAACCCTCTAATCACCCTTAAACTTGTTTTTTTTTTTTTTTGACAATTTGGAACTAATCTGACATGAAATGTCATCTGCATGTGTGTTTGATTTGGTTTCAGTAATACTGGTTAAACCATCCTGGAAGATCAGCTGGAGCCACGCTGTCATCATCAAGTACAGCAACATTACATAATCCCAGATCACACCTATGTGCATGCACATGCATTTAGAACATGCAGAAACACAAGCCGCTAAAGGATTATGAACTTGGGCAAACTTTGTTTTGCAAAGCTATGCTTTAATCCCAGTGAAATATCTCACTGGTAGGATGAAGAGTCTCCTCTGACTCAAACTGCTGAAATGTTTTATTTTTTGTTGAATTGATTTTTTTTAGTTAAACATGTTGAAATAGTTTTTGCAAAAAATGCACCAAATGTAATTTTTTTTAGAATTTTGGAGAAAATTACGATGATGAAACGAAATCTAAGTTGTTCATTTGTTTAGCTGAATTTCACCTTGATCTTAGTTAGTTAGGGATGTTTAGCTGCAGTTTCAAATGACCTTAGCTGATATTTTACATCACTCAGCTTGTTGCTTTCTTTTCATTTACTAATAATTTGTTTTATGTAATTCTGAGCCCAAATTGTGCCCTTACCCTGGAGATAGTGAGTGGCATGTTGAAGTCCTTGCCTCCCTGTAGTCTGAAGCCCCATGGAGCAGGGCCGTTCAGAGTCACTGTGTACGAACTCATCTTCTGCTTAACGTCAGCACTCCTCCTGCTAACAGCTCCGTCTGCCTGTGCCTTTTCTCCTCCTTTCTGGTCTTCCTTGTTCTGCAATCCTTTTGTCCCCGGTCAGCGCCTCGGCGGTCGCTTGTCCTCCGTGAGCCCTGGCTTCACAGCTCCCTCTCTGCTCCCAGCTCTCAGGACAAACACCTTGGGGCGAGGGTGGTGTTGGTGCTGCTGGTGAGAGGGGTGGGTCAGGTGCTGTAAACCTCTGAGACACACAGGCATGCATATGTGCACACAAACAACACGTGCACAGAAACACACACAAGAAGGAGGGTGCAAAACAAGAATGAGCTCATGCAGGAAAACAGTTCTACAAATTGAATTCCATCAAGACATGTCAAATTAGTGCAAAACAGACTAAAAAGTCATAATTACAATTAGAAGGCTTATAGTTTCTTGCCTGCAGGGTTGAGGTTGAGGGACAGACAAACTAAGAATAGCAGGGACTAGCAGAGACACAGGGTCCCGGGTCCCGTATAAGGCCTGTAACACGAAGCCCCAGAATGCTTCACTGCCGATTCACATCGCCAATATAGACCCCTCTTACTGCAACACATTCTTTCTCTCTCTTAACTTATCAGTGCGTGCTGCCAGCACGCTATTATGTGCAATCACTTTTTGTGCACTGGTCGTGTTTGTTTTACAGCTCTGCAACCTTTAAATCTACCCCAGGAAAGGAAACAAGAAATTACCCAGAGCTGATTTCCTGCAAACACACTCATCCAGCTTTGTGTGTGTGTGTGTGTGTGTGTGTGTGTGTGTGTGTGTGTGTGTGTGTGTGTGTGTGTTTGTGTTCTGGAGCAGTTTAATTAGCAGACAGTCACTTGTGTTTGGGTTAAATTAAAACAAAGTCAGGATATTGGTTGACTGGTAGCTTGAAACTGCATTTATTTTTGTCACATCTGGATAATTCTGGGAATAAGTACAGGTGAAAACACTCTCCAAATAGACCCTGTTCCAGAGTGATGGTGCATCAGGGTAAGAAGAGAGGCAGATGAAGTGATGCATCCATCATGCTTAGTGCCTGTTGTACAAGCCTGTGGGGGCAGTGCCATGATCTGGGGTTGCTGCACTTGGTCAGGTCTAGGTTCAGCAACAGGATGTACTCCAAGAATGAGGTCAGTAATATACTGAATTACCAGGTTATTACATCTTCCCTGATGGCACGGGTATTCTCTAAGATGACAATACAAGGATTCATCAGGCTAAGATAGTGAAAGAGTGGTTCAGGGAGCATGAGACATCATTTTCACACATGGATTGTCCACCACAGAGTCCAGACATTAACCCCATTGAGAATCTTTGGGATGTGCTGGAGAAGGCTTTGTGCAGGGGTCAGACTCCACCATCATCAATATAAGATCTTGGTGAAACATTAATGCAGCACTGGATGGAGAAAAATCTGGTGGCACTGCAGAAGCTTATGGAAACAACGCCACAGCGAATGTGTGTCGTAATGAAAGCTAAAGGTTACGGATGAGTGAGTACACCACTATCCGTAACTGTATCTGCATCTGTATCTGTTCACCCATCTAAGTTATCTGTATCTGTACTCGGAGTGGGCGTGGCCAAACCAGGAAGTGGGCGTAGTTAAACCGGAAGTGTGTGTGGTATAACCGGAAATGGGTGTGGTTTACATCAATACATTATTTTAAGTCTGAAATTGATAAGGATTGATCAGAAGTTGCTATGTGTATTGTTTATTTGAAAACCATTTACAGAGCAGCCTCAGAATTGATTAAATATTTTTGATTACAATAGTAAAGGAACTATTACAGAACAAGCTTTTCAATAAAATCAGAACATTAATATTTAAGTGCATGAATTAATACATCTGAACTCATGCAGTAGGAACTAGGAAATATGAAATACTAGAACCAGACACAACTTTTAATTATTTTTTATTTTAATTTGATTAAACAGATTTTTTTCTAATGTTCTTGGCATTTTTCCCACACAAAGATGAACAAAACAATGTTGATTAAGGTATGTGTGTGAGAGAGATAGAGAGGGAGAGAGTGAGAGTGAGAGTAAAAAAAATAATAACCCCCCGACCGGAGCGGAGCAGAGGCAGTGACTGACGCAGCACAAGCCGTTTTCAGCTCTGTCTTGTCAAATGCACCACGTACATTCCGAAAAAAGTAACTTTAAAGATTAAACTGAAAAAGAGGTGAGCTGAAGAAAACCTAGGGAGTACTGAAGAAACGTGAGCAACAGTGAAGCAAGCACAGAGAGATGCGTTACTGTCTGTGTGTGTGCGTGGATGAGCCGGACGGACTGAGCTCCCGGCTGCAGAGTTTTGTGTGTAGAGAAGGGCGGGCGCTCTATGTGACTGGCCAATCACAGAGCGTGAAGACAGTCAGTTACCCAATGAGGATTTTCCTTCAGCACGATTACAGATATTTACGAGTTTTCCTCGTTTCATGCTCATAGTCGTCAAAAATGCTTTTTCCGGCTCACCCCTACTAAAGGTGGTCCAACGAAATATTAGAGTGTGTGACCTTTTTTTGGTGGCAACTTTTTTTGGCTCAGCAATGTAAATTTCCTCTTAAAAAGTTACAGTTGGGAGGGCAAGATGGCAGCGGCGATGTAGGTCATGGTTGGTGTGGCTCCCATATGGCTACGGCAATAGGATACATCTCAGCAATCCCTCCAAACATAAGATAAACAGTGTTTCATATCGAACTCATCCTCACTGAACGTATAAATGGCTACAAATCTACTGAAATTTAAATATACCGGAGGAGCTAATGCGACTACTGGTAGGCCCGATGTCCTGTCAGGCCAGAGCTCGGGTAAGCCCTGGGAGGACTCGCCTCCGACCTCGCCACAACGCAGCGATATGGACGTTCTGAAGTCTGAGATTCTCCAGGCTCTGAAAGCTGACATTTCAACCGTCATAAAATCAGAACTAAAGAACGCTCTGGCAGAGGACTTCGCCTGTTTAAAAGGCAAACTCCAAGATGTAAAAAACGAGATTAAGAAATGTACGGCTGCCCTTCACGAAGAAGTTGACCAGGTGAAAGCGGAGATAAAGGAAGTGCAAGATGGCCTGTCTATGTGGTCGGATGAGGTGATGTCACTGCAAAATACTGGCTCGACAAGGAGCCAACAATCGATCGCTCACACTGGGGCTTGGGCAGGAGAGGCGGAGGAGAGCGACAGCGAGTTATCGCCAAGCTGCACTACCACCAAGAATGCATGGAGGTACTGCGCAGGGCCAGTAATCGCACTCCATTTCGTTTTAACGGAGAGGCGATGACGATCTTCCCTGATTACACCACAAAGGTGGCCCGAGCCAGGGCTGCGTTCACGGAAGTTTGGAGACTTCTTCTTCGACTATAAGCACAGAATGTGCAGATTTTTGCTTGTTGGGTTGTGGGTTCACCTTGTTCTTTTAGGTGTAGAGGGAGGGTTGTTGCCAGATTCATCCTATCTTATAATGTTTTCTGTCAGACTGGTTTTTATGTTTCTGTGGAGTCTCAGTGGGGCTACAGAGTTGGGGGAGTGTGGGTGTGAACTGAAGCAGACGTGCTACCTGAAAGGGCGGACATGAACAAAACTAAGAGAGGCAATTGCTGCCCACTGAATCTTGTGAGCTGGAATGTAAAGTCTCTCAACCATCCAGTAAAATTTAGAAAAGTAATGTCACATCTCAAACAGCTTAACGCGGACATTACCTTTTTACAGGAAACGCACATTTCTAAAACTGATAATCAAAGGTTTGGAGGAAAATGGCCAGGTGTAGTATTTCAGTCCAACTTTCAATCAAAAGCAAGAGGGGTGGCTATTATCATTGGTAGTAACGTGCGATTTACTGCCTCTAATGTATATGCAGACACAGCAGGGCATTATGTGATTGTGGTTGGGAAACTATATACACTACCTGTTATATTAACTTGTTTCTATGCTCCCAATTGGAATGATCCAGTTAAACATGCCAAACGTTGGAACACATAATCTTATTCTGGCCGGTGACGAAAATTGCATACTCTCCTCATTGGATAGGAGTTCTGGTGGTGGTGGTGGTGGTGGGGGGGGGGGGGGGGGGGGGGGGGGGGGGGGGCATCCATGCACAAAAACTGCTCTTTTCATTAATTTGCTACTCCAAAAAATGGCATGGTTGACATTTGGCGCTTCTGTAACCCCACCTCCAGGATGTAATCTTTTTTTTCCCGTCAGTTCATAAAAGCTATTCTCGTATAGATTATTTCTTTATGGATAAGAGGATCCTCCAATTAGTAACTGCCTGTGAATATGGCAGTATAATTATTTTGGATCATGGCCCGCTATCTATGAAAATGTGCATCCTTAGCTCTCAACCTGTATATCGGCAGTGGCGCTTGAACAATTTACTGCTCTCTGAGGGCGATTACATTAAACACATTTATTCAGAAATTAAATCTTTCCTAGAAACCAATCAAACCCCAGGTATGCCATTTTCAACAATCTGGGACTCTTTAAAAGCCTACCTGAGGGGATTGGCAATCTCATTTCAGGCCAGGAAAAAAACCAGGAATAATGAGCGTCTCAAACAACCATCTAGCGATATTTTGGCAGTAGGCAAACTATGCAGTAGATCTCTATCAGCTGAGCTGGTTAAAAAACACCTGGAATTGAAGACAGAATTTGATGTTTTGTCAACTCAACAGGCAGAGGATCTCTTGTCCGGAACTAAAGCTAACTACTATGAGCATGGAGAAAAAACAGGTCGTCTGCTTGCACACCAGCTGCGCCAAAAACCAGCAAAACAGACAATTCCAACAATAAGGGAAAAGAACGATGTTCAACATACGGACAACAAGGAAATTAATTCTTGTTTTTGGGATTTTTATTTATCATATTACCATTCGGACTCACCTTCTTGCCCAGACAAGTTGGATAAATTCTTTCAATCCATACAGATTCCCTTTGTTGGAGTTGATCACATCAAAAAGTTAGAGGAAGATCTCACTGTCATAGAAATAACTTCCGCAATCCGAAGCATGCAAAGTGGTAAGGCACATGGCCCTGATGGCTTCTCAGCAGATTTTTATAAAGCATTCTCAGATCTACTCTCACCACTATTAATATCAGTGTTTAATGAGTCGTTTTCTTCAAATTCTGTGCCTTCCTCCACGCGCAAAGCAATTATATCTCTATCGGTTAAAAAAGGTAAAGATCCCCTCAACTGTAGCTCCTACCATCCCATTTCTCTTTTAAACACTGACGCTAAAATCCTGGCTAAAGTGTTGGCACACCGCCTTGAGAAGCTAATTCCAACAATTATTTCTCCCGTTCAGACAGTATTTATTAAGGGTCGTCATTCCCTTTTTAATGTCAGACGTCTGTGTAATATTTTATACTGTCCATCTCTGTCCGTCTACACGAACTGTGAGATAATAATCTCCCTTGATGCCGAGAAAGCATTCAATCGGATAGAGTGGCGCTACTTATTTAAATAACTGGAATCCTTTAAATTTGGCCCTAAATTCATATCCTGGATTAAGATTCTATATACTCTCCCAATGGCTGCAATACTAACAAATAATAACATTTCAACGTTTTTTGAGCTAGAGCGTGGTATGAGACAGGGATGCCCACTCTCACCACTCCTGTTTGCAATTGCTATGTAACCACTCGCAGCAGCTACGTCAAACACCTGCCATTAAGGGGATTTCCCGTAACAGTTTGGAGCACAAGGTCTCCCTATACGTGGATGATATGTTATTATTCATATCAGATCCTTGCTCCAGCATCCCCCAATTATTGTCATTACTCTGAATTTGGGAAATTATCGGGGTATAAGGTTAACATTCAATAAAGTGAGATAATGCCTGTCTCGTCTATGTAAAAGCGACATGTTATGTCTGGCCCTTTCAAAGTTAATCCTCATAAAATAAAATGTTTAGGTGTTTGGATAACACATCATCATTAGGATCTATTCAGAGCCAATTACCAACCCCTCCTCTCTAACTTAAAACAGGATCTGTATGGATGGGATACCCTATCTCTGTCCTTAGGTGAAGGATTAATTCAATAAAGATGTGTGTGCTTCCTAAATTTCTTTATATATTCCAATGTCTTCCCATCTTTCTGACAAAATCTTTCTTCCATAAGTTGGATAATCAATTATCTAGTTTTGCTTGGAACAAAAAAAAAAAAAAATCACGGATACGGAGAGAAACATTACAGCTACCCCGAAAAGGGGGAGGTTTGTCCCAGCCAAACTTTTCATACTATTACTGGGCAGCAAATATTAGACCATTGATATATTGGATGAACGAATCTGATACCAAACCTAGCTGGGTGTCCCTGGAAGAGAGCTCGGCCAAACATACATCTCTGGCCGCCCTACTATGTTCAAATCTACCATTTAAACAACCTATATCCTCGTACACACAGAACCCTGTTATAACCCATAGCCTCAAAATCTGGAACCAGTTTAGAAGAACATTTAGTCTCTCTGAGTTGTGGATAGCGGCACCTATAACAATATATCATCTGTTTGTCCCTTCGGTTATGGACAAGGCATTCAATAATTGGTCAAAATCTGGATGAGGTCCCTGAAAGATTTATACTTAGATGGCAGATTTTCCTCTTTTGAAGAATTATCTCAAAGGTTTGGCCTGGACAGATCTCAATACTTCAGATATTTGCAGATTCAATGCTTTGTTTAATCCAACACAGAATGTTTTCCTTCTTGTCCGTCCACTTCTTTGTTGTACTCGATTTTTGAGAGTAAAATTGACTCATAGGGAACTATGGGTAGATTGTATACACTGTTTAATGAATGTAAAATGACCAATTTAGAAAAACTTAAGCAGAAATGGGAGAGAGATTTGGGAGAAACAATTACAGAGACTATTTGGTCACAGGTTCTAAGGAAGATCTCTTCATTGTCAGTGAGTCTTGGAAACTGTTAAACAGTTTAAAGTGGTGCATCGTCTTCACTGGTCCAAGGACAAATTGGCCAGATTCAAGATGGATTTGGACCCCACGTGTGACAGATACAGGACTTCGCCAGCAACATTGATTCACATGTTCTGGTTCTGTCCAAAACTGTTAGGATTCTGGAGCTCAATTTTTGGGACCTATTCTAGTATAATGGGACAAACTATACATCCAGACCCTTTGATTTCGTTGTTCGGAGTTGTCCCTCCACAATACTTGCTGAGCAGGTCCCACTCAAACATGATCGCGTACTCCTCCCTTCTGGCCAGAAGACTGATTATCACTAAATGGAAGGACTCTCAACCTCTGACATTTGGCCAGTGGATCAGGAGTGTGATGCATCTGATCCATTTAGAAAAAATGAAGTTTAGTCTTGGTGGATGTGTGGAGGGATTTCATGCTTCTTGGCAACCATTTATAAATTTTGTTTCAAATATGCCAGCAGCAGACGTCGGTTTGTAATTGCCCAATGCTGATGTCTAGCACCCATTAGCCCATTGCTCTGAGAGTGTGTAAGTATGTGTAAGATACGGTTGTATATGTCTGACTCTACTATGTGGTTCTTTAGATGTGAGATCTGGCAACGTGGGGTGGGAGGGGATTGGGGGTTACTAAATGTATATGTGTATGTACACGACTGTTACAAAACAAAATTTAAAAAATACTTGGTTTAAAAAATTTTACAATTGGTAGTACTTCAGAATCCATCCGATTGAAACAATAAACACACACCGTGCACATGGACTATGTAAAACACCACCTCTGCTTGTTTTTTACATTCCACCGTTCACTCCTTTCAGATTTAGCTCAGTGTCATGCATGCATCTTAACGTACCATTTGTGCGCATTTTCTAGCTGCACCTTTAGGTACCCTGATTACATTAGCTGTGATTACCTGTCATCCCCATTCTCATGTAAAGCCAGACTGAAGATATGCTAATCCGCCTGCATGCGTACATCTGATTGGTTCACAGGACAACTGTAGTGTAGGATAAATCTGTTGGATCAGGATGGAAATTTATCAACCCTGCCACTGTCCTAATGGATGTGACCCCGTGAGGAAAGTTGACCATTGAGCAGGGTTGATGGTTTATCCCTTGGGTCCATGTGACAGAGGTAAGGAGTGAGCACCACCTCACTCCTGCCACATGGACCACAAGGGATAACCCATCAATCCTGCTCAATGGTCAACTTTCCTCGCAGGGTCACCCATAAAGACAGTGGGAGGGTTAAATACTAGTTCTAGCATTATTATCTTGTTGAATGCGTGCTCACAACCCACTTGGAATGCATATATTTAGCTGTCATTTGAATGAACAATGTAGGCACATACTACAGCTTCCTCACATGACCATATTTGGAGTTGTATCGCACTGAGGCAAAATTTACAGTGAAATCTGAATGGATGCAGTTCAGAACCTCCTCCAGGGGCTGCAGGACTACAAAAGAAGGGCTGGGGGAGGTGAAAGGGGTTCTCAGCAACCACAGCACTGTTGTATTCTTTGCTTGACTGAATTAGAACTTTTTTTTATCAGGGCCTAACTTTTATTAAATATCCTAAAATACAATTTTTGCAGTGATCGTATTTTTGAATGATCCGCCTACCTTGATAAAAATTCTGAGTGAAAGTTTTAGTTTTCTTAAATGTGTGCTGACAGAATTCTTACGGTAGTCAGTGCAGATCTCTGGAGTTCTGTGTGGTCCATAGTATCACTGACAAAATAACATGTTTTGAATCAATCATGTCTTTAAAAAAAAATCTTTATATTTCTGTAGACCTTGCCCCAGACACTGACATATATGGAAATCCTGTTATTTACAGTAAAGTTGTTGTGCATCTTCTTATCCTTGGTCAGCGGTGTTTATATTTATTTCAATATGCTGATTTATTCGGATGTCTTGTTTTGCTTCATTCTACTTCACTTTGGTGTGTGTCTCCTATCTGCAGACAGTTCCTGCCACTCCCAAATGTTATGCATCAATGTCCTCCTCTGATTTTGCATGTATACTCTATCCCAGTGGTGTCCAGTCCTGGTGCTCAAAGGACCCTATGCAGCATGTTTTAGATGTTTTTCTGCTCCAACACTGCTGGGTGAATTATATGCTTCTGTGATGTGATGACTTGCTGAATTGGTACTTTTGTTAGAGCAGGGAAATTACTAAACATGCTGGATATGAGTGCTTGAGGACCAGGATTGGACACCACTACTCAACCCCATTTACCAGGTCCTCTTTATCTTCGTGTCAAGTTCTCCAGCATCAGGTTTCTTGTAATAATTTGTGATTTAGACCTTTTGCCTGCGCCTTCAGTGGACTGTCTACTTGAATCTATGGTAGATTGTGTTCTGACCTGGGAGGACTGCTCTGTTTGAGTCTTGAGTCCTCCCTCCTGTGCCACATGACAGTAACAATGATTCAGGCAAAGTGAGAAACAGTTCATATCGGGCAGCAGAGCAACTATGCATGCCCTACTCACCAACTCAACCTGCAATAACTTACAGTAAAAAAGACATTATAGTGTTAGCCAAATATAAAAAGCATAAAAATGCACCAAACCAGCACATTGTGGATTTTAATCCCTGAAGACCTCTGGGAGGAAACTTCAAGGGTTATGGAAGGTTATAAATTCAAAGCAGCATAGAGCTAACATTCTCCTCAAGCTGTCAAATTATTTGAAAAATATAATATAGCTCCAATGAATTGAATTTGAGTTGTCAGGATGGTTCCAGTTAGTTTGATTGTTGACTTAGCTTTTTTTTTTGTAGCATTTATTTGACAGAACATGTTGAATTTCATCAGCAATTTGGACACTTTGGACCATGAGGTTCTAATCTCCAGGCTGGAGCAGCGGGTGGGAGTTTCAGGCCCTACCCTTTTGTGTTTTACATCCTATTTGGGGCAGCAGTAGCTCAGGTGGTAGAGCGGGTTGCCTCATGACCGGAGGGTCATGGGGTCAATTCCAGCTCCCGCCAGGGGTATCCTGCTGTTGTGTCCTTGGGCAAGATACTTCACCCAACTTGCCTGTGTTAGTAGTGGTCAGAGGGGCCGACGGCGCCAAATGGCAGCCTCGCCTCTGTCAGACCTCCCCAGGACGGCTGTGGCTACAAGTAGCTTACCATCACTAGCAGTGTATGAATGTGAGAGTGTGTGAAAGTGTCTTTGGGTGTCTAGAGAAGCGCTAATAGGACTCTTTGTGTTAACATTGGTGATTCTAGCTCGATTTGTGCTCCTCTACCTTGGGGGGGTTCCACAAGGTCCTATTCTCAGATTGTTACTCTCAGGTAATGTCAGTTGCAAGCATGGCATTCCCCTCAATTTCTGTGTGGATGACTGCCAGCTCCATGTTCCTACCAATTACTGCGTTGTTCCCTTTTTTCAGTCTCTGTTGGATTGTGTTGTTGACATCAGGTCTTAGATGGTGCGACACTTCTTCAACCTCAATAATAAAAAGTCTGAGATCACGCTGTTTGGCCCGAATAGCCCAGATAAGTGCTGGAGCATCCTAGCCCTTCTTAAGAGTGTACACACTAAAAAACTTTGGGTTGTTTTCTCAGCCCAATATTTTTTAGAGAGTACTTTGGAGTTAGCTTATCCATTGCATAGTGGTTTATTTTCGTGTTAATTCATTGGCTCATGTTAGTGTTAGCTCATTGTTAGTGCTAGCTACAGCAGACTGCAGCATTGTTGTTTGTAATTCCACTTTCAACTAGTAGGGTTGCTCACTGTTACTTTAATGTAGCTACAGCACTTTGTGCGAACCTGCTGTCCCAATTTAAGGAGCATTATAAATAAAGGTTGTGTGGTAGCAATAGGTTCATGCAATAATGCCATCACGGACCTTAATATATGTTTCTGCAGACAACCAATGGCACAAACCAAAACAAGAACTCTATTTCACTTCATATCATCATTATTAAATTATGACTGACGGTATTTTGCCTGTGGCTTTTCAAATGCCACAACATCGGGCCTTAATTTCAGCGCCATCATGTGGCGTGATGTGTTTATATCTCTTAAAAGACAAGTGAACTCACAGAAATCAACGTTCAGGAAAAAACAGGAAAAAGGTTCAAAACATTTTTTTGATTAGAAAGGAAAGCAAAACATGATGACAACAATCAGTGAATATCATGCTTTTATGTAGAAAAATAAATAAAAACACAAAACTTTTTGTACAAAGAAATCAAAATCCACATGAAACCATCATTTCAGTGAAGCAGCATTTTATACATTTATAATACATATATTTAATCAAAAATCCACCAATTATGTTCTGAATACAAATAATTTAATACATTTACCAATACAATACAGACATGAAAGAAATAATTTTATTAATCATTTAATGAGGACAACAAAGTGTCTGATTGTATTTTGGGTGCCAAAAGAACAATTACGAAACAATCATAGTCAACGATGCAGCAGTCAGAGGAATCGCAAACACAGAGGTAGAGATGAAGAGCTTTGGAAATAGGCGTCTGAGCTGATTATTAAAGCAACCAAATTAGGCAAACGTTACTGTTATATAACACAGAGCTTGGCCTCAGGAAGAATGGAAAACACACAGTACTGAGTCTGTTTCCATGTACACACACACACACACACTCACGCACACGCACACGCACACACACACACACACACACACACACACACACACACACACACACACACACACACACACACACACACACACACACACACACACACACACACAATCACACACAGGATTCCTGGGTGTTCTACCACTCAAGACAACGTCTGGGTCCCAGAGAATCTGATCTGTGGTAAAAAATGTTCTTAGGAACACAAAGAGCCCGAGGGATAAAATCCTTTGTTCTGTTTGTGTGCTACGGTATGAATGGTGAGTTGATCACTAAACAGCAAAATTACTGTAACGAGTGATAAACTTCTTCTGGTTATTTCAGTTGAATGTTAATAAATGGATTTATTTTACTCGATCACTTGAAATCTGTACCTTTGCAAAAAACGAAAACAAAAGATAAATGATTCCTATATTTCAGGTTTTATGGATGGATGAATAAAAACAAATATTTGTGAGTTTTATACTTTAAATGGCAGAAAAGATGTTTAAGATCATTTCATTTAGCAGTCTCATTTTGGTGAACTTTTAATCCGTCCAGCGTTTCAACAGACTCCACAGAAATGGATAAAGGACTAGAAAAAAATTATTAAAAAGCAGCAGAGATTCTTCTTCCTTTTTTTGTGTTATGTGCAAAACAGACTAAAAAGTGCCTGAAGTGGCTTTTAGGAAAGAGTGAAGCAATGTTGATCCATTCATGTCTTTTAAACCTTAACGTGAGCTCTAAAGGTGTTTTATGTAATTAGGTCCTGAACAGAGAACTTTTACTTTTCGTCGTTTGTGCTGATTACAATTGCTTTACACCTGTCGTATCTAAAGTATATTCTTAGAAAACCTACTTTTGTAAATTCTTAAAAATATGAATCTAAGCAAAAGCCGAAGTTTGACTGGAACCTAAATATCTGTTATAAAATTTCATATTTGAACTTACAGCCTACTTGCATCCTAGTTAAATATGTTTCTATTTATGCAGAACCTGCATGCAGGTTAGAAATGTGCATGTTATCTCAAAATATTCAAGTCTCCAGTCACCAACATTGCCCCATAAATGAAAAAGAAGAGGCTTTTAACAGTGACTATTCAGCTTCTATGCAGCAATAAATTAATCTGAAATGATAAAATGCTGTGGCTCTGTAACACAATCCTCAACACAATGGCTGATTTGTTGCGTTCATCTTTGAGGTAAATTATCTTTAGACACACCAGAAAAAAAAACACACGCACAGACCAATAATTGCTGGGCATCCACGCTCACACACGTTTAAATTGCATGCAACAGAAATCAAACAATGAGGTGGCTCACCGTCACTATCATTCATCATGCTGGCACAGATTATTCCCATGAAGGGAAGCACACATACTGACACACACAGTGACACCGAGCTGAGCTTTTCTCCAGCTCTTCACGGCAGAGCTGAAGTCTCCAGCCTGGCGATGTCGAGCAGCTCTTTAGAAACTGGTGTGCACGTTTTGGCCACTTTGAGGCTGCCATGGAAACCAGGAGGGCTGTGCAGGATGGATGGGGTGGATATGGAGGTGACGATGATAGAAGGTGAGGTCTTGGACGACAACCTTGTCCCAGACTCCTTCATCACAGTGTCCAGCTGGGAAAGAGAGAAACATAATTCAGATTCAGCATCTTTCTCAGAAGGAAGGCTGATAAAGACTCAAGCAGCTGAGATCAAAGATACAAACACCAGGTCCTGACAAGGTTTCAAATTATTGTTTGACATTTGAGCTAATTTGAGTATTTTATTTGGAATGAAAAATGGGACATTATTTGGCAATGCATTTCAAAGCAGAACACGGACGTGCTTTTTACAGTTGGAAATAGTTCTTTGAGATTCTGTAGAGCTATGAAACTTTGTTGGGGCTCACAATGGCCCAGGTGCCCTGATAAATGGCCAGACTCAACCCCATAATGAAGCCCTAGCATGAAAAAAAGTACTGGTTTACCACATGCACCTACTTGACCAAGACATGAATATTTAATAAGCTGTATGCTGATTGGCTGGTCTACCTCAATGGCTCTGTGACTGCAAAGTATCCCAGTACATTGTGAAATGTGGGTGCTTCACTGTTTTCCTTTCATCTAACAGATGTTAGCATTAGTTCGGGCTTGCATTAGCAGTTGCTTGGTCTAGAGTTGTTCTATAGTTAGCATAACCACGACCAGCGTTTATATATTGCTGATGTTGAAGTGGGCTGGGCCATGTAAGGTAGTGAGTCTAAGCTTAGGATGTATTAAAGCAGCCTTTCGCAGAACAAAGCGTTTTTCCATGGCCATTACAACTTGACTGATTTACATGAGACAGCAGGTTGGAGACTTTTGGTAGCTAGCATTAAACACCCCAATCTGCCTCAACACCAAGGTGTGGTTAAGTGTGCTTTTTAAGTCCAGTGCCCCTTTAATAGAATCTTATTTAAAAAGTAATGTAGATTAAATGTTTCCAAACCTTCTTGTCAAAGTAGTTTTTCAAATCAAATCAAATCAAAGATACTTAATTAATCTCAGAGGGAAATTAGAGTTTCAGTATACACAATTCAGAGATCAGACATACATGGGCAAGACAAATGACAAGAATTGGTGACTGTGGTCATTCGCAACCCTGAGTCGTGCTACCTTAGTAGAGATAGGAGGGTAACATGAGGAATTGATTCGGGAGGAGGGAAAAAAGGCACTTCACAGCTACTCTCCCACCAGGAAAGCAGCTTTGCTCTGCAAAAAAACACCTCAAACAGATATGCAACAGACCAGACAACACAGCATGAGACTCCAATAGGAAGGCGGGGTGTGTGTGTGTGTGTGTGTGTGTGGGGGGGGGGTGGTGGTCTGGGATCCTGTTTCCCCCAGCGAGAGCAGCCATCTACGGCTCAGCCACAGTAGCCACAGGTGGTAGGGAGATCTCGGGAGAAGCGCAGAGCACATTGACTCCTGCAGGTTGATGACCTCGCCAGGCTGAAGTCCACCAATCCGAAGATGGGGTGGGGGGGTGGGGGGTTTGGGGGGGGTTGGTTGGGTTTTCACAGCATCTGTCTGCGAGGGTTTGTTGCTAGCCTCTCAAGGCTGTCATGGCGACAGATTTGGATAACAAGACTTTTTTTTGGGTCAGGCTGAGATAATTTTCCTCTCTGCCTTCAGTCTTTAAACTGATCATTCCAGTACTTCAGTGAAGCCAATTTGAGTTTTAAACTTGTCCATACCGTCCGGTGACTGTCTGAGATGACATCCATTTTGCGCACTAATACCGGTATCGCAGCTAGAACATTGTCCAGCTTACGATTCACCTCGAGTAACGTCCCAGTCTGTGAGGTCTCCACACGGACGGTGCTTTCCGTGGGTGCGGGTCGCCCTCCAATCGCTCCCGTCTTCCCAAATTTCCAGAAAACCAGATATCCTCCCACTCCAATCAGGAGAAATCCAGTGATCATCAGGCCGAATATCCACACGTCTTCGACATCCTCAATGGACAGCTGGGAGAGGCATATGATCTTCCATTCCCTCCAGGAATCCAGCATATACCCCGCCGGGTGTGTCCCCTGTGGGCATGTGGGAGCCCCCTGCTCCGTTCATATTGTTGAAAAAATCTTATCAATTATGTTGGATGGCCAATTTATCAAATCCATGGTTAAAAAATAGGGCTTTTCAGAAGAAATGCAGAGAAGTGCTCTGAGAAGCGCAAAAAGAGAAGTGTCTGTACTCTGCGAGTGCCAGAAGAAATCTTTGTTAATCTTTCAAGAGAAAAGTGCTTGAAACTCAGACAGCTCATAAATCTAAACACTCCAAAACTTTAACACAAGAGAGAATCTGAAACATTTATTTTGCTGCTTTTAGATGGAAAATTGTAAGTGTAACCGGATTACAGGATACAATAAGATAATTAAAAGAAAAATAAACAAATGGGCCAATAATTAGGTTCAGAGAGAATTGGAGGTTGTTTAAGAATGACTGGAGTCACGGGTATAGTATGTAACGGTTTGTATACCAAAAATGTAATAATAATGGGAAATATAATACATAAAGACAACACATAAAAACAGAAGAAAACAATCTACAATATTATAATGGTCGGTATGATATTTGATCTTATGAGTCATATAAGTCAGCCGGCGTCAAGTCAAATCCCCACGATTGGGGTGAAAGTCAGAGTCCAGTGGTGCGATTTTTTCCGACCGCACTGTTGAGATTGTTCACAGAAGAGAGCAGTCTGCTCTTCAGTTACTTGAGATGTCCCGGTTTGTTCAGTGGTTAAGGCTCGCCATCTCCCTCGTCAGGAAGAAATCCAGTTCTCGTTCCAAGTGAGTGATCATAGAAGTCGGGATAAAACCCAAGAAACAAACAAAACCCCAGCCAACACGCTCCAAGAGTTCCCTCCTACAGAGGATTGGTTCACTCTGTCGTCTCCACACAAATCGCGTCGGTTCCAAGTTCCCAGTTCTTATTAGAAGGAGTCGAGTCCACCTCTCCCCCTATCTACGCGGCCCCCAAATTAGGGTTCTTCACGGCCTCAACCGTTTTTTCCCCTCTGCTCACTAAACGCTCAGTCTTTGCTGTCTGTATCTGCGTTGCTGCACAGCTGTTGTCTCTCCTTTCGCTCCGCTGCGTAGAACGGTTTTATTTCGCGGAGGCGTGACTTATTTCTCTCAGCCAATGAAATTTCAGATTCCCACCTGGACCAATAGTACACAGCTTTCCTCTTCTGGTTTTTTTTTTTAGTAATGTTCAAGATTCTTGTTTTAACTGATGTTTAATATTAAACTCTTTATTTTAGTTATTCATCTTTTCAATAATTTATTATTAAATTATTATCTATTAGTTATTTATATATCTATAAATTAGTTTTTTTAATTTCCTTAATTTATATTTTATATTTTATCAAAATTGAGGATGGATCATATTAGTAAGCCATTTAGTTAATTCCTCATTAAGGTTTTAGCTTCTGGGTTACATCAGCAAGTTATTACTAGAATCAAACCTGCATAAAATTTTTAAACAGTTGTAACAAAATATTGATTTCATAATAGAGTAGCTCAAGAGGTAGATTGGGTTGTCCAGTAATCGGAAGGTTGCAGGTTCGTTCCCATCTCCCACCAGAGAATGCTGCTGTTGTGTCCTTGGGCAAGACACTTAACCCATCTTGCCTGCTGGTAATAGTCGGAGGGACCGGTGGTGCCAGTGCTCGGCAGCCTCGCCTCTGTCAGTGCGCTCCAGGTGGCTACATCGTAGCTCATCCCCACCAGTGTGTGAATGTGTGTGTGAATGAATCACCTTAGGGTGTTCTAGGACTCTAGAAGGTGCTATATCAAATACAAGCCATTTACCACAGAACATTAACAATTATATATACATTAGTTTTAAATCCTCTGTGAGAACAAATTGCTAAAATAATTTTGTTGACTTTCTCTGTTTCTGCTGACATAAACAGTCTTACAGCAGCAGGTAGATGACCGGTCAGCTGCCGGCTGATGTCCAACATGCAGATGTCTTCAGGCTCCATCAGGGTCTAAACACACAAACACAACGTTTCAGTGTCAGCTACTTTTAGCTGGAAGTGACATAGATGGAGGAGTGTTTATGTTTGGCTTGATGTTTCCTTTAAGGCTCCTGCACGATCAGTGTTATAAACATGTTTAAGACACACTCAAAATACGAACAATGAGGATTAAACCAAAAGATCAAGAGTTTGCGGTCAATGGTTTGGGACATAATCCATGGTTACAGTAATTTTAAGGAGGATTCAACCATAAATTGAGTTTCCACTCTTTAGAGTCAAATTCAGTGTGAAGATCTGAAGTGGAAGAACTTTAAAAGTGGTAACAACTAATTATCAGAAAAATGAATGGGCCTTAATTTTAATGGTGGCTTCTACTAGCCTGAAGGCGAGGAGCATCTCTCTTAAGCAGGACATGATGCAAAAACAATGAGCAAGTTAGCAGAAACTATTATGAAGGAGAAACTCTGAGCAGAACTTACTCACACACAATAAGATTTTCTGCTCCACATAATTTTCTGCTTCGGTGCACATGGTGTCACTTATTATCTGAGGGGGCTGGGTGAAAAATCTCTGCAAGCAAAGGCTGCAGATATCTACATTATCACGTGCCACCCTTACGGATCATCTCAAGAAAAATCCCAACAGCAATTCAAGAATTAGAAAGGGCTATGAGGAACCTATGACATCTCTGAGACAGAATAAGATGCCATTTGGCACAGACTCGTCAGCTGCACGAATAATGGAAACTGACAGGATTGGCAGCAAGTCATGCTGGAGTTTTTTTTTTTAACAGGAACAAAGACATTCTCAAAGTTAGAGGTGGCAGAAACACGTGGAACAGTAATGAGATCTTAGCTCAAGACCAGTTTGGGAGGGTTTAATTTTTGGCTGTTTTTTTTAACCTACTTTTTATTTAAGGTGGAAGCTTTTATTATTTATTTATATAATGAAACAGGTAACAAAACAACTCTCTGATGAGCATTTGAATTTCCTCATTTAGGGCTTTTTAACAGCAAAAACTTAAATGAAACAACATGTTGAAGAGATCACTTTTATTGAGGTTGGTCTGTTGTTGGGAAAATTTTGTTTGGTATTAAAGCTTCACAATAACATGAGGCATCTGATTGTAAATACATGCGACTCCACCAGATTTGAGCTGCAGTTTGAAATATCACAGTTGGCTTGGTCTTGACTTTAGGAGAAACAAGAACAAAATCACTGACTTGTTTGGTATTTTAGAAAAATAGAAATAATCTAAAGACAGCTGTACCCTCCCCTTAAAAAAAATACAAGCAATGCAGGGTAAAGCCAGGTCCACGCTTGAGCCATCAGTGGCGCACAATGGCCAATGGCCACGTCTCTGAGACTTAGACTACCTATGGTCTAGGGTTGATCCAAACCGGCTGCGTCGCGGAATATTTCAGGCGCGCCCCCGAAAAGGTACATCACGTCGCTAAAGATAAGATCGGGTTCTATTTTTGCCACAAGCCACTTCTGAGACATGTCAATTTCCTCAGTTTACATAGGGATACAGGAAATTACACAATTTTCAAAGTAAAAGACTATTGCAGAGACGTGATTCCTTGCCACTGTAGATTATGTCAATACATGATGTGACCTAACAGTTTCTTTCCTCCTAGCATTTTTTGAGAAGTGTAACGTTAGTTTTTCAGGGCTTTAATATTGGCAGTGGACAGGCACAACATTATAGTATGTGAATATGTATATGATATCAAACGTGATTTCCTTCCTCTTCTTCTTTGTTTAATGGTGGATGGCATTAACCAAAGACCTTGACCTTTGAAGTCTCCAGGAATTTTGTGATTTCACAAGTCCAGAGAGGAGTACGGCGGAGATGCCGCTCAGCGGCTGAGACTCCTCCAGTGTAGTTTTATGTGAGTAAACCATTCCCCTGTCGTGCTGATGCCTCTAGTGTGGGCTCGGGGTAAGACATGAAAGCTGAGAAAAATACAAAGTTTAACTTTGTGTATTTCAGTTGGCTGATCAATCTTTCTACTCCATGGCAAAATACATGAAACAACTGGATGAAAACTGCAACTTCTTTTAAGTAAAGAAAAAGCTCATAAAATAAGATTATACATTAAATATATTTTAGTATCTAAAGAAACATAATGTCATAAAACTTGCTATACCTATTACTTCCTAGAAGATAACTCAGGGCTACAGCTCATAAATGCCATTGTGTGTGTGTGTGTGTGTGTGTGTGTGTGTGTGTGTGTGTGTGTGTGTGTGTGTGTGTGTGTGTGTGTGTGTGTGTGTGTGTGTGTGTGTGTGTGAGAGAGAGAGAGAGAGAGAGAGAGAGACAGAGAGAGAGAGAGAGACAGAGAGAGAGAGAGAAAGAGAGAGAGAGATGATCTCGGAACAGACACAAACACCGAGTGTAAGTTATGTTATTTAACTTACTAGTCTAAGTACCCTGTTCTTGTCCCATGGTATTAAGTATGGTAGAATTAGTACCAGTCAGTCTGAGCTTCCGATTCCACTTTGGTTAATAAATGGGTTGAGGAATATACTAAAAGTGTGTGATTTTTTTCTATATCATGTATTCCTTTTAACTTTCTTTATATATGTTTTTTAAATTATTTTATGAGTTTTGCCAAAATTATTTAGAGTAAATTTTAATGACGAGCTGAGTCTTAAACCAGCTGGTGTCATGATTAAAGAATGATCTAGCACTGGGCACGATGTGCTATAACATGAGATCACATCACGCTAATGTGGATTAAAACAGAAAGTCCCAGATTGAAGGATTAGTGTTTAGACCCTGTGTAACAGGGTCTTCTGTTACCCTGACCTGCATCAGCCATATGTGCATACATGTAGCATACTCAATTTTTCTGTGAACTAGAGGAAATGCTCCATATAAAAGGAATGACTCGTAATGAATTACCTCACACTTTAAAAAGACCAAGAACCAAGATACTTTGGATAAATTATGTCTAAATGTTTGAATGTTTCACTTTAGCATCTATTAAAGTTTCATATTCATACATTTCCCTAAAATTCCTGCTGATATTAATAACAAACTTGTTGTTTTATTGATTCCAAAACCTTTAGAACTAATTATTGGAACTAAGTGACCCTTGACCTCCATACACATGTGAATCCAGTAATGAGAAAGAGTATTTAAGCGGGCCAATTTTAAGTTTCCCCCTCTTTGAATATTATCTGAAGAGTAACATGGGGGTCTCCAAACAACTCTCAAAGATCTGAAAACAAAGATTGTTCACCATCATGGTTTAGGGGAAGGATGCAGAAAGCTGTCTCAGAGATTTCAGCTTCTGTTTCCACAGTTAGGAACATATTGAGGAAATGGAAGACCACAGGCTCAGTTCAAGTTAAGGCTTCAAGTGGCAGACCAAAATAAATCTCAAATAAACAAAAGCAAAGAATGGTGAGAACAGTCAGAGCATACCACCAGACCAGCACCAAAGACCTACAACATCATCTTACTGCAGATGGAGTCATTGTGCATTGTTCAGCTTCGCAGCACACTTTCTACAAGTATGTGAGAGTGATGCAGAGGAAGCCTTTTCTCTGCCCAAGGCATAAACAGAGCTGCTTGAAGTATGCTGAAGCACATTTGGACAAGCCAGCTTCATTTTGGAATAAGGTGCTGTGGACTGATGAAACCTACAGTAAAACATGGTGGTGGTTCCATCATGCTGTGGGGCTGTGTGGCCAGTGCAAGGACTGGGAATCTTGTTAAAGCTGAGGGGCACATGGATTCCACTCAATATCAGCAGATTCTGGAGATCAATGTCCAGGAATCAGTGACAAAGCTGAAGCTGCGCCTGGGCTGGATCTTTCAACAAGACAACAACCCTAAACACTGCTCAACATCTACTAAGGCATTCATGCAGAGGAACAAGTAGAACGTTTTGGAATGACCATCTCAGTCCCCAGACCTGAATATTATTGAAAATCTGTGGTGTGAGTTAAACAGAGCTGTCCATGCTCAGAAGCCATCAAACCTGAATGAACCAGAGATGTTTAGTAAAGAAGAATGGTCCAGAATACCTTCAGCCAAAATCCAGACTCTCATTGGAAGCTATAGGAGGCATTTAGAGGGTATTTCTGCAAAAGGAGGGTCTAATAAATATAGAGTAAATATATTTTTGTTTATGCACCTGCCTAATTTTGTTTAAATAATTATTGCACACTGTGTCTGTCTCCTATATGATATATTTAACAGATTTTTTTATTGTAACAACCAACAATTTTACAGGAAAATCGTGAATATTAACAAGACTGCCCACAATTTAGCATCTCACTGTATTTATACCTTTTTAACTGGTTATTACTGCTGATATCTTTTAATCACGGCTAAGTCTTCTCAGAATAATCCATCTGAGGGAGGTCAAAAGGATAGCTGCCACCTTAAATCTCCTATCTCTTTTATTGTAATATTAATTAAAACCTTTGTGTCACCAGAAGTTTCTCAGACTTCACTGGTGAAGAAGCATGCACTGTAGATGGCGATTGTAAAAGATTTGTAAAATAGCATTTGCACGAATGACTAAGACTTTTGAGATCTGATTTGTTGAGAAAAATGTACATTATCATCTAATTTAAATGTCAGCTGCTTTACTAGTTCACTGGTCACATGGTCCGGTGAAAAAGATCCATCCACCCAATTTATACAGAGGCAGCACTGAGACGTTTACATGCGACCATGGCTGTCATGGCCTGTGGGTTTGTTTGTTGTTTCCTTTTCATCATGTTGGGTTTTTATTCGACTCTTGTTTTGGTGTTGTTGTTTCATTTCCATGCTTTGTAATGAGCAAGCTTCCCCTGCTGAGTTATCATTTTTGGGTTAGCCCATTATGCTTCCAGTCTTGCCTTTTGGCAACACCTGGTTCTGTTTCTAATATCCAAACAGACCTTTATCATCATGTTCTTCAGCACTCACAGTTCATGCTGTTCCTTTGTTGTTTGTCAGGTTCTTGTCTTTAATTATATCCTGTTCTTACGTCAAGATCATTTTT